AAAGGCGCACCATCAGCAAGGCAATCAGTAAACAACAACAGCCGCAGCAGAGAGTGCAGGACGAGACCCAACGAAGATCGATCGCTGTCCTGCCATACATCAAGGGGGTTACTGACAAAATCGGCCGAATATTACGGAAACACGACATATCAACGGCATACAAACCTGACCATACCATCGGAGCAATACTAAGAAACCCAAAACAAAAAATTACTCTGGAAAACCAAGGAGTATACAGTGTAGCATGCGGATCGTGCAGCCTGACGTATGTGGGACAGACCAACAGAAGGATTTCAGCCAGGCTCGAGGAACATCGTTTAGCCATAAGAAACAAACAAACAACATCTGCTTTGTTTCAGCACCAACATCAGACAGGCCATAAAATTGATTTCGGCACTTGCAAACAAATAGCTAATATTCCTGATTTTAGGACTAGGATTATACGAGAGGCCATCGAAATAGAAAAGTCCGGACACCTCAATACGAGAGACGACGCTCTGCATTTATCCAACACGTGGAGAACGATAATCAAACAGCAGAGCGATGCGCAGCAGCCAACGGGGACATCGCAACTACGATCGGGCGAAATTAACAACGCGACAATTCAGGGGGCGGAGCCACCTCCCCCCACGCACAAGCAGCACCGTTACCATCTCCGGCGCAGAGTATAAATACCTCACGCACCGCCGATAACCTCCCAGTGTTCGAAGTGTTTTCGGAGCGCGAGCATTGAAGATGCCAAGTGAGATTTTGGCGAAACGTCTGCAGGATTCCAGTCGGATGCAAGATTTGCAGGATTCCAGTCGGATGCAGGATTCCAGTCGGAGTTCAACGAGCGAACGGATGATATCCCGGAATATAGTGTCATCACATTTTTCCATCCGTGAATCAATACGTGAGAATATCATACACCTTTACGGGAAGGAGATCTTTACAGCCACCAAGTGTTATGAAAAACTAAGACAAAGGAGGGTTATTTCGCTGTGCAACTTGAATTTTCTTAAAAGCTGCCGCAACCAGAACTTGCTGCCAACATTTACAAGGTTGTCTTATCACACACGCACCAGAAAGACACAAGCTATCCTGGACAAAGCTAGCAAGGCCCTACTCCAAGACCAGATCAGGCGGACCCGGTACGAAATTAGTGAGACTGAGCTACAACTTTTCAGACTCCACCTGAAACTGAGCAACAAGATCCATCAGTTGCTGTGGGACCGCATAGAATTATTAACATCATGGCGCACTGAGAAAGACAAGGACATCACGTCAAAAAAAACTGTGGAAGAAATTAGAAATCCTTCAGTCAAATTCCAAAAAATCAGGACAAGTGCCAAATACAAACCGAAGCAGTACAGTTCATAATATTTCAGCATACCATCTTTCCGATACAGAAGTCAGCGTACTGAATAAAGGATTTAACTACGCAATAGCTCCAAAAAGAGTACCCGTCGAAGAGATCGTTTCCAACGTCGAAGCAAGTCTTTCCACCATAGACGAACAAGATGCGGAGTTAATTAGGCAAGATGTCGCCAGAGTCTTAAGACAGTCAAAACCACCGCAACCAAACTTAAGCAGAGAAGAAATGCAAGCCTTAAGGAATCTAAACAAAAACGAAAACATTCTAATAATGCCAGCAGACAAAGGAAATGCCACTGTCGTCATGAATACGTCGGATTATAATGCAAAATTGGAGGATATTTTGAACGACCCAATATACAAACTAGTCACCAGAGATCCCACGACATATTTGGAAAAAAACAACTAAGTCCAAAATTCTCGATTCATCAATAAACGAGGATACAAAGAAGAAACTTATTCCGAGGGAAAAATCGAGTCGTTGCCCAAAATTCTACGGGCTCCCAAAGATCCATAAGGACGGGGTTCCCCTGCGTCCAATCGTAAGCGCCTTTAACTCACCATTATGCAAGCTGGAAAAACATCTGGCCAGTGCACTTCAGCCTATAGTGGAAAAGGCAGATTCCTATGTTAAAAACTCAGAACATTTCACTCAGATTTTAGGTTCTCTCAGGATGGACAAGGACGACATTATGGCAAGTTTCGATGTCAAATCCCTCTACCCGAGTATTCCAGTAGAAGAGGCACTCTTGCTTATAGAAGAAAACGAAGATCTTCCGCCATACATAATGGATCTGTCAAGACATTGCCTGAAAAACGCTTACTTTATGCACAACGGGAAAATTTACCGACAAATAGATGGAGCAGCAATGGGATCATCTCTCTCACCTGTGATTGCCAACCTCTTCATGATTTACTTCGAAAAGAAAGCAATAGAGAAGGCAAATCTGAAGCCAAAACTATGGACAAGATACGTTGATGACGTATTTGTTGTATGGCCTTTTGGCAAGGAGGAGCTTTTGAAATTCCTAGATCATCTGAATTCCATTCACCCAAGGATTCAATTTACAATAGAACTTGAAGAGGATAACAGTCTGCCCTTTTTAGATGTGCACATCACAAGGACCGAAGATGGACACTTGGAACACACTGTCTATAGAAAACCAACACACACTAATAGATATCTGAACGCTAAATCTCATCACCACCCATCACAGATACAGGCAGTGGCAAATACATTAATTGCTCGGTCCTTCAGGCTCACAAACGAGAGGAACAGAGATAAAGAACTGAAGAAAATTAGTACCTGTCTTCAACAAAACGGATACCAAAGGCGCACCATCAGCAAGGCAATCAGTAAACAACAACAGCCGCAGCAGAGAGTGCAGGACGAGACCCAACGAAGATCGATCGCTGTCCTGCCATACATCAAGGGGGTTACTGACAAAATCGGCCGAATATTACGGAAACACGACATATCAACGGCATACAAACCTGACCATACCATCGGAGCAATACTAAGAAACCCAAAACAAAAAATTACTCTGGAAAACCAAGGAGTATACAGTGTAGCATGCGGATCGTGCAGCCTGACGTATGTGGGACAGACCAACAGAAGGATTTCAGCCAGGCTCGAGGAACATCGTTTAGCCATAAGAAACAAACAAACAACATCTGCTTTGTTTCAGCACCAACATCAGACAGGCCATAAAATTGATTTCGGCACTTGCAAACAAATAGCTAATATTCCTGATTTTAGGACTAGGATTATACGAGAGGCCATCGAAATAGAAAAGTCCGGACACCTCAATACGAGAGACGACGCTCTGCATTTATCCAACACGTGGAGAACGATAATCAAACAGCAGAGCGATGCGCAGCAGCCAACGGGGACATCGCAACTACGATCGGGCGAAATTAACAACGCGACAATTCAGGGGGCGGAGCCACCTCCCCCCACGCACAAGCAGCACCGTTACCATCTCCGGCGCAGAGTATAAATACCTCACGCACCGCCGATAACCTCCCAGTGTTCGAAGTGTTTTCGGAGCGCGAGCATTGAAGATGCCAAGTGAGATTTTGGCGAAACGTCTGCAGGATTCCAGTCGGATGCAAGATTTGCAGGATTCCAGTCGGATGCAGGATTCCAGTCGGAGTTCAACGAGCGAACGGATGATATCCCGGAATATAGTGTCATCACATTTTTCCATCCGTGAATCAATACGTGAGAATATATATACATATATATATATATATATATATATATATATATATATATATATATATATATATATATATATATATATATATATATATATATATATATATATATATATATATATATATATATATATATATATATATATATATATATATATATATATATATATATAATATATATATATATATATATATATATATATATATATATATATATATATATATATATATATATATATATATATATATATATATATATATATATATATATATATATATATATATATATATATATATATATATATATATATATATATATATATATATATATATATATATATATATATATATATATATATATGTATATATATAAATACATATATATATATATATATATATATATATATATATATATATATATATATATATATATATATATATATATATATATGAGTGTTCGAAGTGTTTTCGGAGCGCGAGCATTGAAGATGCCAAGTGAGATTTTGGCGAAACGTCTGCAGGATTCCAGTCGGATGCAAGATCTGCAGGATTCCAGTCGGATGCAGGATTCCAGTCGGAGTTCAACGAGCGAACGGATGATATCCCGGAATATAGTGTCATCATATATATATATATATATATATATATATATATATATATATATATATATATATATATATATATATATATATATATATATATATAATATATATATATATATATATATATATATATATATATATATATATATATATATATATATATATATATATATATATATATATATATATATATATATATGTATATATATATATATATATATATATATATATATATATATATATATATATATATATATATATATATATATACAGTGTTCGAAGTGTTTTCGGAGCGCGAGCATTGAAGATACCAAGTGAGATTTTGGCGAAACGTCTGCAGGATTCCAGTCGGATGTAGGATTTGCAGGATTCCAGTCGGAGATATATTGTATTTATATATAAATACTTTATGCTTAATAAAGTAATACAAATTTTAAATTAAAATTAAATGTAAACAAAATAGTTACATATTTAATGAGTTCCGATCACTTTTTTTTTTTAAATGAACACTTCCCAAAAACACCCTGTATAAACAGAATTCGTGGTCTCGGTTGGCCTGTAAATTGAATTGAATTTCTATTTTTTATTTTTGATCAAGATTTTACGTAAAACAACAACAAAGCGTCGAGAAATCAAAGAATTTTTTTTTATCCTTTCGTGGACATTGACCATCGATGGTCGCCATGTTGATGAACATTCGATAAAGACACGGTGTTGTAGAAACAATTATCATGTTAACATATGTAATTTCGTGAATATCTAAACTTTTAGTTCTTATTTATTTACGTATTTAACCATCACCGACAATCTCCAGCGACTCACCAGAATTTTATCCCAGCCGATGACGCTCCTGATGAGCTCGAGCCGCTTGATATCGTCCTGCAAATTCTTGCCCACCTTGACCTTGAAAGCGGTATAACCCAGATCCATATACTTGTTGGCCAACTTTTTAATTTTTGCGTCGCTATAACCTAGCCAGCCGGCTTGGGTCGTGTAGCAGGGGTACCCTTTGTCCAGCAGGACCTTGATCCTGTCCTGCTTGCCGGCCTCGCCCTGCTTGAGCAGCTGCAGGGCTTCCTCCTTGGTGATGACGTTTGACAGGTACCTGAAATCGATACAGGAGACGAGAGCCTCGGGAGAGAGGTCGGCCAGGAGGCGCCAGACGGGTTTCTTCTCGATCTTGCCCCAGAGGTCCCACAGGGCGTTAATGATGGCGGCGGTGGCCAGATGGATAACTCCCTTTTCGGGTCCGATCTGGAGGACGCGAAGCTTCGGTTAGAAAACGCAGCGAAAGCTGCGCGATTTTGAACATAGGAAGACCGGCATTCGTTAAAAAAAATCAAATCGTTATTTGAAGTTCAAATTCAAAATAAACATTTTTCGACGCTGTTGTTGTTGGTGTAATGTGTTGATGTTATATATCATGCAATAGTAAAATTTGAATACAAAAGTTGCTTCCACCAAAATGGGACATCCTATATTTTATTACATTGTTAAATACCCCTTTAAAAGACAAATCGAAGCATATATATATTAATATCCATCTAATATCTATCTATGTATATATACCGGGTGTGTTCAAAAGGTAAGGTGACTTTTAAGGTTTATCTAATAGTATTTCCAGTGGTGCGTTAATGCACCACCTATTCTATGATTTTTTTGTGGGTATATAAATTTGTATCACATTTTCAAGCGATTCCAAAATAGTAAAAAAAAATATTTTGGATTTGTATTGCCATTTTTGTCTATGGCATGTAGTTAGATTCCTTAAAAAATAAATAAATGAAAAGGCAACGAATAAACATTTTTAAAACAAATGCCGATCATATAAAATAACAAAAAAACATAATCCTGATTTTTTTAATAATATAAAATTGTTATATAGCTTTTGTTAAGTCGTTAATAATGGATAACGAAATTTTCAGGATGTTTTCCGCGGGTACAACATAAAATAAATGCACAGTATAAAGTGTCACCGAATGACACTTAAACCAAATCAATTCTCTGCAAATAAAATTGAATTTCAGCAGTGCTGTATATCACCTTTAGGTTAAAATACACAAGCAACAATTTGTACAGTAAAACTAGGTGCATGAATGAATCAACATGATTCAGAATCTCAGTTACTTTTCTATACTGCAAGCGGATTCCGATATATTATAACTTTAGCAAATATTTTTGTTATCTTTAAGAAAAATGCTATTTCGTCTAGTATATCTTAACGAAAGATTTTCTATTATTATTTTCATTGTTTATAGCAACTTAAAACAACAGAACTAGAATATTTCTTTAAAAAATATGTATCCATTTTTTTTAATTCAAAGCTTATTGGGAACAAATGTTAATGTTTTAAAATCCGCCATTCATATTAGGATCCGATCTCTTAACAAACATATTGGAAAGATTTTACCCATCTCATTTGACTTTCGCTAGTCAGTGACCTCCAGAAATTGCCGAAGTCTTTGTAGATATCGTCGACCGATTTGCCGACGACGAGGGCGCTCAACGATTTGGCCGCCTGAACAACCACCTCGGTACCCCTGCCGTTGGTGAAAGTGAGACCGTAGCCTTCGAGTCCAGACGCGATTTTGACCGATACATAGGCGCAAGAGTAGTCGGGATCGGTGTGCTGCAACCAACAATACACGCGGGTCCATCAGTATAAATTACCGAAGGGCGAATTAAACTGCACCATTATGTGACCAAAAGCAAAAATTCCTCGACATGCGTTGGTAATCGGCGAATGACCATAGCAGTTTGCCCAACTATTTGTGAAAAGCAAAGAAGAAGAGTTCCTTCGCCGGTAATAAATAACAAGTTCAGTGTGCGCTATTATTTGTATATTTTTTGCCTCATATTCACTGCAACCCAATAAAATCTAGCTAAAGCTATTCCGAAAGATTTATTACTAAAAAAAATCCATAACCACAATATTTGCTGGTATGTCGTTCCTATTTTGTGCTAATTTTTTTTAGGTTATGTCGATTAGGATAGTATAAATTGTTAATCTGGTATGTAGGGAATTTAACTTACAATTGTTGTCGTTATAAAATGTAAAAATGCATACTGCAGACAAATTAGCAACACGGAATACAAAAATAAGAGCCTTTTTCGATTTTCTTAGAACGATGTTAAAAGAAAAGAAAAACAATAAAGGCTCTCCTGGCGGACGGCTACAATAAACGGACGTCACCCAGGACAAAATTCCTGGAACTGAAATTGGGCATATAATTTGCAATGCTTTTCGATAGGCGGGTGCTGTTATAAACAGACTAAAAATCTCCCAAAGGGGGACGCGGAAACTCTAAAAACCAGAAGATATTTTATGTCCGCTTATTTGAATGTGCGTTAAATTAGATAATCCTCTTATTTATTAGATGGTTCGCCTTTATTTTGCTTGAGAGCTTGGCTTTGGTGTTATCACGGTTAGTTTGTGAATGTAAACGTAAAATGGCACAAAAAAAGAACGCTTACATTAAAGGAAAAGATAGAAGAGAGAGAGTTTCAGTTTGCGATTGCGCAAAGCGATTTAACATTTAATATATAATAGCTAACAATAAAGAAGATTTAAGAAGTAAAAGGCAATCTGAAAGCAAAAAGGAAAGTTTTAACATAGACAAAAGGTGTTTCGAATTGTTTGTGCAAACTAGGAATTCGGAACATTCCAATATCAGGACCGCTAGTCATACTGACAGCTAAAGAAATTGCGACAAATGTAAAAATATCGTTAGGAAAATATTTTTAAATTTTTTTCCAAAACCCAAGGACAACTTATTTGTATTTATAGTCATATTAACATCTGAATAAAATAATACTTTAAAAATGTATGTATTGGGTACGTGTACATATTATAATATCTATTTATATTTATTATAAGTCCTTAATACTCTCCTTTAAACGGATATTTACCATAAGCGGACAAAATTAAGGGGACTGTGAGAACCCGAGTATGGGAGCACTTTATACTGTCCCTTTTCGAAATAAAATTGCTATTATTAGCACTAACACTTCAAATCCACCAAATTAACCTAAACATTCAAAACATGTTATGTTTTGATTTCATTAAAAAATGTTTTTAATTATTGCATTAAGACATTCTGTAATGTCCTTTAAATTAACATAACCTAAAAATTGAAACCTGTACAAGAAAATTTTATATATGAATTAGTTTTATTTCTCCTAGTAGTGATATAAAGACTGCGTTTGTGTATCATATTTTTTACTCAGTTTTATTCATTTTCAAATAAAGTTGCTTAATTGGAGAGAATTGCTTTTTATTACTTGTCTATAATTTTAAGGTAACTGTCATTCACATTTGCTGCCACCTGACGCCAGGAAATTAGTTCGATCTGTTGCTCACGGTGGCGCTGACAAATACCTTTCCGATATTACTCTTTTAATTTCTCTTTTTCTATGGTTTTAGCTTGGAAAATACTTAAAGGTAACAATTTATTCATTTATTAATTAATTAATTCTTTTGCCTCATAAATTGTCACTTATATCGCAAAACATATCTGGTTTCACAATAATATCCTTTTCTGATACCTTTATTTTAATTTTAGAACAAATTGTGTGACAAAATCGAAAATACGGTCGAATCGAATTATCGTCGGGGTCACATTAAGAGCCGAACGGTGTAGATAAGCATTAAAATCAGTAGGCAACAGGCGACTAGATAAATTCGAGAGCTTGTCGTTTAAAAAAAAAATAAATCGCAATTAAGGTGAAGCGGCCATTGCATAAGAACAAACGAAAAAGCAAAATCAGAACCCGCTGCTTGCTGAAAGAGAGTTTATGTGCGCCTTTGTTGAAAAAACGAATGCTTTTAATACGATTGTAGGAACGCCCACTGAAAAAAATCAAAAATTAATTTGACTAAACACTGACCTATCTTTTTATCTATGGTACGCACGCGTGTTGTTCTCATCTGTGTCTAGTATTCGTGTTTTAAGGTTTTTTAAGTTTGTATGCGTATTTATAAACGTTCGAATGGGAATCCTTCCTCTATTTTGCTTTAGTAAAAACCCTCACTCACCATCGCATCAGAACCATCCGACTGCAAGGAGGTGGGGAAGCGTATATCTTTGACGTCGACGGAAACGATCTTGCTCATATTTGTGCCGTTCTGGTCGCCGAAAAGAGAAAATCAAAAAGTATATCGCTCGCGGCCACCAACTAAGTGAACCCGTTCACTCTTGGCAACAGCTTATAACTGTGTGTTTATGTAACGAGCGAAGATACTACTTATCTGTACTCAAGTTTGTGGCGTCATTTCGATGGAAAATCAAACAGAAATACCGATCCAAAACACTTCTCCGATTTAAAATGCGCTCCAAAGTGCCGTTTGTTGTTCGAACGTGACGCACTTTTAGTTTTAACGTCAGATAGTGTCGAAAATTAATTGCCGGATATGCAAATCTACGTCGATTTTTTTTTCACCGTACCACGCCACTGGCCTATCGTGTGGGGGAGTTAAACATCGTATTGTTCCAAATTTACAAAATATTTGTTTTCGAATTAGTATTCATGTGCGGCGTAGTACGTAACAAGATTATTTTACACATGATTTATCGCATTTCCATATAATATAACAAAATTCTCTATAAAGCTTAATAGGCGTGGGTATGCAGCACGCATTGCAGAAAGTTAAGGGGAATGTTCGCACGGAAGAAATAAAGAAAAGTAACATCCCTATATAAATATAGTGTTAATTTATATATATGTATAAAAAATATGTCTAAATATTTAATTTAAAACCAAAAGCTTAAATAAAAAAGTGATTGTTCTGTTTTTATCTGCGCTTTTATCCGCAACTTTCCAATCCGCGATCTGTGTCAGTATTATTAATATTAACCTTAGTAATGTCGTTCAGTTTGTTTTAAATGTAAATAAATTTAAAAATCGGTTGTTTCATGTTTGGCCCAGTGAAAATGTGTTGAAATGTCGAACTGGAAAGTGGTTAACGATACGTGTAGTTTTGGCATAGGTAAATTAGCGGCCGCGGGGGTCGCATATTTGATATTTACATCTTAATTGGCGAGAATTAGTTTAATACGTCCTTATTAAAACACTTGTCGCGTTACCAATTGAAATTACAACTTGTTAATAATCTCGCGCTGGGAGGGGTTACGTGCAATCGATTTCTTTGCAGCCATATACAATTTCAACGAAACTGATGAAAATAAATTAAAATTAACGGTGGGAGATGTCGTTTGCGTGCTCGCAGAAGAAACCGATTGGTTCTTCGGTTACGTGGCCACCGATCGGAACGTTAAGGGTATTTTTCCCAAAAGCTACGTACACTTGAGGCTATGCGAATCCGCAGAGGGATACTACAGTTCCGTTTTTAATGATCCCCCAATCAGCAAAGAGATTTCCATGGTGCTTAGAGAATGGGGTGTGCATTGGAAAAGCCTATATGTGGTAGATTTCTTTTGCTGAGAAAAGGCCACTTTTCTCATACTTTGGTTGTCTTTTAGATGAGGAGCAAAGATTTTGAGCAAATCAGAAACCAAATATGCGACCTCTTGGCGCTGAAAAGTAAGATACTTAGTGGAACGCTGCCGGTTGATGAACTGAAAAAGGTTACAATCCAGGCGGCTGAAGAGATCGACATAGGCAATAAAATATTAGGTTTAGATCTAGTGGTAAGGAACAAAGATGGGAAACTGATCAGGTCCGATCAAACGAGTACGATCCAGTTGTTTTCGTATCACAAAGCAACAACGGAACGGATTAACAATCGGTCCAAAGTATACAGCATATTATGCTTGTCATAGGGACTGCGATATGATTTTTTTTAAGGCTGTCGAAGCTGATAGTCAACCAAAATCGGCCGTTCAACAGTTTTCCAATATCTTTCTTGTAGTCGTTAGAAATTTCACATGTAAAATGTCCGAAGACGCAGAGCTTATAATGTTATTGTATGATGCCAAAGAATACAAACCCATCACGGAAAATTATGTAGTCAGGTGGACCAAAGAAGGACTGATGTGCGATCTGGATCAGATGTACAATTTAAGGGTTATGTTTACGGTAAGCTAAGCCATGGATAATAGATTGGTTAGTAATTTTGTATTATGTGGCCTGAATTGGGCATTTGTGTTGCATTTTCTATGTTTTTTTATGGTAATAACAATACTAATAATAATGAATGAATGTCGACAATTTTATGAAGATTTTCTTCATATGTATGTGAGGCAGTCACTGCCGGTTTGCATATTGCATTTTTTGCGGTTTGCATATTTTTTAATTACTGTACGTTCACGACCGGGTGGTACATTTGAACTACTCTAGGATTTGGGCAAAAAGGACCTTGATCGTGAGAGGGTCTTTCTCGTCTGTTATGTCGTGAGGATCGGTTCGATGGAGACAAAAGAAGTTGACCACAGACGGAGCTCGGTCAGCCTGTCCGGTAGGAAGTCTGGTTTCGAGAACATGCGCAGACCTTGCGGCGTTGCCGCCATGGACATTACCGTCTATTTCAGTGGCAGATTAGACACGGAATTGGAAGATGAGTTTTCCATACCGTTTGTCAAGTGAGTGTGCGGCTATTTAAGAACCGATCTAGCCCTTGAGATATTCGCAACTGCTGCGCTTATTTTCTACCATAAGCAGTGCCAGATGGAAAAAAAACTTGCCATTGGTACATTTAGGGAATTAAAATGTGACGAGGAAAGAAATAAAAAACGAAACAAAGATGGACGGGGAAAGGGTACATACTGGTTTATATACCACCTCTTAATAACACGATGAAAAAATTAAACAAAAGATATGTGTACTGCTGAGTGAATAAAAACCTTACTGCTCCTGTAGTTATTAAGATAGCAGGAATTTACTAAAGAAATACTGCATTTTCTTCACTTCCTATGGAACATTTTTTTGATGGTACAATTTCAAAGAAGAATATTAAACACATGTAGGTATAAAATTATTTTCTATTACGGACCACAATTTTACCTGAATTTAAATTCTGAAACTTTAGGTAATAATCCTGTTGCATTGTATGTTAATGGTCACCCTTGGATAATCCCATTCAAAAGCAATTGGTCACTTTCTTATTTATATCTATGAACAGACCATACACATTCTGCTTTTTTTAATACGGGTATTAGTTTTCTGTTTTTTTTTTCTGCATTTTTCATCAGTACCTTTTTCCTTTTTAAATAGTTTTAACCTGTTTTTTGATGGTACAATTTACGTTCCAAGTTATTGTGATGGTTCAAATTGTGCTCTTGTCATCTCGGTCGTGTGATGGGTTGATCCCGTGCAGTCTTTCCTGCCCGCTTGAGGCAGGTGTCGGTTTTGAACCACGCCTGCTATAACGTCAAAAACCTTCACAGTTGCGAGAGAGACAACCTCGAACAAACTTTGCGGAAAATTATGGGCAAAGAAAAAGCGGAGAACAAGAACCAGGCGCTTTTCGTCAGCATGAAACTCTTGCGCGGCGACCTGAAGCAAGTCCGGGAGGAAAACCCCCACTTGGTGCTGGGCAACGTGTCCAGGGCCAGGAAGATGGGGTTCCCGGAGGTGATATTGCCCGGCGACGTCAGGAACGATTTGTACCTGACGTTGCTCGGCGGCGAGTTCGCCAAGGGGAACAAATCCAGCGAGAAAAACGTAGAAGTGACGATGAAGGTGTTCAATGGCAGCGGTCAGCATATTCCGGTTAGGATTTCTCAATATTTATACCGCTTTTAACATGGAAAAGGCGTAGTTCAAATGTACCGTGCGTTCAATTTGTCTTGATAACATTTTAATTAACTGTAACATTTTTTATTTTTAGAGATATCAGTGTAAGTAAAAAGCAAGATATAGGGTTACTAGCCAAGTTTTTTCCCCAAATGACGTATAAAACAAAACACTATCAATTTTCGGACATTATAATGTGCTTAATAGAGTATCTTATTCCGATAACAAAGTTCCACGACATTATTACAAGGAGTTCTGTGCGCGTGATTTTTTCTGTGTCCCCAAAAGAAAAAATCCATTAAACTTAAGTCGGGGCTGTAGGCTGGCCAGTCTATAGTTCCGCTGTTTCCTAACCAACCCCTGGGATATTTCGTGTTAAGAAAATTGTTAACTTGCACAACATTGTGAGAAGGGGCACACCGTCTTTTTGCCATATAATCAGCGCTGATATATTTAAGGCTAAATCTTCTATATGTTGTTCTATTTGGTGCTCTATGAATTGCAAATAATGGGTGCTAAATTCGCAAAAAACCATTTTAACAATAATGGCTTGGCCAATAATTCAACCAAATATAAAGTGTGTTACATCAGTGTAATCGGAATAAGATATTCTATTAAGGACATATATAATATACAGGGTATTTAAAAAAATATAATGTTGGCTTATACGTCAGAGAATTTATAGTTTTGTTTTATACGTCACTTGGAAAAAAAGCTTGGCTACTAACCCTACATTTTGTTTTTTTGTTTATCTTGATATCTGTAAAAACAAAAAAGCCAATTAAAAGGACAGGCAATTAAAATATTTACAAGATAAATTGAAGGCACGGTACCCGGTGAGTTCACGATTCGAATGTTATGAGAAAATGAAATGAAATGAATTTGAAGTATACAGGGCGGCTCAATTAAGTGCGACGAATAAATTATACATTTTTTTTTAACAAAACGCCCTATTTTTAAATTTCCTTTTGAATGAGTTTTGAAACTGTTCAACATTCTTATTAATAATAATAAATACCTAAACTTCATAGTTTTTCCAAATATCAACTTTTCTAAAAAAAAATTACTAGTTTTTACAACTTAAAAAAAATACGATAGCGGCATTATTTTTACAGGTTCATATTTCGTATGAAGAAATACTCAACGGAATTTAAATTAGATGCAACAGGGTGTTCAGAATAAACGAATATATTTGGATCGTTATAAATCGAAGGAGAATTTCAAAGCAAATTCCAAACAAAATTTAAAAATAGGACGTTTTATTCGACGCACTTTTTTGAACCGCCCTGTATACTTTAAAATAATTGTTATACCATATTCACCTTGTACATGCTGTGGATCCAAAGGTACAAAATGATTTACGGTCGTTCCAACCAAAACTAACCAATTCTTTCGTAGTAACAGCTAAATTTAGGTTAGGGTAGACTGTAATTTTACCAGATCATTCAAGTTGTCCCAAAATCACTCTAGTTGATGCCTAACTATTTTTTATCAGTATACGGTGTCCAAAAGACTTGATTTTCTGTGATCTGGCACCCGGCATAGCGGATTTCTCCTTATTGCATTTTTTTATTATTCAAAAACTTTTAAAATGGTTTTCATAAGACTGGGCGTGCTTATTTGCTGTCGCTATAGTTATTATTAATATTTAATATTCATGCTCCTTTTTTTCTAAATATCGCCCCCTAAAACGGAAACGGGTTTTACTTGCACTTTTCCAATCCGCAAGATGCAACTCCGCGCCAAGAATGTTTGGTGACGTCCGTTTTACTTCGTATCTGAGCACAGACCACAGACTAAAATTTGGTATATTAAAAGAGCATTGGGTTCACAATGTTGCGGTCGCGATCCTTTACTTAGCAAAGGAAAGCCGAAAACGTCTAGTTTCTTCCTAGTTATTTCAACTTTAGTTCGGTGCCTACTTTTTCCACTCTTACGTCTTACGTTAGGGGGTCGTGAGCTTAGGCAGCGGCGTGCCGGAACTGAACGAGTACCGATCGGTGATCTATTATCACGAGGACAGGCCGCAGTGGCACGAAACGTTCAAGATATCGTTGAGGATCGAGGAGTTCAAGACCAGTCACTTAAGGTTCACTTTCAAGCATCGTTCATCGAACGAGGCGAAGGACAGAAACGAAAAGCCGTTCGCGATGAGCTACGTCAGACTGATGCAGGGTAACGGCGTGACGTTGTCGGACGCGCGCCACTGCCTTATCGTCTACAAGATCGACTACAAGAAATTCGACGAGGATAGTTTGGAGTACTTGAAGATGCCGTGTTTCGCGAGGGACGCGAAAGAGGTAGCGAAAGTGCCGTCCAACGGTCTTACGGCCAGTCCGAAGGACACTTTTTGCATATCGTCCAATATATGTTCCACGAAGCTGACGCAAAACGGTAGGTTGAAATCGGAAGTAGTTCGAACGTACCGTCGCTAATGAATGAAAATATGGGAATCGCTTTTCTTGTAAAGGACGATTCTGAAAAAAAAAGTAATAACAGGTAAAATGTTTTTTTTAACGCTACCCTACACGTATTTGACACGGTACAGTACAGTTGAAAATTTCAATAATTTGTCAATAAAATCTTCTTTTTCTACTCCCCTCTGTAAAATACCTAATTACCATTGCTGGGCCTGCTGAAGTGGACGCCGCATTTACTGCGTCAGAACTTTTATCTTTTTTAAATTGTTTAAGGGCCTTTTTCCAAAGATATTAATATGGTTTTCTTATACCGATGAACCCTGTATTTTTTGCAAATAAACCCTTTATTTATGTATTTATTTATTTAAAGAACATTTGCTGGGTTTACTACGTCAGAACTTTTATCTTTTTTAAATTGTTTAAGGGCCTTTTTCCAAAGATATTAATATGGTTTTCTTATACCGATGAACCTTGTATTTCTTGCAAATAAACCCTTTGTGTATTTATTTATTTGTTTAAAGAGCATTTGCTCGGTCTACTGAACTGGACGTCGCACAAGGACACGATATCGGAATCGTTGCGCGCCTTCGTGGACGTCGTCGGCGAGGAAGTGGTGAAATTCCTACCCGACATTCTGGACGCGCTCTTCAACATCCTGATGTACGATCCAGACGGGACCGCCTACGACGTCCTGGTGTTCGAGTGCCTCCTACGCATCATCGGCCTCGTCACCAACGACTGGAAGTACCTGCACTTCGAGCCGGTCTTGGATTTGTACATCAAGGAGAGTTTCAGCGCCACTCTGGCCTATCGGTACGCAGAAAAGAAAAAACCGCATCACTTAGGTAGTTCAGATGTCCCGTATCGAGTGTTTGTTGTCCCCAAATGTAGAATGGTAGTTCTAATGAACCGTCCAAAAATGCCCAAATTTAAAATGGGAAATGAATTACTCGTGACCGTGTAATTATATAATTGAAATATAGAGAGGTAAAGTGTGTCCCAAAATATATCGCTTCGGTTTCGTACCCATTGTTACACCGTAATTCACTTTGGATCAGAAGAGGGATGTAAGGATACACGTGCAGCAGGATCGAGTACAAGAAACCGAGAATACTTGTTAACAAAATAATATTTATTTCGTGCCCGCAGCATAATGTCATATTTAACGTTTATATTTTTATATCATTTATATCAAGTTTTTGAAGTTACACATTGAAAACTATGTTTCTTTCAATTTTATTTTTAATAGCAAAAAAAAGGATATCAAACTTCATCAATATTGCGTCATAGATTTCTATTCTGTTTAATCGAACCTCGATCATTGCTTGAACCTTAAAAAATAATTATATTTTTTAATTTGCAAGACTAAAAGAGGAAGAAAATAGATTAGATAGATAACTATTCTTTCCTTTCAAAGAAACTTCCACATGCTATTTACTATTTACAAAGAGTTTGAAAAATTCCGCAGCATTAAACAAGCAGGCTTTGAACTATCTAAAAACGTAACGTAACGTGCAATCGTGTTACGTCCTCGCTTACATGCAGAAATATTTAAAAAACTGTCCCAAGTTCTGCTTCCCGTTTTGTGGCCACGATAAGTAATGCCTTTTGTGTTTTCCACGTCACTGTTATTTAATTGTACCTGCGTTCTTCTTACCTTCTTACCTAAAGTAAATTCTTTAATTTTGCTTAGAGATATCTCAAGAATCGAGCAAAACGGTATCACAGTTTTTTTTTTCAAACGTTCCTAAAAACTAAAATTCTGCCCATCTCTGTCTTCCTATTTTATAAAAATATATTAAGGTACCTATATAATAGTAACATTATAGGTTTTTTTATTCGTCTCCTCTCAGTTTCGTGGCAAATTTTCGATTTATAGATTTCTACAAATTGCCAAAATTCATAAAAATGATATATTCGACAAAAATATATTTCAAGCCTTGTTCCTCCAGCGAAATATATGAACCGAAAAGAAAATATTTAGAGAGGCCGACGGTTTTTGGCGTTTCCTCACTTCGTGCTTCCAAAAATTGGCGAAACGTCAGCAAAAACTGACTCAGGAGGAATCCAGAAGTTTTGTAAAAAGTCTTAATATACTTAAATCCGCCATTTTGTTTTTATTACTTTAAGCAATAATTTATTTAGGGTTTTGAGTTATCGGGAATAGTAGTTCAAACGTTCACTCGCAATAAAAATTTGTATTACGTCGTTTTCATTTACCAAAATATAATTTTCAAAATAAATAAGAACTAAAATTTCAGATTTTCACGAAATTATATATTTTTTCATGACAATTGTTTCGAAAAACACCGTGCCTTTATCAAATGTAATATTTACAAACTACCTGTTACTATATATACCGAAAAATGACCATAAAACCTTAATTAATGTTGTTGCGAGAATTTAAGTCCAATAAAATAAATCTAATAAATCTAATTGATCGTTAAATAATACTTTTGAATGTCTCAATTTGTTAATCTCCATGGCTTCCAATTAAATTAAATTTTCTACTTTTCGTGGCTGTATGTAAAATATCAAAATTGTCGTCAAAAATGTGTTTTTCTGTGTTTAAATGGGTAGCATAATTTTGACAAATGTTTTGAAACTTTTTCACTAGGTTCTCCTATGTATGTAATTGTTTGAAATTGTTTGAACAATAGATTTTAATTATGCTACCCACTTAAACACAGAAAAACACATTTTTGGCGACAATTTTGATTTTTTACATTGTATTGCTTAACGGTCAATTAGATTTAAACATGTCTCCTTTATTGAACTTAAATTATCACAACAACATTAATTAAGGTTTTATGGTCATTTTTCGGTATATATAGTAGCAGATAGTAAATATTTATATAATTTATATAAATATATCTTTTAGTTCTTATTTATTTTGATAAATGGCTTTTCATCAAGCAAAAGCCACGCCGGTTCAATTTTTAAAAAATGTTGCTAAATTGCAGTAAACTCGTGTCAATCTTGAAGGCCATCGTCGGACGTTCCAACGGCACCCCGCCCAACCTGATATTTCGCACGATGAAGGCGCTGCACTACGTCATGAAGTTCACTTCGAGGTCGAGGACGCTCTTCATGGAACTCTACCCGGAGTCGAGCGACGCAGACGATTTCGTCGACAATCTGCGCCACTTGTTTCGTGACGTCATCCGCATGATGGCGTACCGCGACGATGACTACCTACGAGAGCAGGGGGCGTGTCTCAAGTACCTGCCCAGCACCATCCCCGATATTTTGCTGATTTTGGATCAGCGAGAGTTAAGGTTTGGGGCGTTGTTCTCAATCTATAGTAGTTTTGGACGATCCTGGGTTTTAGCGAAACGTTTCGAGACTTGTTGAACAGCATTCATCCCGGCCGACTGACCAAGCAGAAGATGATGACGCTAAACGAGATCATCCACAGTAAGCTGTTCGTTTACCCGGAGTGCCGGAGGATTTTGCTGCCCGTCGTCACCGGCCAGGTGAAGAATCTCCTGGAGATCGAGGACGAGGTGAGCAGCCCCCCTCCCCTTCGCCGTTTTTATGGACCTTTTTCCCCGTTGGTTCGGTACCGAGCTAACCCGGATCGCGCTTAGCGGGATCGGTCGGTCGAGGGCGTGGCAGTAGTTCAAACGCGCCGCCCCGATGTTTGCGTTTCCGCGTTTGTCGTTCGAAAAGCCGCAGTAGTTCAAACGTACCGTCGGACTTGGAGGGTCACGCGGCATGCGGGGCTAACAATTTTTTTAACTACGCCGGCAAGCGATCTTGTAGATGTCAGAGCGGACGTTGACGATGTTATTATTTCAGGCCTTGCGCGGGATAACTTTAGTAACCTCAGGTATTAATATTGTGTTAAGGTGGGCGGCAAAATTTCCCTGTCTGTCAATTGGACTATGCCACTGCATACTCAATTTTTTTTTTTTCGATATTATCGCACTGAACAAAAAATTACTTACGTGACGAGAAAGAACGCTTCTGAAGCGGAATATTCCTTAATTTTACAGTTCTTTACAACATTTACATTTACAACAACTTCATCAGAGTTTGCGTTGACAGTAACAAACAAAACTAGGTCATTAACGAATGAATGAAAATACTTAACCAACAACCTCGTTACATTTTAGCCGAAAATTGTCCGGTTCAAATTTTAATTGATTGTTACAACTTCTGGTGAACATATTTACGGGGAATACTTTTTAAGTCCTATTAACTATTGTACTCATATGTTATATGCTACTCCGTAATCGATATTGGTACAGTTTTACTCAAAAACAAAACCTAGCCTGGAACAGATATCATTAACCAAAGGTTTACGAGGGCAGCGCCATTTTTTCATCATTTTTTTTACCGACCTACGAAAATTCCTTCTTTCAATTTTGCATCACTGATAGGACGAAATTTTGTTTTGAGATATTGAAAGTCACAACTTTATGTGAAGTGGTGGCAGAAAAAGTTTGTCACTCGGCGCTAAAGGTTTATGAGATATATTTTTGACTTTGTAATGTTTTTCTCTTCCGCGGCTGTCCCGCTCATCAATCATTTCTAACAATAACAACAAAAACGGAAATTTTTAGGATCGTTTAAATTTTAAACGACACACCCTGTATATAATTCAAACAATGTTCGGAGTAGAGGTTATAGCTCTGGATCTTCCCCGTTTCCTGGTCCAAAAATTTTTGTTTTCGAGAAAATAAGTTTTTTCTGAAACCATGCGGTGCCAATTAGATTTTTGATTAACGGCTAATAACTTACTCTGGAAAAGAACAATTTTCTAGTTTTTTTAGATTTTTGCCTATAATTTGAAAACCATGTATATAATGGAAAAAATACCTGAAATAAATGTTGTTGCATTTTATCTTCCGCGTCTGCTGGTTATGGAGGAAAACATATTTTTCTGGAAGCTAAAATTACCAAAAAAAAAAAATAAATTTCAAAAATTTTTAAAAAATACTTGGTAAAATTTGATAACACCCAATCTCTACCGTTCAAATGTGAACACAGACATTTACTTCTCTGCTAAATTTGGAGTTGATATCTGCAAATTTAGGACACTTAACACATTTCTCATTTAGCACGGAATATCGGGAACACCCTGTACAATAGGTGAAAACCTTAAATACAAAAGTTATTGCTGTCTATGCGTGCCATACCGCAATATAAAAGAAAGTGAGATCTGAATCATATAGTCTTTTAGTTATAACCAGTAATAGGGGGACCCATTTTTCAATTTTTTTTGAATTTGCGGCGCACCCTGTATATTTTTGAAAAATTGTCATGAATAAATATTTATGGCGCCGTACCTCCTGCGTCTTCTGGTCAATAGGTTCCGTCACGGGGCCAAGCTGCATATATCTGCCATATATGAAGTCGATTGTTTCAAATTTCAGACACTAATCCTGTTTTATAGCAATTTCCAAAAAACAGTCGAAAATCGCGAAACAAAAATGGATACCGGCGTCGGATCAGGGCCATTTCGTACAAGCTTATGTATCTCGTGGAGGGTTAAAAAGGAGACCAATTTGAATTTTATAGCTCTAAGCGTTCGAAAGTTATTCAGGATAAACCAAAAGACGAGAACGGAGAACAGACAGACAAAAAAAAAATTGTTTTCGACATTGATCATTTCTGTACCAATGGCCATCTCGTAGGACCTACTGTTTCCGAGATATAAAATTTTTATACGAGCGCAGATATTTTCGAAAAATTCGATTTCATCGGTCGGTTATAGCATTTCGCTGCATTTTTAGAGTAAACTCACCACAAATATAGCAAAAACAGTCTGCAGAAATCTTACAAATTCGCGGTATTTTGTAACCTAAAATTAAATGAAATTTATTTTTGAAAAATTTTCAAATTGCTGTTTTATATTTTTTGGCTCTGATTATGAAAAAATTGTTGTAAAGTCACAGCGAATACTGCGCAAGCGCATACGTGCATTATTCGATAAAACTAAAATTCTTGCACGTAATCAATTCTTCTACCGACGAAAAATCCAAGAGTTTATAGAAATGTATAAGCAACCAAACAATCGTAACAGTGACTCAGGTCTTTACCTGTCACCAATAATTTAGCTCCGCCCCCCTCAAGCTCCGAAAAAGCTAACAGGATGATTGGCCACAAAAACCGACGCAGGAGGAATCCAGAAGTTTTATAAAAACATCTATATTTGTATTGCAACAAAAGCAATTTTATGAGTAGCATATACGGCCTGTTTTCTTTGGAAGTCCCTGAGTGAAATAGAGGAAAATGTAGAGCTGTCGATTTCAGCCTGCCAATTAAGTTTTGGCGATTTTTGTAAATGACAGCTGCGCAGTGAATTTTCCCATGTCAGACCGGGAAGTTTCGCCCATAGTTGTAATGCATGTTGGCGACGGTAGATGTCGTAACAGTAGCGGTAACGATAATACTAATAGGGTAGCGGCTTTTTTTATATCGACCCGCTCTTGCGAGGAGTAGTCTATGGTAGTGCTGGGCATATTGTAGGGTGTGTCTGTACTACAAGACGGGCGCAGACAGAACCGTTCGGTGGCGAAGGTCGCCCAGCTGCTCGGAACCACTCAGCACTGCGTCAATCAGCACGTGGGATACTCGGAAGAGGTGATAGTTTATTTAAAATAAGCGCGGCTTCTCTATGCATGGACGTAGAGCGGCTCTGAGGTTGCTCGCTCGCGGGCCGGGGCTCCTTCAGGGCCCGCTTTCACCCCCTCCTCACTTTCTTTTTCAGCACCATAGTGTAGAGGGCACGGTAGGAGTTGATAGTGTCGATGACGTCGTAGTAGTGCATGTGTGTCGACTTAACCGGTTGGGGAGGGGACTTTCAGCGTTGGGGTAGGGATATGACGACCTCTAGCGGCTCTCTTCGCACTCTAAACAGTGACGTGCTTAGCACTAAACGCTAAGGCACTAGAGAGTGACGCCACAAGAAATAATTTATGAATGTAAATAGCTCTTAAAAATAAGTTTTATTATCTAAACGATAGATAGAATACATTTTTTTAATATCTATAATACCGCTTTATAGATAGATAGATGAAATTTCGTACACATGTAGTACGTATCAAGAGGCATTATTTATTATTGTTAAAAAAAATTTAATCAGAATCATTGGTTATTTATCTTAATGTTAGGATGTTACGTGAATTCTTTAAATCTGTAAAAGTAAGTGTTCAATTTTTTTTTTCCAAAGGACACTAGTTGATAACTGAAAACTATATTGTTTTAAATAGATATTTTATTTTTCGCAAATTTGGATTGGATTGAAAAAAATCAACAAATTAAATGTCTTCAGAAATGATTGGAGTTTGTAAGAATAATTTTTGTTGTCTGCCAAAATAATAAAAATAATAAAAATTTCATTAAAATATTTAAAGCCGTATATATTTTTGAAAATTTTACCACCATGTATCTTAAAAGTGACGTTCAGGACATATGTTTCGTTTAAAAATTAAAAAACACCGTGCATATTAGCAGTTTATTTTTATATCTCTCAAATATTTGAGACACTCTGTATAACGCTGGTCAATTGTTTTAATTTAAGCAGCTAAATCATATTTTCGTCAATGTTTCTGTCAAAAACCGTAATTATACATGAAAAAAGCAAAACATTTTCAAAAAAAACCTTCATTTTTTGCAAAATGCTTGAAAAAACTACACAAAACGCTTTTAGAGTCTAGAAAAAACTTGAACAATTATAGAACACCCTGTATACATAAAAATAATTTTCTTCAACATTTTTTCAACTTTCTAGTTTAATTTTTTTGCTATCGAACTATTGGCACATACTGTATAGTAGACTGGGTCAAGTCAATTTTTGTGTTTCGATCACTAATAGTAAGCAAAACAAGGTTCTAGGGCAATTTTCAGGGACCTATCTAACAAAAAAAAATGAAAATCGAACCATAAACAAAGATTTTATAAGTTCTAAAGTGGGACACACTGTATATATTCTTTATGCATATGTATATGTTCTATATGACCTGAATGAATTTAGACAAATGAGCTTATTACAAAAATCGGGTATTTCAATAACCATAACATGTTATTGCCTATTATATAATTATAAAAAATATTTATCTGTTAATTTTCCAGACAATGGCGTCCACCATTGTGAATTGTGAATGTCGTTTTCCAAAAAAATCCAAAAAGAAAACCGAAATAAATTTCCTTTTTTCACATATGTTACATACCCTAAATAAGTAAAACATATATAAAACCAAAATACTTAGATAGTTGTTTATTTCTTTTATCTATTTATTAAAACTTAAGAAAATTATAAATACAATTCAGTTCGTAAATGTTAGGAAGAACATTATCGTTATTGGGTCCAATAAATGCAAATTACAGCAATGTTTAACAAAAAATCAATCATAAAACCAATTCTGCCACTTGATGCATTTATATAACTAACTTAAAAGACACAACAAAAGTCCAAGACAATTTTTATGCCAATAGATTGTTCGGTTCACTTTTTGTCCGTCCAGATGTCATTTTTAAAGTCTGCATTTAATTTGTATTTCAATAAGATATATTAAAATAGTATAAAGTACCTTAACCATACCTAAATGAAATATATAAATTCGACGACCAACACTACGACTCATTGTAAAAGTCATTTTGTATAAAATAAGTGAAAATATTGAAACAAACATACCTAGATACGTATAATGAAATAGTAGGAATAACAGTTCCTAAAATAATATGTTTAAACCTCAAAATAATATATTTATATAAGATTAAATGCACATATGATTTTAAGTTGAAGCAATAAGCACAACGACGTTCATTTTTCAGAGACCTATCCAACAAAAAAAAAATCAAAATCGGGGACACAGTGTATATATTTTTTCATTATTATGTTTTTAACAGTGGAAAATTGACAAGAAACAAACGCGTCCGCTTTTAAGCTCCGCCTCTTATTCCGTCGCCGCCCACCTCGCGCCCGCTGATCATAGTTAAACTTCAGTTTCGTAGGTGGAGCTGTGCGTCAAGATCCTCAGCGACTTGATGGAGCTGCTGTTCCGTCGCGACGTCGGCCCCACCTTCGACGACGTCGCCGAAGTGATCGACGCGAACCTACGCACCGTGGTCCAGAGCCACATCAAGATGGAACGCGACAACCCTCACGCGGTAACGCCCTCCGCGGCCACGCCCCCTTCGCGCCCCCTACCTCTAACACCGCTTGCAGGCGCTTCTGGTCGCGGTGATGCTCGACATTTTCCGCCAGATGACGCCCGAGCACTACAACGACTACGTCCAACGTTTCCAGACCAATTTCGACCTGCTCGACTTCCTCATGGAGATCCTGGTCGTGTTCAAGGAGCTGGTCAGCGATTCGGTGTTTCCAGGCGACTGGCACGACATGCTCATGCTTCAAAACAGCGTCATCCTCAAGTCGTTGCGCTTGTTCTCGCACACGATACGCGACTATTTCTTCGAAAGGTTCGAGCACGACGCATGGAACAACTTCTTCCACTGCGCTATCGCGTTCATGACCCAGGACGTGCTCCAGTTGGAGAACTTCTCGTTCAGCAAGCGGATGAAGGTGGTGAACCGGTACGAGGATATGCGCAGGGAGATGGGGTTCGAGGTGAGGGCGAGGCGCGTCGCTTAAACATTATTGTACGACCAAAAATATAGTGCGCTTATTGCTTCGACGTTTTGGTGGCCCTGCTACGGTAAAAATTGATCTTTTGCGCATCCTAACCGACTGTTTCCCTCGTAAAACCTAGTTTGCCGTGGTAAAACCGTATATTCGACTGTCATTCACTCGCTAATTTTATTATTATTTTTTATTGCCGTTGTTTTAAGATGATACGAAAAAATAAACGTCCCTTAAAAAGTATTTTTTATCGCTATTTTCGAAATTTGTATAATTAAAATTTGTAAGATTTTAAAATCACATACAAAATAATCGTCATTTACAAGGTGAGGTGAGGTGGTTTTTACTTGATGAAAATACATTTATCAAAATAAATAAGAACTAAAAGTTCAGATTTTCACGAAATTATATATTTTGACGTGACATTTGTTTCGACAACACTGTATGTCTCTTAACCGATTGATTCCCTCTGAAATCTTTTGCCGAACTTCCACGACATTATTACAAGGAGTTCTGTGCAGGTGATTTTTTGTGTGTCGCCAAAAGAAAAAAATCCATTAAAGATAAGTCGGGACTACTGGCTGGCCAATCCGTAGGTCCGGCGTTGCCTATCCAACCCCGGGGATATTCCATGTTAAGCAAGTAAATCTTCTTTATACTATACTACTATTTGATGCTCTACGAGTTGCAAATAATGATATCCAGTTAGCTTTTGATCTATAAATATTGGACCCAAAATATGCCACGCCAAACATTAAATAGTTGTTACTCCTGGGTTTTAATTTCGTGTATTTGTCTATTATTATTATTACAACCCTTTCTTGTAGTAATCGAACTTTCATTAGTCCGTAAAATGTTTTTCAAAAAATTATTGTTCTCATTATGTCTATTTAGAAAATCCAAACAAAACTGCATCCTGCTTTGACATTGTTCTGCGCTTAGTTTTTGAGTGGATTGATCCTCGAGAAATACCTGTCTCTTCATGTCCTCATAATCCTAATATGTTTGCCTAATTTTCTTCATTTAAAACATGTGTCCTATTTTAAAGTGAGTGGATTAAAATATAAAGCGTGTTACATCATTGTAATCGGACTTAAATATTCTATCAGACACATATATAATATACAGGGTGTACAAAATATGTCATCAAATTGATAGTGTTTGTTTTGGAAAAAAAATTGGCGTTTATTTTATTTTTTTATTTTAGATTTTGAGGACTTTTGTAGTATAGAACTTTGTGATATAAACAGGCTTCATGTAGTTTTCTTCTGCTCTCCATGTTCAACCGTTTAGTCCCTATTAGTTTATGTGATATTCTCTCTCTACACAGAATGCGCAAGAGACTCGCACAATGTAATTTTTATGCCTTGCATATGTTCTCCGGAAGCAGTCAGAGACATGACTCTCAAATCCCAAGTCAGAATCGAAGAAGACTCCCAGGTTTTTTACGTTATTTTTTATAGGCAGAGTAGTGTCTCCAATGTTGATTTTAACTCGAGCCTCCAAACCGTGCGGATCATTTTTTCTGCCAAAAAGCATAATAATTGTGAGTGTTTCAGTGAAAAAGATTGTAATTTATGTAGATGTCAGCCCAGGCGAACCCTTGATCTATAACAGGAAAAGTATATATGCCAGAATACCGTACGTTTTGTTTTTTGGTTTCCTTGGTATCTCTAAAAACGAACAGGTGGTAGGTGGGACGAGAAAATCGTCAATTTTGGGTTCTAGGTGAGGGCGATGTGGTTCAACCTCGGCCAGAACAAGATCCAGTTCGTGCCGTCGATAGTCGGGCTGATGCTCGAGATGACGCTGATACCGGAACGGGAGCTGCGCAGGGCGACGATGCCGATCTTCTTCGACATGATGCAGTGCGAGTTCTACTCGTCCCGTTTACGGTACGAGAGTTACGGCGATACGAAACGCGACTCGTCCCACATCAAGGCGAACTTTAACGAGTTCGAAAACGAGATGATCGTGAAACTGGACGCGTTGTTCGAGGGCGGCAAAGGAGATATCCAGTACAAGTCGTCGTTCGACACCGTCATGACGGATTTGTGCGGCCAGCACACCGCCATGCGGGACCAGGGCGTCAGGTTCGTGAAAACCGTCTGCAGACTGATGGAGAACCTGCTGGAATACAGGGACATCATTTACTCGGACAACAAGGAGAACATCATGAGCTGCATCGTCAATTTGTTGGTGGGTTCCGTAGTCGACACCTGTCTGAAGTAACGGTAGAATATCGGTGTTAAAAGTGGGTAGGTCAAATGTACCGGACGAGAGAATCAGTTCTGTCTTTATTCTTGTTCCTTCATACGAACGGGGTGTAGATACTTGTCAAACATTTTGTTTAATTAATGATAATAAAACACCGTCCAGTCTTACAAAATTTACTTTACCTATTACCTTTTTGTACTAATTCCGATTAAATTGATAGGATGGTAGTGGACGGTAGGTCAAATATACAAAGCCGTTTTTTTTTTACTTGCAGGACTTTTACTCCGAAATCAACAAGAAAGAAATGTACATCCGCTACCTGAACAAACTGTTCGACTTGCACCTGGAGTGCGACAACTACACGGAGGCGGCGTTCACGCTGGAGCTCCACGCGAAGCTGCTCAAGTGGTCGGACGAGCAGCTGCCGCCGTTGCTCAAGAGCGACAAATACCCAACCTCAAATACGCACCGTCAACTCAAGGAGTCTTTGTATTACACTATCATCGACAATTACGACAGGGGCAAGGTAGGGAATAAATCGATCAATCGCCGAAACTTGCAAAAATGCTTAACAATTATTTTTTGTGATTCTATATACCAAATTTACAAGATATGACGTTGAATACGAAAGTTACAAGGTGCCTCAAAACAAAAAAATATGTATTTTGATGGAACAACACTTTAAATATTATTACACCGATGAGTTTTGGTATTAGTTTTCTCTATCCCCTTTCCTCTCTCTCTCTCTCCCTCTCTCCATCTCTCTCTCTCTCTCTTCTTTCCTCTTCCTCTCTCTCTCTCTCTCTCTCTCTCTCTCTCTCTCTCTCTCTCTCTCTCTCTCTCTCTCTCTCTCTCTCTCTCTCTCTCTCTCTCTCTCTCTCTCTCTCTCTCTCTCTCTCTCTCTCCCTCTCCCTCTCTCTCTCTCTCTCTCTCTCTCTCTCTCTCTCTCTCTCTTCTCTCCCCTTTCCTCTCTCTCCCTCTCTCTCTTCCGCCCTCTCTCCTCCTCCCTCCCTCTTTCTCTCTACCCCTCTCCCTCTCTCTACTCCTCTCCTTCTCTCCCCCCCCTCTCTCTCTCGCTCTCTCTCTCTCGCCATCTCTCTCTCTCTCTTCCCCCCCCTCTCTCTCTCGCACTCTCTCTCTCACTCCAAGTTATCATCAATCTTGAAATGAACGTTATACAAACATAACCCTTAAAACTAAAAACGTTCGGCTCTAGATGTGGGAGTACGCGATCGACAGGTGCAAAGAGCTCGCCGAGCAGTACGAGCGAGAGACGTTCGAGTACGATCGGCTCGGCGAGCTTCACTCTCGACTCGCCGCCTTCTACGACAACGTGATGAGACAGGCGCGGCCAGAACCCGAATATTTTCGCGTCGGTTACTACGGACGCGGGTTCCCGCCCCTCCTCCAGAACAAGGTGTTCGTCTACAGGGGCAAAGAGTACGAAAGACTGGCCGACTTTAACACGCGAGTCGCGAACGAGTTCCCCAAGGCGACGCTACTGAACAAACTCGAGCCTCCGGGTGACGAAGTGCTCCAATCGGACGCACAATGTAAGCGATCGTTTATAAACCGTTCATTGTAGGGAGCACTTTCTTAAGTAGCCTAATAATTACAAATTAATAATTAAGCCGGATAATTGATAACTTTTTAATTAAAAGTCAACTGACTAATAAGTAAACCGATAATTTTTACTTGGAAATGTGTAAAAACCGATGAATCGCCTTTCTATTCTACGCACAGATTAATTTCATTAATTAAATTTAATCATTATTAATGGCATCGAAAGTTTCGGTTTATTCATATCTGTAATTAATTAATTAAAACCAGAATTTAATCGAGCAATAATTTTGCGAGTTTTACAATTAACGAAGTAAAAATGTTCAATTCATTAATTAGCAGGTAATTAGTTTCTAAGCCACAATATCGCATATTAATTAGTGGGTCATTTGTCGCACAGATTAATTGCATTAGTTAAACTGAATAATGGTTAATTACATCAAAATTTTCAATTTATGGATTCCGGTTAATTTTACTTCTTACTTCGTCAGCGGTAATCTCATTGTCTAATAATTTTGCCAGTATTTTTACAATTAATGAACTTAAATTATGAATTCATTAATTGATATCTAATGAAATATTATTAATAGATAGGATTATTAATCGATATCATTTGTTGCACAGATTAATTGCATTAATTAAATTTAATGATGATTGAAGACAACAGAAGTTTTCGGTTTATGGACGCCTGTTAATTTTTCATCAGCAGTTTTTTAGAAACAACCCTAATTTATACCATTATTTAATTAAAAGCGTAATCTAATCATCCAATAATTTTGCGAGTATTACAATCAATAAACTAAAAATTATTAATTCATTAATAGTCAAGTAATTAGTTTCTAATCCACAATATCACATATTAACTAGTGGGTTAATACCACATTAACCGATGTCATTTGTTGCACAGGTTAATTACTTTAATTAAATTTCTGTTAATTTTATGTTAATTTCATATAACGGAATCGTAATTTATACCATTAGTTAATTAACTAAAACCATAATCTAATTATCCATTATTTTTGCGAGCATTTTTACAATGAATGAACTAAAAATTATAAATTAATTAAATGGCAACTAAAAAATTATTAATCCATAACCCAGTTATAACTCATTCACCTACGTCATTTGTTCCACAGGTTAATTGCATTAATTAAATTTATTGATGATTAATGTTAAGTATTTCATCAGCAGTTTTATTATTATTTAATTAAGGTAAATAATTAAAACTGCAATCTAATTGTCCGGTATTTTTGCGAGTATTACAATCAATGAACTAAAAATTATCAATTCATTAATTGGCAACTAGTGAGTTAAGATCACCGTGTTAATTATTGAGTTAAGGCATTAACCAATGTCATTTTATTTTTATTGATTATTATTAATGACATCGAAATTCGCAGTTTATGGATCCTAATTAATTTCAAGTTCTTCATTGGCCCAAACTTATTAATTAATTTATCAGCAGGTAATGAGTTATTGACCCGCTAGGATCACGTTTAATTAGTTAACTAATTAACTAATGAGTTAACAATTTTTAGTTGTATTATTATTACCTTCCCGTTTCTGATTAATCGCCAAAGAAGAACTGATAATTAATCCATAATTAATTAAATTAATTAATTAATTCCATCCGCCCCGCCCCGCAGACCTACAAATCAACAAGGTCGACCCCGTAATGGACGATATCCGGAGGCGGTTCGCCGGCAAACCGGTCTGCGACCAAATCATGAAGTTCTACCGTGTGAACAACATCAAAAAGTTCACGTTTTCGCGGCCTTTCGTGCGTAAGGACGTGGCCATCGCGTCCGACAACGAGTTCGCTCACCTGTGGCTCGAAAGGACCGACCTGGTGACTACTTACCCTTTGCCGGGCATCCTCAGATGGTTCCCGGTCGAGACGGTAGAAGTCAGCGAGATATCCCCGTTGAGGAACGCCATAGAGACCATCGAGCGCACCAACAGGTCGCTGAAGAACCAGATCGACCGGTACCGTCGAGATTCCACCATACAGATCAACCCTTTAAGTTTGACCTTGACCGGTATCTTGGACGCCGCTGTCATGGGCGGGATCCGAAACTACGAGGAGGTTTTCTTTAATCCGGATTACCTCGTTCACCACGTCGAAGACGAGAATTTGGTCGGCCGTCTCAAGGAACTCGTGGTCGATCAGTTGCCTCTGCTAGACGCGTGTGTCCAGATCCACCGGAAGATGGCGCCCGTCGACTTGCAACCCCTCCAAAAACGATTGGAGGAATGTTTCGCCCTCTTGAAGGCCGACATCGAGCAGAAGTACAAAAAGAAGGCGGGGAACGGCGAGTAGTTCAAACGCCCAGGACAAGTGCCAATAATTTCGCCTGATTTTTATTTTTTATTTTTTTTTTTTTTTGTTAAAACGTATCAGTTATATTTTGTAATAAACTGACGATCGAAGAAACGGTTGCTTTTTATTTCTTCTTACGTCGTCGACGCATAGCCATATCGAGTTTGGTCTAGTTGGACGTCACTTTAGCACAGACCCTAGACCATAGACAAATATATTGGTTATATATGGCATCGCTAATGCCATGTAAGACACTCACAGCAAAGTTTAGAACCAAATTCCTTGCTTTTTCTATTTCCAAATTCTGAATTCAAAATTTAGAAATTGCAGTTTATGAATTCCTGTTAATTTTAAGTTTTTTATAAACGGGGCCGTAATTCTTAACTACAATTAATTAATTAAAACTAATCTAATCGTCTAATAATCTTGCGAGTAATTATACAATTAATGAACTAAAAATGATAAATAAATCGAAAATTTTTAAAAAAAGAGAAATATAATGGTCAGCGAATTTAGGATACACATGACAGATGACAGAAATTTAAAATATGTTTTTCTATGTACTTTCACTTATAGCGTCACTTGATGCATGCTAGCCTGGTAAATTTTTCTAACAAAAAGAAACATTTTTGGCGCATTTGCTTGGAGTCTCATATCTAAATCTCATGATATCTTATTTATTTATTATTATTATTTATTTATATCATATTATAGCCCTGAATGTTTACTAAATATGAGAAAATATGCCTTTTCATCAAAAAAATGTTGGTTATGTTTGTCTTTTTAAAGCATATTTTAAAACGCCAGGTTTATAAAAATCTTTTTTGAAAATGTATTTGAAAATTGCAGGAGCATATCGAATTTTGCTTACGAATGTATCTCTCCTTGTATTTTAAATAAGCTTCCACCTCTTCCTCTTTTTTATCAACTTCGAAAAATTTTTCTTGCAATCGCATGCACAGACCGTCCAGGGTATGCCGTAGAGAGTTGTCTTCCGTGGCGAATGATTCTATTGGAGATATAGAAATTGTCATTGGCCACAGTACCACAGTTGAGACTTAGGTTAGTTTGTTCTGTTGGGAACACTGTTCTTTTTGTGGCCTATGACTAGTCACGTGTTATATAAATGAAGGTTTTCTTCTCGTAACTAAAAAGTACAAACAGATAAACAAGTTGTCTAACGAAACAAACTCTCTCAGCCATATACTGCAAGAGACGATATGTCAGCGACCATGTTGGTTGTTGAATTCCGCAACATCATTGGTGAGTTTTAGATTTTACATCCCACGCATGCGCATGTCCAAAGGACCTCCTCAAAAATTTTTTCATAATTGATTCATAAGTATATCGGAATAGGCAAGGCACGCATGCTAAACAGCGATCTCCACACACTTAATTCGTTTTCCCGGAACATTTAACGTCATCGCCGGATTTTTAGAAAATACTGCCGTAAAATGCTTCTTATTCTTTTTCCGCCAGTTTACGCTATGTTCAAAATTGACGCAAGTAAAGCTAAAGGTTTTGGTCACAAATCGACACATACACAAACGTACACTCCGTTTCAATTTGAGTTTCGAACGACTCGCAAAAAAAAACTTTTCCCACTTGACTTGTACCGGTAGACAATATTTTGAACTTATTCTGCCTAAAGTGAACTGAGATTAAGCGGTGGTGGTATTTTTAAATAATAATCGTCTCTTCGCTCTTCTTTATCAAATCAACAACAAAAAACTGGTCAAAATGGCGTCGGTGTTAGGTTTTATTGGTTAGAAAAGAGTTTTCACGCGTTCATTAATTGGCATATCTCGATATTTTTCCACCGTCGTTTTAAAAATGTATGTATTATTGGCATATGTGCCAATCTAAAGAAAAAATATAAATACAAGGTACATAAAGTTAAGAGAAAAAAATAAAGATTAAGGTCACAGACTACAGCGAGGTTGTCATCGAATTGTGTGATTTGGCTCGTGTTGATGTTTACGTTTTATTCTATGGTGTTGATATGGAGGACGTAGTTTTGGGTAAGTCGATAAAATAAAACGAGTGAAGCTAAATTTTCGTGATAGAAACGACCGCGTTCGCCAGCGTCGAGCGTGCACTGGATCGTAAATCTCTCTTGCGTTGTTTTCAGGTGATGAAACAAAGACGAAGCCTCCTCTAACCATGAAGATCGAAGAATCCAAGGATTCCAACATCAAAGGTTTTAACGATGTCGCGTAGCTAGCTCCGGTAAACGCAGCTTTCTTTTCTTTTTGCAGGAAAGGACGTCGAACAGCTAAAACGCGCTGAATTGGAGCCGGACTCGCTTAAAACGCCGTGCTTGAATCCGCTCGTTTCAACTCAACAAAACAAACCCGTAAAAGGTATATTAAAACCTCCGCAGTTAAGTTTAAGCGGCAATACGCCCAACACCGTGGCCAATTTGCTGAAACAAGCGAACCTGGACAAAGACGCTGATGCAAAAAGATCCAACGGCGAAGTACTCAAATTTGTGCCTCTCAAGACCAACACCCAAATAACAAAGAAAACCGAGACGCCCGCGCCCGCGAGCAACGTGCCCGCGTCGGCGTCGACGACGACGTTCGTGTTCGGTCAAAACTTGGAAGAAAGAGTTATGGCGGCCGAAGCGAAACCCGCAGAAGGACAGTCTTTGGGCGCCAGTTCGAACGGAGTGAGTGATATGTTGTTTAGTTCGGCGGTAAAGAACGACGTTGCAAAGGACTGTCCGGCCGATTCAAGCAAAGCGAAATCTCTTAGCGACTCGGCCAGGGAGTACGAGGAAATGCGGGCGTGCAAAAGGAAATATGATGCCGTCGAGGTCAAGACTGGCGAGGAGGAAGAAACTAACGTGTTGAGCTTGTCGTGTAAATTGTTTTCATTCGACAAGGATTCGAGTACTTGGCACGAGCGGGGCAGAGGGACGCTCAGGTTGAACGATTTCGAGGTGGACGAAAACATGACTGGCAGCAGGCTCGTGTTCAGGACCACCGGCAGCCTTAGGGTTATATTAAATACCAAGGTAGGATACACCTAGGGAATTTTGTTTTACCGCAATAGCCATTAACAGTGAAATAGAATCGCCTAATTATTATTGATATTAATTTTTATATCTTAACCTAAATTACTATTATAATACACTAGGTCAAAAAATCAATTTCCAATATAGGTTTTTTTGTGAAAAATAATAACCGAAATACATGGAGTTATATATAGAGTGGGTCAAATTTAATACCTTTAGAGGGAAACTCTCCTGTTTAAAGGCATAGAAAACTGATGTCCGATTCTCAAGCTCCATTTTCACAATAAACTTAACGGTAAAACTACACACGGATATCTAGTGCAGTTTCACATTGATAGCCTGTTAATAATTTTTAATAACAATTTAATGGTATTTTATAAAATAATAAGCAATCAACTAAAAATTCAATGTTTTATATGAAAAAACATAGCGCACTTGATATTTTGCATGGGTTTTCTTGGAAATTTTGTATTTTGAACAAGTAGGTTTTGGAGCGTGCACAGTATAGAAAGCAATACGCTACGTTTTAGTTAAACCTTTAGGTAAACATTTTTCGAGGAACCACTTGCACTTTTGATACTGTGCGGAATGTGTCTGCTTAAATTCATCTAACGTTTTTTGCTGATCTTTCTAGTGTCTTGAACTTTCGTGTTTGGAGTTTTCTTTGGCCGCTATTAATTAGGTTCTTCTTCTTCTTTTACTTCTGTTGGCCACGATTAATTAGGTTTGGGTTGCAATCCTCCGAAAAGTTCTCTACGAGCCGTTTTCTCTTGGGATACTGATCGTAGTACAAACCACTTGCGGTCTGCATTATTTGCAAAACCAAAAACCTGACGTACCAATAACACGATTCACAGTTTGACAGTTCGTTTATAGTATTTCCTCCGTCCAAAGCCTACTGGTGCGAGGTGGTATTTTAAATAAAACCATACCAATATGTCACACAAAAACGGGTTAACTTATATTTTTTAGATACACGCATTTAAAATTTTGTTTTAATACGACGGAGGAATTTCAGTAAAAAATATTTGTTGTGATCTTGTGATTAGCGGTATCTTGTCAAAAGCGCCACCTGGCGATATAACCGACCGCCTTAACTATGTGCGGCGTTGCCGGTCGTTGCAAAGTTTCAACGACCGCCGGAATTTGTCGCGCTTACGATGTTTTTTTTTACCGCGTGCAGATTTGGGCGGAAATGACGATCGAAAAGGCGAGCGACAAGAGTATCCGGCTCACCGCTCTCGACTCCAACGGCGAAGTGAAAATATTTTTAATCATGGTGAGTAGCAAACTCTTGATTGGAACCTTCGGCACTGCACTAACACACAATAACGCGTTTTACCACAAACCGAAACTCAATTTTACGTACTCGATGCGCGTTTCGCCAACCAAGTTGGCATCTTCAGGAGAAGATTAAAATTTGTTTAGTTAGTTTTAATCTTCTCCTGAAGATGCCAACTTGCGTATTGTGTGTTATGGTGAGTAGCGCGCTCGCGCAGACTTGCGCAATTGGCAACGTCGTTTGACTTTCCCGCAGGCAACTATCGAAGACGCCAGGCATTTGTATGCGCACCTGAAGCCGCGTCTAGAAAAGGAAGTGCTGGCCCAGAAACGTCCGAAAACCAGCTCGGACGAAGGCGAGACGAAATGATGGCGTCTTCTTTTCCGGGCGGTTTTTTTTTCGCGACGCTTCTAGCACGTTTCGAGCGACATGGCATTTCGTTGTATATTTTATACTTTAACCGACGGGGCGACAACAGTTGAAATCGTTTTGTAATTCCACTTGGTTTGTTATTATTTAAGCATCAAATAAACAATGTGATCGGCAACGGGACTTTTCGTTTGCGTTTCAACCTTAAAATGTCACCAAACTTACCGGGTAACTATAAACAAAAAAAATTGGAGAAAGTCCATCCAACATGCGCATGCGCGGCATTTAAAATGTCGTTTTTAACCAATGATCTTGCTTCATTCAACAACCAACATGGCCGCTGACATATCGTCCGTCTGTTTGCATGCGGCATTATTACGGCTGTATTTTCTGAAAATATGCCCGGACCTCGTTAAATGTTTAGGAAAAACGAGTTCAGTTTGTGGAAATCGAGCAACGTGAATGTTATTTGTGAAGCCGCTCTATAGCTAAAAGGAAACAACTATTTTTTCAAATAAAGGCGTCGCTTCCTTCAACAACCAACATGGCCGCTGACAGATCGTCAATATGTTTGGATGCTGTACTTTCTCAAAACGTGTTAGGTTAGTAGTAGTGCCATTATCTTATCTAATAATTATATGGCCACCAAAAACACCATTTTTCAAAAACTGTTTACGAGACCAAAAAAATTCTTGAACCAGAAGAAGCAGAAGATACGGCCCTATGAATAGTGACAATTTTTCAAAAATACACAGCGTGCGCCGCAAATTCAAAAAAACTGAAAAATGGGTCCTCCTATTATTAAAAATTGGCTATAATTGACAACTATGATTCAGATCTCACTTTTTTTATATTATGATATAGCCCGCATAGATAGCAAAACCTTTTGTATTTAAGGTTTTCACCTATTGTACAGGGTGTTCCCGATATTCCGTGCTAAATGAGAAATGTGTTGGGTGTCCTAAATTTGCAGATATCAACTTAAAATTTAGCAGAGAAGTAAAAGTCCATGTCCACATTTAAACCGTAGAAATTGGGTGTAATCAAATCTTACGAAGTATTTTTTAAATATAGTAGATTTTTTTTTGGTCATTTTAGCTTCGAGAAAAATATGTTCTCCTCCATAATCGTTCATCCGATTGGCAAAATTCTTTAACCGGCAGACGCAAATGATTCATTTATTTCAGGAATTTTTTCGATTATATACAGGGTTTTCAAATTGTAGGCAAAAATCTAAAAGACCTAGAAAATTGTTTTTCTACAGAGTAAATTATTAGACGCAAACCAAAAATCGTAAAAAATATGGCTAATTGAAATGTGAACTGCGTGATGTGGACATTTTTCAAATTGGTGTCTTCTGCAACTTTCTCACTATAATTTTAAACAAAGTCCAAAATCGCTGTATCTGCTCATATTTCTTTTTTCTTAACTGTTGTTTACCAATTTGCTGTTATACCATAACTTAAAAAACAAACCGCATTGATTTTGAGATAATTTTCCGATTTTTCAAGTCTTCCAAAATCCTGTTACGGATTTTGCCCCATCGAACCACTGTCTCGGGAGTGCCGCAAGGCTCCTACTTTGGACGCCGGGAATAACGAGGGAAAAGGAACAAACAACACCCATATTTGAATATTTTTATTACTAAAAGTCGTTATTCTATTCTACAATTTTTCATTTTGCTCTCCATGAATTTGGAACAATACCTTAAAAAAAAAAAAAGAAGAAGGGGAAAACCGAAAACGACCAGAGAAACGCGAAACGCGCGTGCCCGGCACAAAAAATAAGGGTCCTCTCCCGGCTTCGACGCGTCACAATATTTTTCTCTCTTTTTTTTTTTAATATTTAGGCACTGCAAAACTTTTTTGCAACATAAACGTCCGTCGGACCGGTTAACGACGGGGGAAAAATTACAATAATAATAATAATAACCACCCCTCTCCTGCGCGACCTCTAGCTAATCTAATGAAAAATACTCGGAAACACTGATGATGGATCCGCGCGATCCTACACGCCTGCGCCACTCTCTCTCTCTCTCTCTCTCTCTCTCTCTCTCTCTCTCTCTCTCTCTCACCCGCTGCATCTGCCACACTCCCAACTATTTATTGATTTATTTGTTTGTTTGTTTTGCCGTTCAAGATTTTGGACTCCAAGCGTTTACTGCGACGACGACGATGATGATGGATGATATAGCATTTATATACAAACTAAACTAAAAAAAGTATATAAAATTCGGGGGGCCCCCTCCAAGCGCATTACGATATTTAAGCGGGCGGTTTCGGGCAAGATAAAAATCGAAAAGTGAAACAGACAGTGGCGTACCTAAAAAATAGCCTGCTGTTTTTATACCCCTGTCTTGATGGATGACATTTTTCTCAGGCTAAATGTTAAAAACGTTGCCCATTTTGTCAAGTCCTTTGTGGTGAACATGGAGAAATGGTGAAATGGTGCATAGGCGACTTTATGAAACGCGTCAGTCATTGAGACCAGAGAACGGTTTTTGAATCAAAAAATTAGATAAATGTGGCACATTTCACTCAGAAACTACCATTTTGCAAGCGTCATAAAAGTAAAACGGAAATGCGCGAATTCGCGGATAATCGAGGCTCTACTGTACCGAACAAAAAAAAAATTGTTATTTCGGTTAAAACGTTCCGATGAAAAAATGTTTACAAAATCAAAATATTTGTCGCATTAAGAGCTCAGAAGCTACAGGTACTATTCAAAATCGACGCACACCAATTTTTTTTTGTAATGCGCCTTCAATAATCAAAATTGGACAGCCGGCACAATCCGTTCCATGACAAATCCGCTCACCCGGGTAATTTCATTATTTATGGTCAGTGTTAACGTTTACTTGGGCAGAATTAACGGATAATCGAGGATGTACTGTACCTGTCAGCACCTCACCTTTCATTTTTTGACCTCCCTGTATTGTTTTCATCTTGGCCTGCGCCCTCACGCTTAAAAACCGCAACCTACTTCTTAGGAAGCGCCGCGAATACGACCGACAACGCGAAACCACGCCCCCCTCACGCCGTCCCGTTATGTACACCGAGTCACTAACTCCCCCTATCAAACCTACGCATGCGCATGCGCGATTCGCGTTGCCGTACGCTGTCTGCGTCTGTGTGTTTATGGTGTGTATATGTGTGTGTGTGTGTGCCTGTGATGTAGTAAGAGAGGATTGTTTTTTTTTCGTCTCTCTGGTTATTACACGATATGTATGATGCCTTATTTAAACTGAAATATAAAATAGATGAAAAATATATATATATAGAGTCCCAGAACGAAATGGCTCGCATTTCACACTACCCCCGCGCACTCTTTGCGTCCCCGCAGTACCGTCCGATATATATATTTATATGTATGTATATAACAAGGGTGCTGTTTAGACACCAGGTCCACGCGGCTGGCTGCTTGGCTTTTTTTTGTTTTGAATGTTTTTTTTTCTTTATTGTTGTCGCGCGTTTCCGTGTTAATGCACTTCCGAGGGCTCGGGCTTCGGCGCGTGATGATTGGCCGCCACTTCCGGGGTGCTGATGGGCTACGGGGCGAAAGAAACAACGTTAGAAGGCCTCGAAACGTCCGTCGCCGCACATTTGAACTACCGCCGTCGGTTATAACATCATAACCACTTACGTAGGGTAGCAGAATGAAAAAAAAAAAAAAAAAAGCAAATTCTGATAAATGATAAAAGTAAATATATATGTGCTTAATGGTTAAAATAAAATTAGATTGTAATTAGTCCGGAATTGTCCCTGATCTATAACTTTTGAGAGAGATAGAAAAAGCAGGGGCCGATGAAGCAATTTTTTTTTTTTGGATGCTTGTCAATTTTATGGGATTGGCGCGAAAAAACCATATTTCCGTCACGACTTGGCAACAATGCCGATTTCCCTGAATAAATGAAATATTAGATTAAAAAAAAAGTGGTTCTCTCCACCTGCCTAGTGACGTCAAAACCAACGGAGTATCGTTTTTCATGTATATTTAAAAGTGCCCGTCTATTCTGGCGTCGATTAAAAACGACTAAATAAAAACGAGTATTATAATGAAAAAAAATTTTTTTCATGCGACCAGAACGTAGATTTGTATAACTTTTAATACAAAATTTCCATATTTCCGTCACGACTTGGCAACAGTGCCGATTTCCCTGACGCGCGACGGACTTTCTATGGTAAAAGTTGGGTGCCTCCGAGCGCACTTACCAGAGCGTGGGGCGGCACGGGGACCGGACCGACGGGGGGCGCGGGCTGGGGCGTCGGCGGGGCCGCGTTGGGCGTCACCGTGTGGGGGGCCTCGTGCGGCGTTGTCGAGTGGGCCTGCTGCACCGGCAGAGCGCCGCCGCTCTGGTAGTAGCCGCCGTTTACGCCCGCCGGCGACACTGTGTAAAAAAAAGGGGGGCGTCGAATCTGCCCATCTGGGGCCAGAAAGACACCGGTCTTCCGATCGATAGAGACTTTTTCGGCTAATTTGTGCTGGTGCTGACCAATTGGCTAGTCAAATTCGATCAAAATGTCTTAAATAATATTATCTGTCATTAGTAGGGTTGTGTAAGGACCGGTCATTTTTTTTGTGTCAATTGACCGAAATCGCTTTAAAAATACCATGGAATTTATATTTATTTATTTTTCTGAGACCTAAATGGAATCGCTAACTATATCTGTAAAAGTCACCAGCCCGGATCGCATTTGAAAATTGCAAATAATTTCGCCTCGATCTCCATCGACCGGCATGCGGGGAGGGGAGGGGGTTACCTGTACCTTCGGGATATGAGCCCGGGCCCATAAAGTACTCCTTGTTGACGCAGTTGCGCAGGCATTCGGGTATCCGGCCCATGATCGCGCGTCTGATCTCGCTGGCCGCCATTTCGCGCAGCTCGGTGGCGCTCGCGTCGCTGTAGAAGGCCGCGTGGGGCGTGCACAGCACATTTGGCGCGTCCTTGAGGGGCCCCGTGAACACGTTATACGGCTCGTTCTCGTGGACGTCGAGCGCAGCGGCCCTGATCCGGCCCTGCTTCAGCGCCTGCGCGAGGGCGTCGTCGTCGACGAGGCCGCCCCGCGCTGCGACCCGCCAAAACGGTAAACCGTACGTCGAACATACCGTGCGAATGTAAAATCAAATGCGTGTTTCCACTTGTTTTACGTTGTCCAGCAGTTCAAATGAAGCAATCGTTTGGTCAGAGCGGCTCGGAAGCTTTTGTCCCGCCGAATAGTTCAGTTGAACCGTTAGATAGGTTAACGCGTCCTCGACGCTTTGGTTTCGAGTAGTTCAACTGAACCATTACGAGACTTTTGCTTAGCCGGGCAGTTCAAATGAACCAATCGCTTAGTTAGCACGTCTTCAAGGATTTTGTTTCGCCGAATAGTTCAACTGAACCATTAGGTAGGTTAGCGCGTCCTCAAGACTAGTTGAAATGTACCTTATCGAGTGCTTCAAACAAACTGATCTATGCGCTAGAGCGTCCGTTTCCAAAGGTTTTATTTAACCGAGCAGTTCAAACAGAACGAATCGGTAAATTAGCAACGTCTTCAAGACTTTTGACTCGCCGAGTGGTTGAAATTTACTATTCGCTCTCTTAGCGCGTCTCCAAGTCTTAGTTCAAATGCACCAATCGTTAGGTTAGCGTCGCTTTTGCCCGGCCGAGTAGTTCAATTGAACCGTTATGCAGGTTAGCGCGCCTTTCCAAGGATTTCAGGGTCGAGTAGTTCAAATAAAGCAATCTACGGACTAGAGCGGCTTTTTTTTTTTTTGCTTAACCAGTCAGTTCAAACTAACCAATTTCTAAGTTAGTACCACTTCATTCAAAAAGTATATTTTTTATACATTATTTTTTATTTCTAGGTTAATTAATTTTTAATTACGAATACAAAAATTTGAAACCTGAAACCTGAAATGTTTGTGTCAAATCTGGCGTAGCAATTTGGGATGGTGATTTGCCCCTCTTTCTAGTCGATAAAAAAAAATACAATCAGAGCCAAATAGAAAAAAAAAGCAGAGAAAATATTTTTTAAAACCGTATCTTACGTCTTACATTTTGTAACCTTAAAAATGCCAACTGACTGTGTCGCATTCGACAAACGAACGGAATACCTACTCCAAAAAATCCGAATGAAACGTATCACTAATAAAGTCGGTCTAATTTTATGCTTAGGTCGCTCTTGCAGTCACCAACCGAACTTTTGTCAAAACTGGTTACTCTGTAAATTATTTAAAGATGATTTATTTTGCCAAGGCTTTTGCTTCGTAGACTAGTTCAAATTAACATTTTGATTGGTTCATTGAACTTAATTGACGGGGTGTCTCCAAGACTAGTCTTTGTGAGTAGTTCAAACGGACCACCCGACGGTTAGACCGTCTGCAAGGTCCCCTTGCGTTTGAGAGTAGTTCAAATGGTCCAATCGGCATTCGCGGCTCTTCGAAGCCTTCACTAATTCAAATGAACAGATAAAATAGCCGGGAAAAGCCGCAGATAAAATATCTACGCAAGATCTATACTTTATCTATAGGTCGGGTAGTTCAAACGCTCGTCCGCCTACCTGTGTTGACGAGAAACGCGCCCGGCCGCATCTGCTTGATGGTGAACTCGTTGATCAGATGATGGTTGTGCTCGTTGAGCGTACAATGCAGGGATACGCAGTCAGACTGGAACAGCAGGTCCTGCAGCGTGTACACCCGCGTCAGTCCGAGACTCTTCTCGATACCGTCGGGCAGGTACGGGTCGTAGAAGATGACGTTGAAACCGAACGCCTTGGCTCGCAGAGCGACTGCGGAGCCGATCCGGCCCAGACCGACGATGCCCAGCGTGTCGCCTCGTATCCGCGCACAACCCTGAGCTGCCTCGCGGACCTGCGCAATGACAAATCGCGTCGTCGTAAAGGATAGTCGCGAATCAGAAAAAAGTAGTTCAAATGCATCCGACCGCGAAGAAAATTACTTTTCGAAACGGGGCGCACAAATAATTACCATTGTTCACTTGAACTACCGCCGTAAACAGGCCCATTTTTCGGAATTTTAGTAAAAAAGACATATAGATACATTTTTTTGAGCGACGTTGGTGATCATTACATAATGGTGCCGGGTTATTACAATATCGTACATTTCTACTTTTAATATCGTCTTAAATAAGATTTGTTTGAAGTTCATGTATAAATTTTGCCTTTTTTTGCCGTAATCCTTGCCTCACTGCAAGTTTTGCCCCCTTTTTGTAGAATGTGTTGATCATCTGTATTGGTATTTGAAGAGTTTGATGATTTCACTACTGCTGAAGTTAGTTTTTCAAATTTTTGAATGTTTGATACTGGGTGGAAGGTAAACAAAGATTTCCAGCATTGTCAACATGGAACAAGATGGAAGCAATGCAAGATGCAGAAACAGAAGAGTCTTATTCATTTGATCTATTACTTTACGGGTATGGTGATTTCTTTCTTGAAGTAAACTTGAACTAGATTTATAATTTATAATAGAAATTTATAACCAAAGGGGTTTTTGGCATGATCGGATATTTTAACAAAATTATGGATAACATTATTGTTGACTGTCCAACTCCAGTCATATTTGAACACGTTTCAACTAGTTTTCCACTAATTTTGCCAGTCTTGGAACCTTTGACGATCAACCTAGGTCCAATGCTACGAGGTGTGTTCAAAAAGTAAGTGGACTTTCGTCTTGTGTGATCGACGATTTTCTGTCAAAAAAAAAATGGAATAAAGAATTTGCATAAAATTTTGTAAAAAAAAAGTGCTGCAAAACATTTGCAATGTTGACAACGGCATATGGTGAACCTACTTAGAGCAAAAAAAAATGTTTGTAAGTGGTACAAGAAGCGAAACAAATCGGGTGGAAAAATCATTATTAGAGTAGTGGCTGAGGAGGTCGTTATCTCTATTGCAATTTTTTCCGAAGTTTTGGACATTAAACGTGTAGCAGCAAAATTTGTTGCGAAACTGGTTAATTTTGAACAAAAGGACCGTCGAAGGGGCATCGCTCCAGAGCTGTTGAACGTCAGTGATGATCCTGAATCGCCAAGACTGAAAAAAGCACGTCAAGTTCTATCAAACGTTCAAGGCTATACCAGAAATGCTCCCAGGATTACTTTGATAAACAAATAAATAAAAAATCGATCTTTCATGACGGGATAAAAAAAAATCGAAACATTAAGAAATAGGGAGGAATGGGTACCATTTTCTATTTTCTTTTTGATGAAACCCTTACGTCCGGTATTTTTCCGTACCTGTTCGGGTCCGGTAAACTTTTTCCCCTCCCTGACCATGTTGGCCAGCCAATACGTTCGCCTGTAAAGGTTCAGTATGAGACACAGGGTAGTGTCGGCGACCTCTTCGACCCCGTAACCCGGTACGTTGCACACGGCGATCCCCAATTCGCCGGCCGCTTTCACGTCGATGTTGTCCACACCGCTACCGATGCGCACTATGATCCGCAACGTTTTGAACTTTTCGAGGTCCTCCTTCGTCAGGATGATAGTGTGCCACATCAGGGCGCCGACGGCCTCGTTCAAAACCTTAAAAAAAAAACACGCGCAAAACGAAACATGAAGATTTCTTGTTTCCACGTTTTTTTCTGGGTTGTTCTCCTTTCTCTTTTCTCTGATTTTAATTTGGAAAGCCTCAAATATTACAAGTTTTTTATGCGGTAAACTACCCCCAATTTTTGATGTTTTTTTTTTAATTTCCACCGCGTTTGAAATTTTTGCAATTTTTCGATGTTCTCCTATTCAATTTTTTTTTTTCATAAACAATACAAGTTTCACTTTTAACAATTTTTTCCTACACTTTTCAAACATACTTTTTGATGTTTTTCTATTTACATCGATGTTTTCCCAAAAACAGAAACTAGTTTAACGATTGACACATTTTAAATTTTTTCTAACGGTTTTTAACCAATTTTTCTAATTGTCTATTTAAATACATTTTTCCCATAAACAAGACGAGTTTAACTCCAGCACAAATTTTATTTTTTCCTACGCTTTTAAACATTTTTTTCAATTTTTCCATGTTTCCCTATTTAAATTATTTTTTTACGATAAACAAGACAAATTTTACTTTTAACAATTTTTTGCTACAATTTTCAAAAACATTTTTCTATTTACGTCGATTTTTTGCCAAAAACAGAAGCTAGTTTAAGGATTGACACATTTCAATTTTTTTCTAACTGTTTTTAACCAATTTTTCTAATTGTCCATTTCAATTGATTTTTCCAATAACAAGACGAGTATCATTTTTTAACACATTTTAAATATTTTTCCTACGCTTTCCAACAACATTTTTTCAATTTTTCGATATTTTCCTATTCAAATTATTCTTTTCCCATAAACAAAACGAGTTTCACTTTTAGCGCATTTTTCATTTTTTTCCAAGAACATTTTTTTCAATTTTTCGATATTTTCACATTTAAATTCATTTTTTCCCATAAACAGTTTCACTTTTAAAGCATTTAAAAAAAATTGCAAATGGTTTTTAAGGATATTTTTTCAATTTTTCGCTGTTTTTTATTCAAATTTCAAATTTTTGCCAACGGTTTTCAAAATTTTCTTAATTTTTCAATTCAATGTTTTTCAATTTTTATTATATTTTTTCATAAATTTTAATTTTTTTCCAACGCTTTTAGTTTATTTTTTCGATGTTTTTCTATGTTAATTGATTTTTTGTTTCCCAAAAATAAGAAAAAAATCTTTTGATCCTTGTATTTTTTACGAAAACTAGACAAGTTTTATTTTTAACACTTTTCGACGACATTTTCTCAATTTTTCGATGTTTTTCTATTTTTATTTTATTTTTTTCATAAATAGGTAACACATTTTTAAAAATTTTTCCAACGCCTTTTAACGTAATTTGTGCAATTTTTCAGTCTTGTTTTTCAAGACAAGAGACTTTTCCTACTTGTATAATTTTAATTTTTATTTATTTTTTTTTTCAATAAACAAGCTTTATTTTCAAATTTTGTATATTTTTTTTCCAACACATTTTTTTCACATAAACAATACCAGTTTTATTTTCCACATATTCCTAATACTTTCCAACACTTTTCAACTTTTCTACATTTCCATATTTTAATCGATTTTTTTCCCATAACCGAGACAAATTTTTGTTTTCAAAATAATTTGATTTTTTTTCAACGTCCACGTTTTTTAATTATAATTATTACAGCGTGTAATATTACGATTTTTTATGTTAATTGATTTCTTTTTCCACAAACAAGCCAGATTTTTAACAAATTTTAAAATTTTTAAAAAACGTTCTTTTAATTTCAATTTTTTAGCCATAAAAAATGCAAGTTTCATTTTTTTTTGAACGTTACCTTAATATTAATCTTTCGGTATTTTTTTCAATAAACCAGCTTTATTTTTAACACACTTTTAAGTTTTTCCCAACTCATTTAACCACGTTTTTAATTTTTTTGATATTTTTCTATTTTTATTGAATTTTTCAACCAAAATTTTATTTTCCAATTCTTTTTCATTGTTCTATTTTAAGAACAATTTGAATTTTTTCCAAGTTTTTTATTTTAATTATTACTTCCGACACGTTGCTAATTTTTTTTCTACCCGTTATTCGAATATCAATTTTGAGCGTTCTCTTAATTTAAATTTCCAAACATACGAAAAATTACAATTTACGTTTTTGCAAATAAATTATAGACTCTTAAGAAAGTGTTTTTATATACTCCATTTTTCTACTGCAACTCGATAGCCACTATCGACGACTTTTTAACTAATTTTATTTTCCCACAAATACGTTCTATTTTCCCCGAACTATGCAACGAAAAAAACATTCTCTCTCTCTCCGAGTGGGGCGAGTCGACCGAGCGGAGCGGCAAGCCGGCCCATTGCGGACCACTAGGCCGGCCAACACCGAGCAACTGACCAAATTAAACTATGATGCACCTACCTTCTCGTGTATTTCGCTGGTGCTCTGAGCGTCGCAGAAAGCGACCGTCGCGACGTCTTTCAGGATCGGCATCTCGATCGAGCAGTCGCGTCCGTCGAGCAGGGCGACCAGGGGACGTGCCTGCATCGGTCCGTTGGCGATCGGGGCGCGCGATTCGAATCTAGGCCTTTTGGGCAACATTTTCCGTTTGTCCATTTAACAGGGGGTGTGTGGGGGTGAGAAAGAGAGAGACACACACAGACGACGTTTGTCTCGACGTTACGTCCTACCCGTACTATACCGACGTCATCAAAGATAAAAAAAGGCAACACTGCTGACGCACCACAGGGACGAAACGTCAGTAAGGGGTACCCGCACGGATCACCACCATGCCACCGCGCACCGCCGCACCGCAGCACCGCCGAGAGAGACAGGGAGTCGCTCGACACGCAAGTAACGGATGGGGGGGCCCCCGGTCTACGGTTAGGAACCGGGACGGCAGACGTCACACCGTACCGTCGAGCCCGGACGAATCTGGAACAGAAACGAAAACGTGACGTCATAATAACAAAGGAAAACTGCGAAGCAACGCTCCCCAGGAGTGACGGTCACTCGGTAAAGTGAACCCCAGAACTCTGAAACGTCAACTACAATTCCCTTTAAGATTGCTTTATTATTCCTTGTCGTCGGTATGGAAAAAAAAAGCACAATTCGTAATGCAAATTTGTTGTTTCAAAACCTTATTGTGCACCAGAAACCGGGAACATTTGTTTTAAATAATTCCCGTCCAGCTTCTTGAATTGGGAGTAGATTTTGGGAAATCTTTGACAATATGACAACAGCGTACATTTCTCGTGTTTTACTTTCCCTCATTCTCTCCGATGATTACATAAAAAAAGGTTATACCTTTTTCCAGATCGGTTATTTAATTTTGTGAAATTATTCAGAATGTCCTGACGCTTCCGGATTTTCCACGGCGGAGAATTTTGCAACAGACCAAAGGGAAACCCGGTTTTTCACTCTTCAAAATGACAAAAATAACGCGGGATCTTGGTTTACAAAAAAAAAATACTGCTTAAGGCTTGAGGTTATAAAACTCGATCTTTGAGTTATTTAAATTGGGAGATAACGGAGACTACTCAAATATCGCACGATTGTCGACAAAACGTTACTCATACAGGTGAAAGTGCGGCGCAGAGATATGATTTCGGTTTTTGTTTACAATTAAAAATAGTCCGAATTGATGTCGACCGCCGTTACGAACCGCGGTACGCCGGGAAATCGGATTTTGTTTGTCGCCGTCCGCGTATTTGAAAAAAATCCGAAACGCGAGGGTGTTTCGCGGGAACCGGCGAAAAAAAAAACGATAAAAATTTTGACGGATCCTCGAATATTTCGCCTCGATAATTTGAAACGGTTCGTCTTATTAAACAAGATCAAAAACGCGGGTAGAAAAAAATCATTTGCTTACATTTCCCAGCGCTCCCCTCCCATTCGGCCGCAAGCTTAACGTTAGCATTCACGCAATTTAAATATCAAAACAAGTGTGTGGCCAAGCACTCGTCATAAACCATTTTCGCACCGTAATCCACAAACAAAATCACCAACGGATCGATTCCGAGCGTTTCGGCCGGTTCGACTTACCATTTAGTTAATTCGCGTAAGAAACAAAGAGAAAGCCTGAGGAGCCACGCTGTTAGGTCCCAACTGGACGACTTTGCAGTGCGGCGGTTTCCAATCCAGACGGGCACTTTTATTTAACGGACACGCGGATTGTCCACGGCGCTAAATTCGGCGCACTCGGCAACGAAAATAATTAACTTTTCGTCAACGCAAAACGTAATATCGTGGAAATATCAACGCACACCTCACTTTTCTCCCCACTTAGGCGAGTCAAAATGGCCGGCAATGTAATGACAAATGTTGCCAACTTTGGCGCTTGAAAACCTGTAAACAGGAAATCGTGTTTGAGCATTTTTTACGAAACGGTTAATGGGGAGACGGTTTTTGCAGCGTACAATTTTTAACTTGGCTTAAACCGTCGTTTAAGAGAGCGACTCTCAAAACTTTGCATCCGAATGGAATATTCTTGTATTTATTTAATATTTATTCATTGACAAAGAATATTGCACAGAATCAACAACTATACCAGGTTAAGTAAAGTTACTGCTGCAACACTCTCAAACTATGCTGTGTTGCCCCAAATAATAAGTTATTAATAAATAATTAACTACATCAATTTGGGTTAAGAGTTGCTCGTATAGACGAGTTTTTGATATATTTTTGTGCATTAGATGAAGTATCGTGCGTCACATGTAATGCTGACCACGGACCACCAAAAACCTTGCTCAATAAATTGTGACGTAGCCGAAACGAAGCCGTACGTCATTTATTTGTATGAGAAACTACGGGTAGGACTAAAAAAACAAATGGAGGTTACATTAAATTTATAAAAATAAATCACTTTACAATTAAAAAAAAGAAACACAAATCATAATGTTAATTCAGACAACTGTTTTTTTAAATCATTGACTTGTTGCCTTGCTTCTTTCAGATCCGGTTTCAAATTTTGATATTTAGCGACTTCCTTAAGCAAAGACTCTTTTTCTTCCCTTAAAGCTTTTAGCCTATCAACGTGCTGATTTATGCTGGTCAGATTGTATTCGGGATCGCTCAACCATGGATACTTTTTCTGCAATCAATTTTTTAAGACAATGAAAACAAACCTCAAATATAGCCTTACTTCAAATTTGGTTAGTTCCCGTTGATATGTGCTCTCTTTTTCTTTCAGCTGATTGATATCTCTCGAAAATGTTTTTAATACATGGTCAAAGTCTTGTCGGCTTTGCTGCGACTGCCTACAAAGTGCACACTTATATACTTAGGTAGAGTGCAGCGAGAAACCCTAAATACTCTTCAAAATATCGCAGGTCTGACGAGATTCTGTTGTTTAAATTGATGAAATACTGAATACTTTTCTTCAAATGGGCCATATACATTTGACAAACTCTCGCTCTGTCCAATTCCAGCACAAATTCACCACTGTCGCCGTCATCCAAATAGGCCGTTAAATATTCCAGGTCGCGAAGTTTAAGCTTCTTAAATATTTCTTCCATCTTCGCGCCTGAAAATATGACTGTGATGAAAAACGCCGACATTTGTTCCACACACCAGTACATTCTTCCTTGTAAAACTTAGCTCTTCGGTCCACTATCGAATGATATTCCTTCAAATCGCCGTCCGACATTTTAGGATATTTTTGTTAGACAATCAAATCTTAACGTAACTTCGACATCAAATTGTTGGTTTCTGCTCCATGAAACGACAGCTGACAGTGACGCCACAGACCATAGAACAGAAACACTCAAACTAACGGATGATTATCCTACTAAATGATATAATCTAATTATACCTAATTATTAGATCGATTTGATGATATCGTAAGAGTAAAAAGCAACGGCGTTTCAAAAAATCTGATAAGCCGACACAATTAGAAACTGCAAATTAAATCGGGAATGGGTCATTTGGAGGTTCGGAACTGTTTGGGTTCAGAGTATAAAGCGAGAGCAGTCTACCAAGTGGGGTCGATTAAGTCGCGTGCCTCGATTTAAAAAAATGCGCGCAAAATACGCTCGCAGAATACAGACGACGCGCCCGCTAAATCGCGGCGAGTGTATTGATGACCGTCGTGAATTTCGCCGTAACAGTCGTCGCGGAAAACAAAATTTAATCAATCACGTGGTGCACCACGTTACGTTAAACGTGACCCTGTGGCCGGATCATGTGCAAATATTAACGTTCGAGCAAAGAGTTGCGCTCTCCAACTATACCGATGCGATTATATCCGTAGATCGGGAACTAACGCGCCGACAAACGTAAACGAGACGGGAAATGCGCCCCCACGAACCCCTTTAGCGATGAAAATAACCGCGGCAGGCGAAAATCGACGACCCGAGAAGAGAGCCGTGCGGCAGCGGGGTTTGTCGTAAATTCATTCAGGTCTCACGTGTAATCAAGCGTGTTTGTTTTATTTGTGCGTTTCCATCAGAGTTCCATTTGGCCAACGTTATAGATGATTCCGCGCGGAGAGAGAGAGCGCATTGCCACTCGAATTAATTCGCAAACGGCAAGATTATCGTTTTTGTTATCGGTGTTTCATTTCGGAGGCGGAGGTGCGTGCGGTTCCTGTTTTTTTTTTGTTAGTTTCGCCGCGAAAAAACAATATATCCGCACGATGAACGTAAACCACTTGTATCTGGAGGAAAACTCAAACATTCAGAGTATTAAATACGAGGGGTGAGTGTAAAGTTACGCGCGGCCTCGAGTCTAATTTATTTGGTCAAAAAATTTGCATTTGCTTCACATTGCCATTTGGCGTTTAACGCGTGAAGTTTTCAAATTCGACGAAGTCTGCAAGTTTTAACGTTGTTCGCGATTAGATGACGTCAAATCGCTATTTTCGAGTCGTCGAAACCCAGAAATCGGAAAGTTGGTCACGGATAACCAGTGTTATGTTTAAAAGCACCAGTTTTATAATCTGTGATTGGCCTATCCGAAATGTCATTTGTCAAATATCGGACTGGTTTTATAAACAGTGCGCCGGATTCAATTTGTTCTAACGGAGCCGACCAATCAGAACGCGGTGGCCAGTTCGGATCATTTCTTGAAAATACATCCCTCATATCCACTTTAAATCCTGCAGTTAATTCCAAAATAATAATGATAATACATCCGTTTTTAAAAGCCACGACGTTAAAAGATTGGAGAATTTGAAAATATTATTTTTAATTTTCGAAATACAGCGATATTACTCGGGAAGTATTGCTTTTTGATTATTCGCTCATCTAAAAGAAGCGCACTGTCTTCAATTCAAATTTGCCGCCACCTGACGACAGAAAATTAGTTCGTCCTATGGCGCACGGTGGCGCTGGTTCCAACGTTTATCGCTTGGCTTTTAATTGTTATTATTTACTTAGAAACTTGAACTTTTCCACGGCGACTTGTAGCGAAGACGACTGGGAATCCGGCCCGTACAAGAAAAGCAAAACGGCACGGGTGAGTAAATCGGATTGGACGAATCGAATCGTCTGTCTCGCTCGTTTTAGCGGTTCCTTCGTTTAATAACAATTGAACCTTTTTACGCAAGCGCAGCAAGATCCGTTGTCTCACCGGATCATAGAAAAGAGACGCAGGGACCGGATGAACAACTGCCTCGCCGATTTGTCCCGACTGATACCGGCGAAATATTTGAAAAAAGGGAGGGGCAGGGTCGAGAAAACTGAAATCATCGAGATGGCGATAAAACACATGAAATATTTGCAAGGTGAACAGTCCAACGCGATGCAGTATTACCGGTAAGATTTGCCAAAAACCAAAAACACGTTTTCACTTGTCAAAAGTGACGAAATAAGTTTATCTATGCTACGTGCGGACATTTTTTAAAGAATGAATTACGTTATTAGTAAAATGAGACTTCGTCATAACCACAGATCCTAATTTAACAACTATTAACTATTTAACTTTTTTATTTAACGTTTGGGAGAGAACGTCTTATAAAAAAGTTCGAAATTTTTTTTGCAAGGTATATTTTTATAAAAGCATAATGATGTGTCGTATACTCAAATCCAATAGTTTTTGAGATATATTTACGCTTTTTAAATAAAAGCAACATTCAAAAATAAAATGATATTCTAGAATTTATAATTAACATCGTAGGTGGCTGCGAAATAAGTCTCCATCAAATGTTTGTTTATAACTGACAGTGACAGTTACCAGGTATAGAGTTTTCAAGACGTACGTCCTTTTTATAATGAAATGCTCTATTCTGAAAGAGAAAAGCAATTAATTTTGGAAAGGTATTGATGTATTTTTATAGGGAACTCTAAAATATCGGGCGAATCAGATCAATTGAAGAAAATTGAACAATTCCATTTGTAAAATTAATTACGTACGTATTATATTATACCTAAATAATTAATAAGTTCTAGAATATTTTTTAATGTTGAGTTTAAGTTAACAAATATTATAAATAGGATACTGGTATTAGGATATATTAAACGAAATGTCCTCTTCTTTCTGGCTAGACCGGATGTTTGTTGAAATGTTTCATGAATACGATGAAAAGTGTTTTAACAAAATAAATAAGAACTAAAAGTTCAGATTTTCACGAAATTATGTATTTTGACATGACAATTGTTTCGACGACACAGTGTCTTTATCAAATGTGATTTGAAAGTAAAAGTAAAGTAATGTAAAAGCCACCTCAGTTCAATTTACGAAAGTTCCTTTTGAACCAATTTAGTCCTCTTATTTGGTTTAATAAACGTTTCTATAATTCATCGTTTTTCTCTTTGTCAATCAGGCAATATAGTTGTAACCATTGAATGTTTCTCAAAACTCGAGCACTTGACATGCAAGTCGGTTTTTCTTATTTATTTTGTGGTGTAGTGTATTAAATTATAAATTATTAGAAATGAGAGGGGATGTAAGGTGTTTTAATGCTGGGTTCAGGGACACGGATGGCTCTCTAAACAAGAGAGCTGATAACCGATGTGCATAGGTTCTGACTATATAAGAATGATAGATTATTATTAGTATATAATTCAATCGTATAGAATTTAAGTGGCCAAAAAAATCTCTGACAATGAAGTCAAATAACAAAAGTGCCATCACGTAGGGTTTCCATAATTTTGGTTTTAGACGGAAAGTGTCAAGGGCTTTCCTCTTAAAGGATTCCTTCCATAAGTATACTCACGATGACTAGTTTTAATTAACTAATGCTTTAATATATTGAAAATAAGAAAAATAATGGAAATCAGTGAAAACAAAAAAGATTCTCGAATAGTCTTTTGAAAAGATGAATGTTGACGAAGAAAAATGAAAGACTTGTACAGTTGTTAAAAAAACACTCAGTGTTCGAAGTGTTTTCGGAGCGCGAGCATTGAAGATGCCAAGTGAGATTTTGGCGAAACGTCTGCAGGATTCCAGTTGGATGCAAGATTTGCAGGATTCCAGTCGGATGCAGGATTCCAGTCGGAGTTCAACGAGCGAACGGATGATATCCCGGAATATAGTGTCATCATATACATATATATATATATATATATATATATATATATATATATATATATATATATATATATATATATATATATATATATATATATATATATATATATATATATATATATATATATATATATATATATATATATATATATATATATATATATATATATATATATATATACACAAAACGGTAGTCGTGACCGGCTAGTTGAACAACAAATTTTAGTTAATTGGGGTATCGGTCCGATCTAATCTATCATTCTTATATAGTCAGAACCTATGCACATCGGTTATCAGCTCTCTTGTTTAGAGAGCCATCCGTGTCCCTGAACCCAGCATTAAAACACCTTACATCCCCTCTCATTTCTAATAATTTATAATTTAATACACTACACCACAAAATAAATAAGAACTAAAAGTTCAGATTTTGGACGAAATTATGTATTGGGTTGTTCGGAAAGTCATTTCGTTTTTTTTTGGGGAACATGAAAGACAGTTTTCGTATAATGAATAAATATTTTATTAAATTATATATTGGCCATTCTGGTCCAACACCTTTTGCCATCTTTCTGGCAGTAACATAATTCCCCTCTCATAAAAGTTTTGGTCCTTGCTGGCAAAAAACTGGTTCAGGTGGTTTTTGACATCTTCATTTGAAGTAAAGGTTTTGCCATCCAAAAAATTTTGCAGGGACCGGAACAAATAGTAGTCGGAAGGCGCCAGATCTGGAGAATATGGTGGATGTTGCGGTACGTCCCATTCAAGCTGTAAAAGTTTTTGGCGAGTGACCAAACTTGTGTGAGGTCTCGCATTATCCTGGTGGAACACTACACCCTTCCTGTTGATTAATTCGGGCCCCTTCTCTTTAAGTGAATCATTCAATTTGTCCAGTTGATGACAATAGACTTCTGAATTAATCGTTGTATTGTCCGGCAAAAGCTCAAAAAAAACGATTCCTTTGACATCCCACCAAACGGAGAGCATCACCTTTTTTTGGTGAATGTTGGCTTTTGACACCCTTTGAGCCGGTTCATCTTTTCGGCTCCATGACCTCTTGCGTTTAACATTGTTGTATACAACCCATTTTTCGTCCCCAGTAATAATCCGCTTCAAAAATGGATCATTTTCTTGACGTTTGAGGAGCGAATCACACACGTCAACGCGACGACACAAATTTCGCTCCGCAAGGACATGGGGCACCCACACATCTAGCTTCGAGTTTAAGCCCATGTCTTTCAAATGGCCATAAACAGTCGAATTCGACAAATTTAATCTCTCACCGATCTCTCGTGTGGTTATTCGCCGATTTGCATCAACTAATGCCTTTATCGCATCTTTGTCAGCTTCGACCGGCCTTCCAGACCGTGGTGCATCTTCGACATCAAAATTGCCGGATCGAAATTTTGCAAACCAGTTCTGGCACGGGCGTACTGTTAACACGCCTTCTCCATACACGTCCGTCAATTTTTTTTCTCGCTTGGACAGCATTTTTACCTTTTCTGAAGTAAAAAAGTAAAATATGACGAAAATGCTGCTTATTGCTCTCCATATTTAAAAGGGCACCAACCAAAAACTACTGCGTAGAATTAATAGAACTTTTTCATACGCAAGCCTTGCAATATCAGCTCTCAAGACATATAATGGTTATGCGGCTTAAGTGTGAAGTTGGTTTCGAAAAAACGTAATTAAGTCCCCTGACCGGAAAAAACGAAATGACTTTCCGAACAACCTTATATATTCACATGACAATTGTTTCGACGACACCGTGTCTTTATCAAATGTAATATTGACAAACTACCTGCCGCTATATATACCGAAAAATGACAATAAAACCTTAATTAATGTTGTGAGAATTTAAGTTTAATAATGGAGAACTATTTAAATCTAATTGATCGTTAAGCAATACATTTGAATGTCTCATTTTCTTAATCTTCATGGCTTCCAATAAATTTAATTTTCTACTTTTTGTGGCTGTATGTAAAATATGAAAATTGTCGTCAAAAATGTGCTTTTTTGTGTTTAAGTGTGTAGCATAATTAGAATCTAGACTATTGTTTTTAAACCCTCTTTTATGTTCATTTCAATTGTCTGTTCGTTCCAATAAAAGCAAAGACATCATCGACGTGTCTATACCACCACAGAAAACTTTTACTTAAAGGATATTCTAGTATGACATTTTCCAAATTATCCATAAAAATCTCGGCTAACTAAGGACTAAGTGGGTTTCGCATAATTAAACCTTCCTTAGAGATGTAAATTTGTTCATTAAATTCAAAATAATTTTGGTCTAAAGATACTATTAAGCAATCTAATAAATCTTGTTTCACCAATGGGTTAACCTGTTTTGAAGTGAGGGTGAAATCTACTAAATCTATCACATCCGTAGGTGGAATACTGGGAAATAAGTTCCGTACATCAAAAGACAATAGTGTTGCGTTAGAAGGGATTTTGATATTTTTAATTTTGTTGATTAATGCAAATGAATTTTTTATTACAAATTTTGGTTTAAAATGTGACAAATTACAATTGTCGTGTGAATATATATAATTTCGTGAAGATCTCAACTTTTTCATCAAGTAAAAGCCACCTCCCTTCAACTACACCACAACCTTCCGCCGTTGTCCTGACATTTAAAACATCACTGACCGATCGAAAGTGGCATGTGGAAGTTTTTTCGAAAAAAAGAAACGGCATCATCATTCCTATTCCAGTTTGGGCTACCAGGAGTGCATGTCCGAGGCGATCAAGTTCATGGTGGAGGTGGAGGGCCACTTCCCCAGGGAATCGATATGCGTACGTCTCCTAAAGCACCTGCAGAACCGCTGCGACCAGACGTCGGGGTCGGCGCCGGCGCCTTCGCCGCGTCACCAGCAGCGGCGCGACGAGTCGCCACTGCTCGGGTCGGGCGACGACCCGACCGTGACCGATTACACGGTCGTCGGCGGCGTCGCGGGGGGTGGGGCGCGCGACCCGCGCAAATCGATGACGCAATACGCGACGAAACTGGACGACGACGTCGGCGGCGGCGTGTCCTACAAGTACAAGACGAGCATCAAGCTCAGGTTCAATCAGGACTGCAATTCGGCCGGCGTGAACGGCCGAAGAGGATCCCTAGCGAGTTTGGAGGAGAGGTGGGTCGATGGGGCGGGGGGAAGTGCGAAAAATGTTTTTTGTTTCGCTTCCTAGCAACGCAATTAAAGCGTGACGTCAAAGTCGGCGTTTCACGAAAAAATTTTTGGAGCGATCTCGAATTTCGATTCAAATAGAACTCGGTACCGAAAAAATATGGGTTTCCGTCCGCGATTTTCGTCACATGGGTACGTAGCAATCGTTAATACACACAATCGGTTCCAGTCCGGAGCGCAGCTCGACGGTGAGCAGCGTCGAGTTCGGCAACGCCGCGTCCGACAGCGAGACGACGAATACGAGGCGGCCGCGCGACGTTGCCGCGTCTCGCGCTCGCCTTCGGCCAGGAACGCCGACGCGCGTGCGCCGCACACCCGACGACAACGCGCACGTGCCGGTGTTCGTGCTGCACGCGCACGGTTCCTATTACGTGCCGCTGACCGTCGATTATCGCACCCTGGTCCCGTTTTTGGGCGATCGCGATTTCGGCGATTCCCCCCAAAATGTCATCCTGCACCCGGTGACGATTAACGTAAATTTTTTGGCGGACGGCCGTGGCGCATCGGCCCAGCGGTACGACGCCGCCTGCGACTCCAACTGACCACGGAACGGTGCCGTGCTTGTGTTATCGAAATGACATCTGACAGGTAGACGTAAAAAATAAAAACGTTTAAATTTTATTATAGGCGAATTCGTTCTCGACGACGATGGCAATGTTGACGGTGAACTAACGCGGGCTTAAAAAAGAATGCGGATCGTTCGAATTTATTTTCCGATGATCTCGTCGATCTATCTTATTTATCTGATTTACCTATGAGTTTATACGATTTTTAATAATTGCAGACTATTTAACAGTTCGTGAGCATATATCAAATCGAATATTGCTTTGTAAATAAAAAAAAATGAAAATTGGAAATGATGCAGGGAGGGTATTTTAATGAAACTCAAACAATAACCCACAAATATTGGTTTTTAGCGAATTAATTATCATAGTCATGGTAGGGCTGCCTGAATATTAATATCCTACCGTTCAAGTTTGACCACATTTAGATGCAAACATACAAAAACATATACGGAAAATCGGTTTGTTTGGATCCCAAACGTTCAGTTATCACTAATCGGTAAAATCGTCTATAAAGTTTTTATTATTTGCCGTGCGTTTTCACGGAAAACAACCCGTTAAATTCAGCGAGGTGTCATTTCAATAACTGTATGAAAGAAAATGCAGGTCCGTGAACGGAAGCGAGTGTGGTCTGCGACCAATGAAAAGGCTGTGACGATCGACGAAATTCCAGAAAAAACTCGACGCGAATGTCAGGTTTTGTCCATTACCTATCGGATTTGCCACAATGTCGTGTTGTTTTCCAAATATACGTACGTACCACCAGTCTACTTTGTTTTATTACGCAATGCGTGAAATTCGGTTTCATGCGCTTCTTCCTATATTTAAAAAAATCATCTTCTGTTACCCGGTACATTTAAGCAATGTTATATTTATAAATCATAATTAGAAGACGTAATTCGCATATAGGTGTAAACAAATACAATTGAAACAAAACACATATTTATAACACTACAACATAAGAATTTACTATTTTAAAATACCAGCAAGGAGATTTTTAATTGGCATTTTATAGACACAAGATTGTTACAGTTACAAATTTCAGACATTGCTCTACGACTTGCTAAATTTCAATTTATTGTCGCCCCATCTATTGCGCTAAAGCGGGGTTAGTTGAATCATGGATTATATGCTGCCTAATAGCAGAAAAGAAGAAGAGCATTGTTTAGTCTGTGGCGTTCATTGGTGAACTGATTTTTTTAACTTTTCTTTTAATTATTTATAAAACACGAACATTTGTGATCAATATAAGTACAGAGGATCATCTTCTTTTGCTTTGCTTTTCGTTAACGTGGACATACAGAGAATCTAACGAAAACTAATAGGTTTGTTGATAGACAGGAAATTCATTGGAATTCGATTGACAATTTTTGTTCGGCGTACGCGTTGAAACTTAATATATTTAATTTTCAACCTAACCTTAGTTTATCGCCATTGATATATTTTCCACTTTCTTTTTTAATTAACCCTCCATTGGATAATTTGAAACTATTAATTGGGTTGATCTTTATCCCTTGGAGAAAAGTTTGCAAACTTGCCAGAAACCTCCGTGTTTGCTGGGCATCTAGAAACTTAATAAGAAAGAAATGGGTACCATTTCCTTTATGTTGGCATTTCTATTATATTTTAGACTTCAATACCCAAATTTAAAAAACTCCACATTCCACAGATAAACAATATAACCATAGATAAAAGATTTAAAACCACAAATAACTAGGTGTTCATTTTGTATTTGCTGTGACACATTTAACCAAAAAAGACGGCTATACAAAAAAAAACTCAAACCTCAGCCAACGATCTGGTTTTATTTTCCATAAGTTTGAACTACAGTTTCAAGAAGTGTTCAATCCTTCCCCGCACCCGCTACGGTAGAAAGTATTTCTGAAAAAAAAAAAATGGTCTACGTTGTACAAGGTAAGGAAAATTTTTTTTCGAATGTTTAGTTATAAAACTCAATATTCGGTTGCTGTAACAACGCATCCGTTGAAAAGACTTTGCATTTGACGTTAGTATTGATATGCGCAACCATTAGATATTGGTCAGTTACGGATCTTATCGTCATTTTACCTCCGGATTGTCGTCGTAGATGCAGTGAGCTATCTCGTACGCCGCTGCGCATTTGTCGTCGATTGTTTTCACTAAAATCAATACGGATCTATATCGCTAAGCGACTCGATATGGCTTTCTATTTAAAAAAATAAAATAAACTGGTAGTTATTTGAGTGATACAACAACGAAAATATAAATAACTACTCATCCGGCATGAAAAAATTATTAAAATCGCTAAGGTTTGGTCGCGTGCTTAAACAACCAGTACATTTTTATCCTACCGGATTCTTTGCAATTGAGAACGCTGGCGATCGCGGTGGTCGCAATCGAAGGCGGCGCTTGGTTTTCGAGCACCTTCAGACCGCTTTCCCAGTCGAACGTGTTATCTTTTTTTTGCTGAAATCGGCGAAAATTGCGACTCGACAAAACTAACCGCCAAAAATTCACTCACCAACTTGTACATGGTTAAGATACAATTCAAGTAGCACTGAAAAAAAAACGGCCTGAACTCACCCATTTTCGAACTATGCCTCGCTAAATTTGAATTTAGTTTTGGTTATATTACCTGTCCGTTTCGGTCTTGGTTCCAGTCGCCTTGCTTCATGGCCTCGATTTGTTCTGGAAGACGTTTATTATGTCAAAGAAAGATAGAGTTCCAAAATGGGGTTATTTTTTATCGAACCACAGACCACAGGAGCTGCAAGATGTTGGTATCTAGCTAACGATCAATCATAGTAGCTAGAGGTACGGCAATGTCTACATTCAATTAAATCTAGTACCAATATTTGTCACGCCAAGAAGATTTTTCGAACATTCTGCTTATCGGCATTTCTTGAGGCTCCCCTTACGGTCTAATGTGTTTTTATCTTACCGCTTGTCGCTTTGGATTTCGGTTGACAAGTGTTGCGTACGAGTTTCAAAGCCGCCTTCATCTGAGCCTCAGACATCTGAAAATCGGGTCGCATGCGCGTTACCCCGTGTTTAAAGACAACTTTCTTACCGCCGCCCGTGTCCACGGCACCGCAGAAATCACGCCGATCGCCAGCATCAACAGTTTCATTGTGCGACGCTGAAAAGCTCCTCGTCTCGAATGCGAAGAAAACTTTAAATCTCCGAAATGGTTAAACGGCGGCGATTACCGCAAATGACGATAATGGCGGGTTTGTGCGGATGCGCCGACGAAAATTATCCACGATTAGCGAAAAACAAAACCGCATCACGTGTAATTATTATATTCCGCGGAAAACACCATTTCGATAAAAAGTAACATTTGGGTAACTTGATATCAAATAAAATGCAATTTCATTCTATTTCACAAGGCGACTCCTGATTTTATATTACTTGTTTTTATGCGACCCTCTGTGACAGAAAAACTCGCTTTGGTGGGCTGATTCTTCCAACCGAAACTGACCATTTCTTTAATAATTATTATTCCCTACCATGCACGAAACACAAATGGTCCCAAATTTAATTTTTGGGCGATGAAATAAGATGGCATCGCACAACCGTGACGTCATTTTTCATCCAAACTTGAGGGTAAATAGAAAACTGGGATTGTCTTCGCTAATTAAGCGTCAGCGGACTCCAAAATACGTTCGCTTTTGTCATAATTTCTCTCTACAAATTCTCCCAGCGCGTGATAGAATAGAAAACATTTATGCGCCAATCCCGTTCAATGCGTGAATGGTGACGAATGTGATCAACATGTTTTAAAGCGAGGTTATGCCGCAATTTGTTACACAATTTGTTTCGATTTGTGAAGAAATGACTTAACTGAAGAGAAAAATGACGAATGTAATTTACAAAACAGTAAGGGCGACGGCGATTAAATTTCCCACCGCATATTTTTATGCCAACGCAAGTCACTACGCTCTGTGTACTCAAGGGTCTTCCTATCTAACGGATTGTAGGAGGCGAAACATCATTTTGTCTAGTCATTATGTAGGGCATCGTTTACCCTGGATTGCAGTTACCCGAAAATTTGCATCGGAAAGGGATGCAAAGAAAAAAGTGGAAAAGAAGTCATTATTTAAGCGGTTTAAAGAGATGTATCGAGACTACTGGTATGTCTTGATTCCTGTTCATTTGGCGACTTCGGCGGTGTGGTGCGGTGCGTTTTACTATCTCGCGCGTAGGTAAGTGGTTTCGTAACAGCATGTTGTATATTAGTAATAACTATTGTGGCACTTTAGCGGAGTGGATGTACCCGCCCTGCTAGAGGCCATGAACTTTAGCGAGAAAATTGTAAACTCGATGAGGGAATCGAAAATGGGATACGTAGCTATAACTTATGGACTGTACAAAATAGCGACTCCCGCAAGGTATGCGGTAACATTGGGAGGGACCACAGTATCGATTCAGTATTTGAAGAAATGGGGTTACATCAAACCAACAAAAGAATTAAAAGAAATGTACCAAGAGAAAAAACAGAGTATGAAAGAAACCAAGGAGAACATTATGGAAAAAGTTTATGATTTTAAAGATAAGAAGGACAATTTTATGGAAAGTGTGAAGGAAACAAAAAAAGGATTTGATGACAAGAAGGACAGTATATTAAGTAGTGTGAAAGACGCGAAAAACATGGTTTCGAAAGTAGTAGGTACTTCCAAAAGTGAAAAAAGCTAAACTTGCACTATATTCCCTTTATTTCTGTTAATACTATTTATGAAGGATATACATAAGCAATGGCCAATAAACCCATTTTAAATTTAAGTGCTTTTCTTTATAAAATCTTTAACTTTAATAAGGCCTATATCTGTTGTTTCTGTAATTGCCCCTGCCCTCTTCGTAATAATCTTTCGATTCTGGCCTTTGCTGGCGACTAAATCCCGGATGCTCTCTACGATCTCTGTTTCCGAATCTTGATCGCACGTGCCAAGGGTATACTATTGGAGGCTCCGGTATATCGTTTTGTAAAACGTCTTGGTAATCTCGATCGACATCACTAAATCTATCGGAGAATTCTACTTCGCATTCTTCTAGAAATTTTTTTTGTTCTTCAGTCAAAGTAGTCATATTAACACCGCCGACAAATACGTATGTTGACAAACACCAAAATCGTACCCTAACCTCACTTTCAGGCGCAGATTTTCCTGCGGCGCGGCATTTGTCACATTTATATTGTGGGGTTACATCGGACATGTAATGTCTTGTCGGCATAATAATTTGAAAAATGCAATAATTTTTCGACATATTTTGTTGGAAAAATAAATTTATTTAATTTACTAACTTTACCCTCTAGCGTGTGTTATAATCTGTAACTTTTGTTTACATAACCTTAGAATGAAGATTTTCGCTCTTAATTTTTTCAGTCGAAATTTCTAAAATGTGTAAAGTGTTAGTGTCGAAGTATGGGAACTGATGCACGCTACGTAAATGGCGCATGTCTACAGAAGATGTCTTACCAACGCCTTCAATACATATTCGTTAGGACTTATATGCATATTGTTCCTCGCTGTTGTTATACTGAGTTATAAATTATTATCAAGGGATGATTGTGGTATTGGTATCTCCGTTCACGAAGGCTTTCAGTATAAAAAGCCAGCACATGAGGAAACCGACAGTGTCGGGCATCATAAACTGGCCGTACTTGTTCCCTTCCGAGAGAGGTTCGAAGAATTATTGATATTTGCGCCCTACATGAAAGATTTCCTGAACGGCCAAAACATAAATCATCGCGTGTTTATACTAAATCAGATTGATAATTACAGATTCAATAGGGCCTCGCTGATAAACGCGGGGTTTTTATTAACCAAAAACGATTTTGATTACATTGCCATGCACGACGTCGACTTGCTGCCGTTAAATCACCAACTGAAATATTCGTATCCCGAGCAACCGTTTCACTTGGCAGCACCGGAACTGCACCCTCGCTATCACTATGCCAAATTCATTGGCGGTATTCTACTTATAAACCGAGACCATTTTGAATTAGTGAAAGGACTCTCCAATAGATATTGGGGCTGGGGATTGGAAGACGACGAATTCTATGTACGTTTGAAGGACGCTAACTTGGAGATTCGCAGGCCGAGTAACTTAGCAACAAACGTTACAAATACTTTTAAACATCTGCATCATAAGGCCAGAAAGAGAGACACTGTCAAGTGTTACAACCAAAGGGAAGTGACGAGGAAACGAGACAGACAGACCGGACTCCATGATGTCAAGTTCCACGAAGCCGGGCGAAAAGAACTGACAATTGAAGGAGCGCCACTGACCGTTATAAATATACAGTTGTTCTGCGATAGGAACACCACTCCCTGGTGCGATTGCTCCGAAAGCGGAAAATAACTTACCCGAAAAGTTTTCGTTAGTACGCTCGCAAAAAACTTTTGCTCTCTGAGTGTGTCATAGTCATTTGTTTTTAACGCTATTGTTTTTTTATTAGTAATATAGGATTACCTATTTTTATCGGTCATTTTAAGATGCTACCTGTGGATTTGAATTTCGGGCACATAATTTGACAGACGCCAGGAGTTGAACAAATCTAAGTTTAGAGACAGATAATATCTGCTGTCTGTGCCCATTTGGGAAGTATACTAAGATTATGCGCCCAGTATTTCAAATTTGTGCCGGTAATGGAGAGTCTGCTAAACATTAAAAATGAGGAAGGCCAAGTTTTTGCTGATTTTCGAATTCCGTATTCGTAGCAGAAATGTCAAAAATTCTCGTCGGATTTAGAAGGTGGGCGAATGATTTTAGAAAGTCCGCCTATTATTGTGAGACGTAGAATGGAACTTGCGGCTTTTCATGGACTTGTGAGAATAAAAATAACCGGATTTTTTTTATACGACTGTTTTTAGAAACAAAAACGCTTTTATAAAATAATTTGGAGGTAACCTAAAAGTAAAGTTGGAGAAATGTTTAAATTTAATTTTTCCGATCGAGACGTGTCGCTCGACTTACCGGCATCCTTAGTTAAGCAGGGTAGCGTTGTTCCTTTGCCGAGTAAACGTATAAACCCCGAAGAAATAGACGATTCAATTCGAAGCATCATATTTAGCGACTGCCAAGTGAACATTTATCGACAAGGCGAACATGCGGTTCGTTATTTCTCGTGTGAAGATATTTTGCGAGTTCTTCGAACGCACGGGGTCAGTTTACCAAGTTTAGAGGCCGACGACGATCACTCCGACTTAAAATCCGGTATTTACGAAGGCGGACTTAAAATTTGGGAATGCACCTACGACTTAATTAGTTATATGGTAGTCGATGATATCGACATGAAAAATAAGTGTGTGCTGGATTTGGGATGCGGGGCTGGTTTGGTAGGGCTTTGGTGTTTGCTTCGAGGCGCCGCTTGTACTTTTCAGGACTATAATTCGGATGTTGTGTGTAACCTAACTATTCCCAATGTGTTACTGAACGATGGGGTAATTTTAGAAAAGTGTGCCTTTTTTTCGGGCGATTGGCAGTCTTTTACGGAACTAAGTGAACGTTTAAATTTGACGAACAGTTTCGATTACATAATGACTTCTGAAACAATTTATAACGTAGAGAACTACCCCAAACTACACTCAGTGTTTGAAAAGATGCTTAAGCGGACTGGTCAAGTGTATTTGGCTGCTAAAGTGCACTATTTTGGAGTGGGGGGCGGGTTATCTTTGTTCGAAGATTATGTGAGAACCAAAAACGTGTTTAAGACGTCACTTTCTTGGCAATCGGTGCAGGGCGTTAACAGGATGATCCTCAACATTTCATTTAAATAAAGGTTTTATTGTTCTCATTGTTCATTTGTCCGCGTAAATCATTTTCTTCACTTTACGTGTGCTATACCTTAAGCTTTTCAACAAACCGGCAGTTAAAATGCCCTTGACACTTTGACTGACTGAGGAGTTCCACACTATCGTTTTTATACAATGGTTAACTATTTCACTGCACTCGGGATCATATGCGAGCGCTCTCAAAACGTCCTCGGTGTCCTGTCTAAAGTTACCTTTGTTCCATATTCTCGTCAGCGCCTTCTGGGGCCACCTCGGTAACTGATTTAAGTGATGCAGCTTGGCGATGGGACTCTTGTCTTGTGAACAGTAAACAGTGTCATCGCCGTGAACGTATCCTACTACGTTTCGCAGTACGTCACTATCGTTCTTGAGCATAGGAAATTCCACATAGTCCGGAAGGTTCAGAATCAAAGGTTTGTACAAGTCCCTAAAGCCTAACATCTGTTGCTTGACAATGTTCTCCACCTTTTTCTTATTTTCACCGAAAGTCATGCGAAAATCGCCCGAGTAACTTAAATTCGACACGGTGTGGTAAAATTCGTATTCCGTAAAATATTCTGGCAGCAGTAATAGAGCCGCGTGCATGGCGGACCTCAAGTTTAGTTGCAGGCCTGTTTCGAGTTCGGTATCCAGTGGTTTTTTGACAAATTCGACGGGCTTGTGCAGTCGACCAGCTAAATATATGTCGGACCACTCGAGTAAGTCGGTGACCAAGTCCTCAGTCGCGACGACTCCGTATTTTACTAAGTAATCGTCTATTCTGACGAGCGTGTTGAAGTAAACTTTAGCGCCGATATTTTTTTGATATCTCGTAATGAAATTGTGCCCGAAATATTTCAAGCCGCTGTAGTGCGACGAGTTTAGGTGCAAGTTCGCTTCGTGCCAAGCGACCGGGTCTTTTACCGCGAATATCAAGTCGATCATGTTTTCCTTTTGGTTATTTTGGAGTTGCTTTTTTACAGCCGACCCGTAAGCGAAACAAAACGTTATGTTTTGCGGGAATTTCGAAACGATCCTGCAATATATCGAGGGCACAATTTTCAATTGGGAGGATGCCATCGCGATGAAGATGCATTACGAAATTGTAATGTATGAATTGATAACCTCTCAAACAATTCCTCTTCTTTTATAGTGACGGTCATATAGTTCATCTTCTTCTTTGCTTTTTCATAGCGTAGGCAGGTTAACTAAAGACATTCGCCCGTATAGTTCTCAGACATGTAGATGCCCAGCCCGTGTCGAAATCACACAAACCCATGAACCAACTATGTACAACTATTTTGAGAAGCGCCTGCATGATATTCAAAAGATCTCTTTTTAACCCAAGGCCTTGCGGATTTCGTTAATACGTTTTGATGCGGCAGCATTTTGTTCAAATATGCGTGTGTTTCGTTAAAGGTGGAAATCGCTGTTTACAAAGAAAAACGAAGAAATGGCACTATTTGCAAGTTAGTGGGTGAAATGTAGAGGCATGCGCGAGAGGTCTGTGAAATTACGTTACCAATTATTTTCTATCGCTGTTCGAATAAACACCGCAACGGACCAATATCTTGTCTAGGGGATGAAACAGTCGAAACGAAACAAGGTTTTGAAATGACACTTTATTAACAACAGAGAGGGTTAAAAGTGAATTTGTTGCGCGCGGCACGCAATTCGAGCCACTGTTCCTGATTCGGCACGTACATTTCAGCCGGCATGTGTTCCTTGCTTTCCTCTTCCGACGAGTGGTCTGAAACTGAAACAGCAAATGCTTCCAAAGCCAAATAAATGATACCCTCTTCCAAGTTTTTTATTTTCTAATTTAGAAAAAAAAGTGTAATGCCAAAGTTATAGGGATTAATGTGTAGATTAATTACATACTTATTTATACACAAGGTGTACCAAAAACTTAATATGTCTCTTTTTATCGACAGCCTGTATATGTTCTACACAAGTAAAGGTCCTTTTTCGCCGATTTCAAAAATATAGAACGCAGGATTATATAAAACTTTTGACGTTTTCTTACCAGTCAAAAAGATCGTATTTCATAGGTTGTCAAGGCACTTATATTCAAAACAAGATTGCCTATAAAAGATTCAACCACAGTATTTCTGTTTCCCCAAATTGCGTTCCCATTGCATTTACTTATCAGGGTCTTCAAACCTAAGTAAAAGTCATCGCTATTGTAATATATAATTAATAATTAAATGGGCTTGACCCGCCAATGAATAATTAAATAAAAAATAAAAAACTATGTTAGGTGAGGTGGATTTTACTTGATGAAAATCCATTTAACAAAATAAATAAGAACTAAAACTGCTACTATATATATCGGAAAATGACAATAAAACCTTAATTAATGTTGTTTTTAGAATCTAAGTATAATAATGGAGAGGTATTTAAATCTAATTGATCGTTTGAATGTCTCATTTTGTTAATCTCCATGGCTTCCAATAAATTTAATTTTCTACTTTTTGTGGCTGTATGTAGAATATCAAAATTGTCGTCAAAAATGTGTTTTTCTGTGTTTAAGTGTGTAGCATAATTAGAATCTAGACTATTGTTTTTAAACGATCTTTTATGTTCGTTAATGCGTTTCTTGAAGGATCTACCTAGTTGTCAAATAAAAATTTTAGGACAAGATCCGCATTTCAACCTGGAGACACCTGATTTTTGGGATTTTGGACACTTCGTTTTGTTGTTTTTTAAAAATTTTCCTATTGTGTTGTCAGTTCTGAAAGCTATTTTCAAATCAGATTTTGACAAATGTTTTGAAACTTTTTCACTAGGTTCTCCTATGTATGTAATTGTTTTAAATTGTTCGTGTTCTGCATTAGGTTTCGGATAAATAGAGTTTACTGTTATCTGGATTTGTTTTTGTTAGAGAAAAGTTTTGCTGACTCTCGATCTAGTGAATGCGCTAATTATACCGCGCGAGCCAACTGTCCGTCCGTAACCATGGCAACCGCCTTTGTTCGAGTCCCGCCAGAAAATTCGCCAGAATCGGGATCTACATCGGGTAGACAAAATACCGCCGCGAAGTACAACAACGCAAGTTGCACTTAGTACTTTTTGATTCTCTTCCCGTTTATCCATTTTTGTTAATAGTGTTCTGTGATTCGTGATTTCTTTTCATTAAAGAACAGTTTTTTATTTATAATTTTATCGATAATGGACGGATTGTAGCCGTTGTTCAGTGCAATTTGTTTAATGATATTAAGTTCTTTGTTGTAATTTTCTGTTGAGTGTGGCGTATTAAGAAATCTGTGTATAAAAGAGTGAAATGCAATGTGTTTGTATAAAGGTGATTTGAGCTGTTATGTATGACTGTGTCCGTGTGTGAAGGTTTATGATAAATTGAAAAATCAAATTTGTTTTGCGCTTTCGTAATTTAACTAAAGAATATAATTATAATTCATAATTGTTGAAAAATACTTGTCTTTGTCACTAAATAGTGTGGAGTTAGTAATTACTTCCTTGACTTGACTTTGATATAACTCGGTATGATCGTGTTTGATACATTGGAAAAGTTCTGGTTTAAGAAAATTGTTGGTTTTTGAAATATATTCTCGGAGATCGATAGCTTTTTGAAGGCAATTTTGACATTTTACATACAGCCACAAAAAGTAGAAAATTAAATTTATATACAGGGTTTTTCACTTAAAACTCCGCACGCCAATAAGTCCAAAACGAAAAGAAATATTTAATTTATGTAAAAAATAGTCAAATTGTGGGGTCAAGTAGATATTTCCTAAAGTTTAAAAAATTCGACGCCCGCAAAGAGCTGGGCGTCGCGACGCGTCGAAAAATTATTCGATTGCAGAGACTTTGGAAATACGCGCATACAAAAGTACATATTATTTAAAAACTTTTTTGTTATTTACTCAAACCTATTTACTTTACCCGTTTCTAAGTTATACCGATTTAAAGTAAACATTTCTTGATTAATAAAAAATGTGATTAACGCTTATTTTTACAAGTATGCCATGAATGTTAGTTACTATGGCAACCATTGTTATCGCAGTTGTTTTAAGTGCAATTACAAACAAATAGATCTCAACTATTTTAGTATGATTTTATTTATTATTTTTTATCGATTTAGTTCTGATAACATGATAAATAAATGAAAAACCAGTAAAATACCTACAAGTTAATAACCAAAATTATTATTGCAATTAACTACATAATAAGACATTTCAAAAATTTTGTTCAAAATTATGTCCATCTGCTCGAACACAACTATCAAAAACTTTTAACAGATGAGCTTGGGTCACTTGTAGGAGAGTCCTTCTTGTGATAGCGGCACACGCTGCACTAATTTTGTTAATGAGATCGGCCATATCTTCGATAGGTTCTTCATAGATAACGTTTTTTAAGTAGCCCTAAAGAAAATAATCTGGTGGTGTAATGTCCGGGGACCTCGCCGGCCACCTTACCGGTCCATTAGTACCAAACCATCTATTGGGATATTCTCGGTTCGAATACCTCGTTACTATTTGGGCGTTATGTGCAGGCGCTCCATCCTGCTGTAGCCACATATTCATTCTAGTGTCAAGAGGCACTTCTTCTAATAGTTCCGGAAGTGTAGTTTGAAGAAATCTTAAATAGCGATCTGCATTTAAAATTCCTTCGTAAAAGTAAGGTCCAATAAGGAATCCATTTAATATGCCGCACCAAACATTGATACTAAAAATTCGTTGGTTACCTCTTTCTGTAATCCAACGAGGACGGTTTTCGGACCAAAAACGACAGTTGTGTCTATTAACGATTCCATTATTTTGAAATCGACTTTCGTCGCTCCATAAAATTTTCGAGAGAAAATTTGCATCTTGGCTATACAAATCGGACAATGTCGCTAAGAAATACATTCTTCTAGCATAATCGCCTGGTTCTAGTTTATGAACTAGTTTACTTTTGTACGGGTGAAAAGAGTTTCTATGTAGAATTCTCCACGAAGAACTTATGGTAACACCGGTATTTTCTTTTATCTCTTATAGGGATATCTTGGAGTTATTATCAACCTGCTGAATTACAGCAGCAGTATTTTCATCATTTGTAGCCGTCCTGTTCCTATCTCTTTTAGGTATCATGAAGCTGCCATATTCTCTTAAGTTTTTGCATCGGGGACTCTTCTATGCGGATAACGCCGTGCGTAAACTCTTTTTGCTTCTCTACAATTGCATCTGCATTCTCCAAACACCAGTAACATGTCTACTTTTTCCTCATTGCTAAATTGCACCATTTTCACATAATAATTCTTAGTTTTTTTTAAACCGAACAAATTTGGATATTTCTTGTGACAAAATGTGACAATTTTTTGATACAGCAATAACAACTTACGTTTGTAATTGCACTTAAAACAACTGCGATAACAATGGTTGCCATAGTAACTAACATTCATGGCATACTTGTAAAAATAAGCGTTAATCACATTTTTTATTAATCAAGAAAAGTTTACTTTAAATCGGTATAACTTAGAAACGGGTAAAGTAAATAAGTTTGAGTAAATAACAAAAAAGTTTTTAAATAATATGTACTTTTGTAAGCGCGTATTTCCAAAGTCTCTGCAATCGAATAATTTTTCGACTCGTCGCGACACCCAGCTCTTTGGAGGCGTCGAATTTTTTAAACTTTAGGAAATATCTACTTGACCCCACAATTTGACTACTTTTTACATAAATTAAATATTTCTTTTCGTTTTGGACTTATTGGCGTGCGGAGTTTTAAGTTAAAAACCCTGTATATATATATATATATATATATATATATATATATATATATATATATATATATATATATATATATATATATATATATATATATATATATATATATATATATATATATATATATATATATATATACATATAGTAGCAGGTAGTTTGTAAATATTACATTTGATAAAGACACGGTGTTGTCGAAACAATTATCATGTGAATTTAGTTCTTATCTATTTAATTAGAGGAAATGACATTCAGAATGGATAACCAGTGTGCGATAAAGGCTCTCACCCGACTTCCTTCTCAACTGTTTGTCGATCATCCTGATGCGTTCGCCGGGGTTCCTGAGCAGCAATTTTCCGACGCCTTCACACCTTTTCAGCACTTCGTTCTTCAGCAGCGTCCTCCTCGTCGCTTGGTCTATAACCGGACATTCTTCTATCCAAGCGGAAACGGACGCGAAGTCGCACAGCAACTGCCACGCGCCGCAACTCGAGAACTTTATCTTGTTGGCGTAGATGTGATCGAGCCAGGACTCGCACACCAGCGTCAGCACCATGTTGCAAATCTGATGATCCGCGGTCGTCCTAAGCACCGGGATCAGCATTTTCTCTGCAAACGCGCATGTTTACGCTTTACCGTTGTTCACGGTTCACGTGGGTTCACCTAGATACGATCTGACGTAACCGCAAGGCGCTTCCGGCACTACCGCGCCTCCGCCTTTCCAGAATCTCTTCCCAGGAAATATCATTTTCAAGTGGGCCAGGTTTATCGTCTTGCAAATCGACGCCAGACACTCCACGCACTGATTCGGAGTGTCCTACAGGTTAAATAATTTAGTGACCAAGGGAAACGACAAAAAGAGCCAGATAGCAGTATGCTTATATGGGTAACAAATGTCTGACGTCCATTTTGAAGTACGTGACGTTAGTCTCCCAATGTGCCGCGCGTTCAATTTTAATTGGCTGTAACTTGTTTTTAGAGATATAAAGGTATGGCCTGTTCATAGATATAAGAAAGTGACCAATTGCTTTTGAATGGGATTATCCAAGGGTGGCCATTTACACACAATGCAACAAGATTATTACCTAAAGTTTCGGAATTTAAATTCAGTTAAAATTGTGGTCCGCAATAGAAAATAATTTTCGAAAAATTTACCAGCTATACTAGAAACAAAGCGTGCCTACTTTAGATATCTTAATTAGGAGGCTTGAAAAAAATGAAACCGGTGTTAAATTTGGCAGAACTACCTTATGGAAGTGTATTCAACACATGGGTTTTAGATTTTAAAAAATTGACAAGAGGCAAGTTTTAATGGAATCTTTTAGAATTCGGAAATGGCGACTGGAATATCTAGAAAAAAATAGGATTTACACAGAACTACGAAGGCCAATTATTTACTTGGATGAAACCTGGTTCGACACTTATGACACCCCGTAAAAGGGTTGGGTTGACTCTACTGATAAGTGTAAAACAAACGCGCCATCAAAAAGAGGTAAAAGAATAACTATTTTGCATGCTGGCTCTAGATGGTTGGATTCTAAATGGACTTTCTCTGTCTGCGAAAAATATTAAAGATTCTCTGGATTACCATGAAGACACCACCGCTGATTTTTTTGAAAGTTGGTTTAAAAACAAACTAGTTCCAAACATTCCTCCTAATAGCGTCATTGTAATGGACAATGCAAATTATCACAGTAGACAGTTGACTAAAACCCCTTCCTCATGTGACACAAAAGCAACAAGCCAAAACTACATGTATAATAACGACATTTATTTTCATGAAGATTATACCAAAAAGCAATTAATTGAGGTTCTACGAAGCTTGAACCTACAAAAGGAATATGTCTGTGATAATTATGCAAAAAATCCGGGGCATACAGTTTTAAGGCTTCCACCTTACCACTGTATATTTAATCCCATTGAACATGTTTGGCACCAACTGAAATCTGCCATTCGCGGTAACAATGTTTTCCCCGTGTTAACTCCAATGTTCTCAAACTTATAGAAACCGAAGTTTTTAACATCCCTCCACAAAGTTGGGCAAATTCTGTTAAACATATAGAAAAAGCAGAACAATAGTATATCCATATTGTAAATAATATAGAACAAATAATAATTAGAACAGGCGATGATAAAGATAGTGATACTGATATATTATGTGAATAATTTTAAGTAACTTAAGTAGGTAACAAAAATAATTTGTAATTTTATTTTAGATTTAAACATAAATACATACATAAATAAATAAATATTGTTTAGTATCTTTCCTAAGAAATCCCAAAATAATTAAATTCTAAGCAAAGTACGGACCTGATCGGCCATATTTCATTCTTACAGCTTGCCCGGATCTTTCCTTAATTCGTATCAGTTACTCACTTTCATATACCTATGAACAGACTTTACTGCAGCAACGAAAAGCGCAGCAACTACCACCAGGCATATTTTACGATTTCTTTTAAAAGTTTTTAAAGAAAAAACAAACATTTTTGCTCGAATCGTTGTGTCGGGTTATTTTCAGGTTAGGTCTCCTATTCATTTAAAGTTAATTTGCCAAATTGCGCAAAAATAACCTTCAATTTTGCCGCGTTTTCCTTCACTTCCGACACCAGCTTGGCCCTCATCAACGTGCACACCTCCACGTGTACCCCCAGCTGCCCCTTTTCGACCTCCAAAGCGTGATCGTTCGTCCTCAAGCCGCCCAACTGCGTCAGACAGTTCGCGACGTCCCTGTGCGTGATGCTAAAAAACGCGCGAACGTCCCAACCGTTCGCCCTCTTCCGGCATTCTCTCAAAGCCCACAACCGGGCCGTGTGTACGCTGTGGTCTGTGAAAATCTCCGTTGTTCAGCCGTGCACAACTATGGCTAATAATCGTCAAACCAGTTTTCAATGATTGGAAACCTATTTGCGTGGCCGTTTAGCCAGACGCGAGGTCATCGTCAAGAAGAATTTTTATTTCATCGGCAACCACATAGAAGTTTTCAGAGAAATTTGTCAATTCACTTTCCGCATTCGACAATCGACAAATAATTTTTATTCGTCAGCGTTATTGCTGAGGCATAACAGTTTGTTATGCACGGCTGAACAAGTCCAATTGCTTTAAATGTTTGACCGACGTCCGATGTTGTCGCCTTTATTTTCTCAATAGCGAGACCTATGCCGTATCCACCAATAAACACCCTTATCTCAAGATATTGTTGATTAACGCTTACTGGTAGTATACTTAATTGACGTATGCACCATGACATTTAAACAAAGAATTTAAAAGCCGATGGTTACTTTTGTCGAGCTTGTGACAACGTCGCACATTTTTTAGCGCCATCTGTGGATTAGTAGCAGATCTAAAGAACGTGTATATTCAATATTAATAAATATCGGAACATACTTCTCGTGAAAAATGTCAAAAGGGTAATTTTTCATAGGCATTCCATAGGTTGGAAACTGCGGTGTTACTAGGCATTAATTAATTTAAAATAAAAAATTACAAATTACAGCCTGGTCTTGAGTTAAGCAGCGAATTAAATGCAAAGTTTTTGTGTTTTTTTCTTACTAGGAGATTAAAGATGAGTTCAAAGTAATCTGGTCTTTTCCGTTACGTCTGTTAACGAACCGCAATTCTGTTTTTTCTGCTTTTTTTTTTAAAGCAAACCGCCACAACTCAGTCTCACTTCTCAAACTAATAATCGACTGATCCACCTTATTAACTGGCTAAAATTCGAGATTTCTGGTTTGTGAGTGAAATTCAGTTGGTGGATAAGAATATATCTGCATAAGTACTGATTATCTATATTGGTGGATACGGACAATAGAAATATAAAGGCAACGGTAATTTACCTAGTCTGTGGAGCACGGGTATTTGTTCGACGAGCGGAAGCTCGTCCAACGGGGCCCCCACTATCCAGTCAGGCGTCACTTCGCACAAATTGCTCAAGCACACCAGCTCTTCCATGACGTTCGTGAAAAGTTGACCGGTGACGCCGTCGTAGTCCTTTTTTGACGCGACCAAAGCCCGCCTGAAACTGTGATCCCAGAGCGTCGACGTAACGTGGACTCCTAAAGCGTCGGCCAGACACGTCAGCGCCGATATAACCGACTGAGGCATGTCCGCTACGTTCAATGTTTCAACCGTTGGGGTATGGTAAAATTCCTACGCGTTACCTGTGGGTATAAACTGGTTGATCCACTCTCGCAAGTGTTGGCTAGATCGCGGCGGTCGGGCGGCCAAAGGGCTTGGGGCCCACCATAAGATGACGTGTTCCAAATGGCTGCCGACCTCAGACCACAGAATACGCTGGTAGTAGTCCGCGACTTTGCGTGCCGCTGTCTTACTTACCTTCGACTCCCCTGAAACGTATTTTTTTTACCGCTTCGACTTCGCTGAGCATTGAAAAACAAACGCGAACCTGTGGACTTAGATTTTTTGATGCCGTCCGGCCCTAACATCGCGGGACACACGCCTAACGTCGCGTTTAATAAATCGGTGACGTTAGAATCCTCGTGCATTATTATTTCGTCGATGTTGGCGAAACTGGCACGGCTTTCGGCGGCGGCGCTTACCGCGTCGTCTTTCATCGTTTTCTCGCCAGGTGGTTCGGCATTCGCGGGAGGGGACATGTGTTTCGTCAGCGCCCTATCGCGATCGAAATGCTACCGGGCAACGCAACGACGTAACATAAACTCACAAATATATTTCGAGGCTAGAATTGTCCGAGCCGCTGTCGTCGTCCGAGCCGTCGTACGTCTTGTACGTGTCGAGGAGACAGTCGATCAGTTTGTGCGAGCAAAGCTCCGCCCTTTTGCGGGCGAGCGCGTGCAAGAACCTCGTCACCGAAAACTTCTTCAACGGAAACAGGAGGTAAGGACACGTGTTTTTGCACACGCTGTTTCCGTTTCTCGGAACGTTGAATTTCGCATCCATCGCCAACAAATTGTTGTACGATGTCGCGAGTCTACATGGAAAAAAAATCGGTAAATTCAGAATTTATAATACGCGTCATCACCTCAGCATGACGACCGTAACGCCTCCTTCCGAGAAGACGAACTGCGTCGCGAGCTCGTTTATCAACGCTCGGAGGACGTAGCAGAGCTTCTGTTTCGTTTTCCACGCCAGGTGGCGCAGCGATTTAAATTTTTTCGTAATGGAAACGTGCTCTCGTTCAATTTGCAATGCCCGAAAGCAGTCGGCGAATTTCTCTTCGACTTTGAGCAGCGTTTCGGCTATATCCTACGCGAAGATTAATTAAATTAATTAATTAAATGAATTAAACGTTTACCTTGATTTTGGGATCGAATTTATCGTCTTCGTTCGATAGAACGTACGAGATTTTTTCAATCAGCCGAAGACCCTTCGAGTGTAGCTCCCTGCAACTGTCGTACGCTCCGCTGTAGTCTACTATTTTCGCGGGCATCCATTTTGTTAGGGTTTGTATGTTGCTCGACATGGACCAGAAGTTAATAAAACACCAACGCGATGATATACAATTGTTTGGTCGATTTCCATCTAGAAACGACGAATACGTTTTTCTGCGTTCTGTGCACTGAACCACAGTTAGTGGTCAGTGCTATAACCTTGTGTTTTTTATCTGCGGTTCAGTGGTAGTGTGGATCTTTTACGTGTTGGGTTTGTTTTCAAGTTCATGACTTTTTTGCGCGTTCTTGAAGGTAATCCAGTTTAATCGGCCGCAATTACGAAACGTTTAAGTTGCATCACGGTAACATCGGTGCCTCTCCGCTCCTATAACCTTCAAAGCGCGTTCAAATCGACTGTGCGAAGGCGAAAATGTTGTTCATTCGAGTGCGGCGCGTAGCCACGGACGATAATGAATGTTTCGCGGACGGTTATCCGCCCTCGTAAAGAAAATGCTCCAGCTGCTGTACCTAACGATATTAAACATGTATCGAAGTGTCGCGCCAAGACCAAACGTCGACGATCATTACAAATTCAAGCCGTTCGTGTACGAGAGGGTGGTGATTTCTAACACGGATATTTATCGGAAGGTGCCCCATCCGCGAAGCGGGCACCGCATAGGGGCGGATTCGAGCAATTTTTATTCTTTCGGCGGCTACAATCCGCTCATCCGCCGTGAAGAGTACCATTACGAGGACGACTCGTATATCGACTCTTACCCGTTGTTTCAAGAGCTGTGGAAATTTAATTACGCGTCGAGGCGCTGGACGAAGTTTCGCAACAGCGAGACCCTGCCCAGGGAGCTGGTATCCAACGCCGTAATACTGTATCGAAACTTGCTGATGATTTATGGGGGAACGGGCTCCCCTTTCGGCACGAGGTGCAGCAATCAGCTGTACGTGTGCAACATAAGCGATGAGGCGAGTCCGATGGTCGAGGTGAAAACCACCGGTCAGTTACCGCTGCCACAATACGGGCAGGCGATAGTTTACCATAATGATTATTTATATGCCATTGGAGGGACCACCGGTTTTTCCTACTCTTGTGATATTCATAGGTGAGCCCGATCGCTCGGGAGGCCGGATCGTACGTAAACATTTTCGCTCCCCTTTTAAGGTTAAATCTGCGCAGTTTTTCGTGGGAAGTCGTGTACATATGCAACGGCACCGGGGAGTTCGAACCCGAGGGAAGGTATCGCCACGAGGTGGGCTTCGACGGTAAAAATATCTATATATTGGCGGGCGGGACAGCCGATAGGGTGTTCGACCTGTCGGAAATTCCCACTTTCGATATGGAAAAGAGACAGTGGCTTAGACTGAGAACTCTGGAAGCCGGAGGTTACGGTAATCAATTAATACTTATCTTGAGTCTAGTGGGTAAGGCAAGCAGTGTTATAATCCAAATACGAATGAATTCATACTTACATGGACAGTAACAAAAATTAAATCAACTTTTTCAAAAACAAATTTTCAAAGGAATTCAGAATATGATAGAACATATATTTTATAACGTCTCGTCAACAACAACAACAAAAAAACCGTAAAAACAATGTAATATTACCTAAAAACTAATTTTAATAAAGCAAAACAGCTCTGCGCGATTTCTGTGGTGGATCTGTGTAATTAAAAAATACAATTTCTCTATGAAACTACTCCTAATTACCCCAAGAATTGTCACCATTTGAATTACAATAGATTAAAATTGTAATGTTATGCTCTTATTAAATGAAAGAGAATGAAATGAAAAATAAACTCAACTTATTCAAAAATAAATTTTGGAAGCAATGCAGAATATGATAAACATATATTTTATAACGTCTCGTCGACAACAACGAAAAAAAAAACACGTAAAAATAATGTAATATTACCTAAAAACTAATTTATTTTAATTATGCAATAGAGCCCTGTAAAAGGGTGGTTTCTGTAGTGGATTTATGTAATTAAAAAATATTAATACCTTAAGAATTGCCATCAAATACCGCTTGAACTTGAACAGGTTACAATCGTAAAGTTGTGATTTTATTAAATGAATTACTTCATAATTCCATGAAGGCAGCGACAAAAATAAAATCAACATTTTTAAAAATAAATAAGATTGTAAATATTGGAGGTAAAACAAAAACAACAAAAAAAAAACGTAAAAACAAGTGATCTAAACAAATCTTTGGTGAAATAAGTCCAGAACAAACTTCACGAATATAAAACTCTTAAGATAATAATATAAATAAATAAAAAAAAAAATGTATGTAGGGGTTCCGAGTCCTAGGAGATGCCACGGCGCGGTTCAGGTCGAGTCGGACGGCGATCTAAACGTTTTCGTCACGGGAGGCCAGGACGGCGAGAACATTTTCAACGACCTCTGGCGGTTGAATTTGAAAACGCTCCAGTGGACGTTTTTCGAACGGTGCGAGTTGCCCCGCCCCATGTACTTTCACGCGACCGCAGTCACGCCCGAGGGCAGACTGTACGTTTTCGGCGGCATCTACAGCGTCAACGATCAGGTGCACAGAAGCAACGCCGTGTATACGTCGTGGCTGTGCATACCGAAACTGAGCGAGATGTGTTGGCAGTCCGTGTTGCACTATAGTCCGCGCATACTCGACTATTCCAGCGACGACCTGATAAATGCCGGACTGCCGAAGCGTTTCGTGCACAGGCTAGATAGGAAGAAAGTGTGCGCTTACTGATTGAAACCGCTTTGGGAACAATAAACGCGTTTTTTTATTTATACTCGTTTGTTTATTTTGAAAGTTCCAAGAGAAAGTTCAATATAGAGGCCCTGCCTATGCTAGTAGTACAGGAACTCGTGAAGCAACTATGTAATAAAATTTTGAGGTCTGTTCAACATGCGCGCGCGAGATTTGAAATTTCGTTTTTAACCAATGGCTGCTCTAATTATAAATTCTGACGTTCGACCCATAAGGCCTTGCGGCTTTCAACAACCAACATGGCCGCTGGCAGGTCGTCAATGTTTGGATGCTGCATTTTTATGCCAGAATTTTCTCAAAATATGTCGAAAAAAGGAGTTAAGGTGTGAAAAGCGTTGTTAAAAAAATTAGCGACAAGTGAATGGTTAATATTATGCTGAATTACAGCATACGGATCGGCGTCTTTAATATAATTCTGTAAGTGGTTTGGCGTTTTGGTTCTTTAAGCCCCATAGACACGATACTAGCTATTTGTGCCCGCAAATCGGCTCAAACGGTTTGTTTTAATGAACTTATTGGTTTAACGTCCATTGAGAATTTAAATAAAGCCGAATTCACGGAATGTGACTAAAAGTGTGAATATAACTTTGAAGTACTAGATGTGGAAGTGGAAAAAATATTCAACAAGCACCTCATATAGACAGAATGCCGATTCTTTCATCGCAAGTCTAGTAATTGCAGAAAATTTCGCCTCCCAAATATATAATTATGAAAAGTACCAATTGACAATTTCATTAAACAACTGTAGGTATTGGAAAATGTAACCAGGAAAATTGAAAACTAGTATAAAACAAGCCAATAAGCAATTAGCCCTACATATAACAGAATTAACATTACCAAACCCTAAAAAGTGTAGTTAATTTTTTCGAAATTTTAAAAACATTTTGCTGTCAAAAATTGCATGGCGGCTACCGCAAAAAATTCCACGTTAAAAATATTTAACAGTAATGGTTAAATGCTAAAAATAGAAACTGCATTGTGTCTACCGGGCTTTAGATATTAGTATCAATTCACACAATAATTTAGCCATATTTTATTGCCATTTGGATTCAAATTGCCAAAACCAAAAAGAGGGAATCATAACTACCAAAAATGTAAACAACAATGTCGCAGACTGTTAGCATTCTCTGGCAATAGAATTCCTAGCTCGGCGTTGCCAATTATATTCGGATTTCAGAGACTGATTTTGCGTTCTTATGAAAATTAGTCAATTCGGTTAGTTGGGGGTGACGCATGGGCAACTTCTCTACGAAAATGTCATAGCCACCTGCGGCGCATCACTTTTTACCGCAATAGGGCCACTATATTGTCTTATAGCTATATGGTTTGGCCCGTTCAGTTGGTCTTCTTTATTTTTATTCGGCTTTCGGTTGGTAAAAACTCAAAAATATCTTTAGAATTTAAGTAACCTTAAGCACGTCTAATACTGGCAAAGACCGACACTTGTACTATGCACTGATACCACAAACAAATACAGTTCGATTCCTGTTTGAACTGTGATCGTTTATAACTAATTATAATTGGAAACAGGACAAGTGTGTTTAATTAATTACAGTGGATTCTGTACGGAGCGCACTAGGTATGTCTGCCATATGCAATGCATCCCATCGAATCATTCTGCATTACTTTTCAACGTTGGGCACATTAACTACTGACACTTGCCCATTATCACTACCCTATATTCAAAAATTTCATCGAAATGCCGCAAAAAATGTTAAAAGAGAGGAAACGAAAAATAATTACCAAAAATTTTTATTATTTATTTATTAAATTAAATAACGAGTGATTATTCAAACAAAACACATATATTTAAACGATACAAAATTAACATTGAACACTGTTACCGCTACTACGTTTTGGATCTATTTAATATTGAATTCTCAAATTGATAAAACTGTCAAATCGCTTTTGCGGAAAGATCGCAAAACTGACAAGGATGATTGTGAAAACGTCGTGACGTCATTGCCTGCGAATCACCGTGCCGTAATTTGAATAATTTCAATCCTATAACTTCCAGAAATTTATTTAGAAAATAAATCGCACGAAAACAATAATCCGTAATTTCCGCGTTGAAAGCCGTATAAACGTAAACGCCTAACAAGACGTAGCACGTGGCCAAAACACAATATATTTAAATTTAGATCTTCTAATTTTAAGTCAGATGCCGGCGCGACCTTTTTTTTTGCTTTTTACGCTGCTCGCGGAATGAACTCGGCCGGCTGGGTCGTGGATGACAACGACGAAGGTACATTAAACAGTTAAACGGTTAGAATTCGCGTTAATCGCTATAAAATTGCGCCTGCAGCAGTGTTCATCGACATATCACCGAACGAGGGCGAAGAAAACTTAGAAGGCGAGGCGGGGTCGAAATGGCCGCACCTTCCCGATTTGCTTTTGGAGCAGATTTTCTCGTATCTCAGCCTCAGGGAGCGTTATTACGCGAGCCTGGTGTGCGTAAACTGGAACCGGGCTTTTTACCTACCGTACGTCTGGAAAGAGTTCGTATTCACCGATACTACACTCACCAGAGCCAAATACAACTACTATTTAGGTTGGCAGGTAAGTGCAAAATCCAAAAGAGCTTACCAGATCTAGTTTTTGAGATAGACCATGACGTCCGTCTCTAATTAGTCCATATGGATTATCACTTTCGCACATCTTCTGAATATCCTTTAAATATTTTCCACTGTCGGATTTAACATAAAATGTTACAAAATTTAGACGCGATGTCTCCAAAGTATTACCAAAAGTTAATTTTAAGGATTCTAAGAACACGTTAGATTATTTGTAATGCTAGTTGAAGAATATCAGCAAATTAAAGTCAAACCGGTACAGTCACAATATAGTGAACTTGAATCGATGGCCTTATATTTTATTTATAATTATTTCTGAAAACAATTAAGCGACGTCACAGAATAAGAAGAATCGTTACTAACCAAAAACTAAAGTTCATATACTTTGGTTAAACCCTAACATCTTAAACCAACAATTCTCGTCATGTAGTAAGTACACATTACTAGTATAGTTCAAAAACTTTAATATTTCAATATATCTCAAAAGAACATTTTTAGTGATTGTTTTATTACTTATAGATTTCTATAGATTCTCGGATTTTCCGTTGGTAGAAGAAGGAGAATTGATTATACGCCACTGTTCCTTACATACTTGGATTCCAAAAGTTTTACAAGTCTGCCTTCCAAAATGACATCCAGAAGTGTGACATTTGTAGAGTTCAATGGATATCGACAAGCCTGTGGAAGTTTCTTTGAAAAAAAAAGGACGCTTTTGGATATCAAAGGAATTGTTAATCTTTGTGTGCCAAGAGAAACCCATCCTTGGGTGCTATTTGGACAGATTTAAGTATTTATTACAAAAACTAGATTTACATAAATCCTCACTACGATTCCCTAAATTTTCTGGAAAGCTAATTATCATTGATCTTGACCAAGTTTTCTTGTTTGAGGAAAATCAAATATACCATCTCGGAAGTAAGTTTTTTTTTTCTGTCGAAATCAAAGGTTCTCTTGAAGGCTAATTTTTACCCCCGTTGTCACAAAACAAGGATATTTTGTGTAATTACTCTGCTATCAATGTAAATTGTCCACTGATGTACTTCGTATTTAATTGTTTCAAAACCAGTGATATTGTTCTTTCAATAGAATAACCAAACTAAAAAGCTCCAATCATCTGGAGTGCATTCAGCCTAACCCATTTTCTCCAAGACTCATTTTATATCGTTACAGCTGGTATTCTGTACTTCCTAAACGGAAAGGCCAGCAGATCCTTATCTCTTTGATGCAGTAAATTCTTTTAATCTGGATGCAAGTAAATCGCCAGACTTCATTGAGACGTTCAGGGGTCTAATTTGTTCAGTTCTTCCTGCGAAGATCCAAGGTGTTGAGAGATTTTTGGACAACTTTTGATATGTGGTCAGCGATGTTTTGAATGTAAGGAAGGACCACAGTGGCTTTCGGCCTCATTGCTATTGGAAGGTTGTGGTGAAGTGTATTTTGTTATGGAACACTTAATTCCCCTAATGAGGAAATTATTAAAGAAAAGAGCAAATGCAAGGTGTTTTAATTCTGGGTTCAGTGATTTAAGGTATCAATCTGTGTGCGTAGGTAGAATGACCCAATCCTAGGTCTGATATTTCTATTTTTGCAGTTTCAAATCGAATGACGTTAGATAGATTCGATATTTGAAATGATTTCGTCTTTTGGGATAATACGTGGGCAAGGATACAATTGGAACCTACACAGTGTTTGGTAGTGGAGAAGTGGTTGGTGGTTTCAAGAGTGTTGATGTTAGTTTTCCAACATTTTGACTGTCTTTCTGGGGTTTTCAACTTTCTTATAAAACTAAAATTCTTGCGTGTATTCAATTCGTCTACCACAGAAAAACAATCGATGCAGGACGGTCCGAGAAGATTTGTAAATAGGATTTCGGTAGCCCCTTTTTTAAAAAAAGGTAACCCTGTATCTCAAAAACTAGAGCTGTGCACTTGTCGGATTTCTCGAGCCTTTTTGTCTGTTCATAGATATAAGAAAGTGACTAACTGATACGAATTAAGGAAAGACCCGGGAAAGCTGTAAGAATGAAATATGGCCGAACAGGTCCGTACTTTGCCTAGAATATAATTATTTGGGTTTTTGTTGGAAAGATACTAAACAATATTTATTTATTTATGTACGTATTTATGTTTAAATCTAAAATAAAATTACAAATTATTTTTATTACCTACTAAAATTACTTAAAATTATTCACATAATTTATCAGTATCACTATCGCTATCAAGTAAATAATTGGCCTTTGTTGTTCTCTGTAAATCCTAATTTTTTCTAGATATTCCAGTCGCCGTTTCCGAATTCTAAAAGATTCCATTAAAACTTGCCTTTTGTCAATTTTTTTAAATCTAAAACCCATGTGTTGAATACACTTCCCTAAGGTAGTTCTGCCACATTTAACACTGGTTTCATCTTTTTCAAGCCTCCTAATTAAGATATCTAATGTAGGCACGCTTTGTTCACCGTATAAGTGGTAAATTTTACGCCGTATTACATCTTGATCACTTTCATCTACACTCGAGAAAATGTCAGCATCGCTTCTTTTTTTCCTGGCTGAAATGAGAGTCAAATAAACATTGTTTATAACTTCCTTAGTCTTAATAGAATAGTGTTTTCTACATTTGGGCTGGAACATCTCCTGAGATACACTAGACTCGCATATATTTTGCATAATTCGCACACGATTCAACACACGCTGTATTACACACGAAATACGAATAATTACTAATAAACTTAAACTAAGTAATATACCAAACTAAAGAATATTAAACACAGGTAGGTATAAAATTATTTTCTATAATGGACCACAATTTTACCTGAATTTAAATTCCGAAATTTTAGGTAATAATCTTGTTGCATTGTATGTTAATGACCACCCTTGGATAATCCCATTCAAAGCAATTTCTTATATCTATGAACAGACCATACCCCGCGTAATCGACGTAACTCGACGTTTGAATGTCGTAGTACGTGCTGGACCACCTCAAGACATCACTTTGTCTTTCGACCATCGGCAAAAACATCAGAACTCTGATACTGAAACCGATGTACAATTTCACCAACGTATACGAGTTTATGAACATAGTCGCGTGGTTCATCGAACAATCCGCCAACGAGTCCATCAACAAAGAGATCGGCGACATCGGCAACAACATAACTCACTTGAAGTTCGTTTTCCCGTGCGATATGACGGAACGGGGAGACACGGAGCGTATGCAATTGTTCGGCACCGGTGGCAAACTGCTGGGCGGCCTCAAAAAACTGATGGGCAAACTCGAAGACCTGCACAAGCTCGAGCTCGTCGACCTGATGCTCGAGGCGAACGAGGCTAAATTTTTACTCGACGGAGTCTGCGATACGTGTCACCTAACCTTGCGCACTTTGAGGCTCGTCAACGCCACCAAATTGCACTATGAAATCTTACACGCCGGCGTATTCTTGAATTTATATGTGAGTAATATCCAATCAAACCACAATCAACAAAAAACAATAAACGCGAAAAAAACACAGACTATAAATAAACGGTTGGGCGAGGGTACCATGATCATTCGCCCATTACCGACGTAAGTCCTAGTTATGTTTTCATTTGACCACAGACCAACACGTAGTCGAGGTTTATAAACAACATTAAGGAACTTTCCCAGTTTTGTTTCTTTTATTAAAATGTGTTTATATATGAAAACACATTATACCAAATATGAACCCTTAAGTCGCAATACTTATTGCATAATAAATAATTAAATTTGGAATCGCCGCCGGGCATATTCAAACAAAGTAAAGTGTGACGTCAAACCGCAGTGAAGTACACGCACAGTACGTCAAGACTTACCAAATTTGCATCGTTAGTCTCGATTTTTATGCATTTTATGCAAACTACTCTTCCTTTTTGTACGGTTCTACTGTGAAAACTCCATATAATTTGTTTTTAAATTTTAATCTCTTATGAATCGGCACTGGTGTTTATAGAGTTCGTTCTAAACGGTATTCTATTTAAGTACTTAATGTACTTATTTTTAATAAGACTTATTAGTAGGGTTAGGTGTGACATTTAGCAGGATTTATTACTTAAAGGATATAAAAATGAGTTCATCTTTACTCTGCAAAAGGCGTTTTATAATGTAATTAGTACGTGTGGTCCCCAATTGAAGAGTCCTAAAATTTTCACAAAATTATTGAATTAAACAAAGCTCGCCCAATTTTCCGTTCCGAATGAAAAGGTAGGTTAGGATTTTCTGACGGGCGACTTTGTTTAATACGAGTTGTAAAGATAAAATATTTACTGCATTAATTGCATCTTATTGGTATTCTTTTAGTCTTAAGGCAGTTATTAAGGTGAGTAAAAAAACGGTTTGCTCAGAAATTACCTCAAAACGATTTAACCGTCACGTAGGAGCTGCACATAAGTCCTCAAAATTTGGGCGAAGATCTGGTCCAGCTGCTCGGCCAAACGAAACTCAAGCACCTGCACATTTTGCAAAACACTTATACGATGGACGACGTGTTCGTGCCTGCAGTGGCGGCGGCCGCGTGGAAAGCGATGCGCAAAATCAACCAGAAATTGAACGTTCACTTGGCGGTCGAGAGCAAAAGGCCGAAACGACTCGTATGGCAAGAGGGCGCTCCGGTCAGAAGCGTTTTATACGATTCGTCTCATATCGGGGTAAGGTCGTGGTCTGTGGTACACGCAGAAGAAGAGCTGTCGTTTTATGTGGTCCGTGCCTGTATCCATCAATGGACGTTATAATCATCTGTGTATATATTTCAGTTCTTTTATCTTACTTAATTACTTTTAATTAATATATGGCTCGTATAAGGACCGTCAATACTTTTTTTATTTTTTAGATCGATATCCGCGAGTGTTTTGTATTTGCTTCAGTTACGATTATGATGTCATCCGTTGATATTCACGCAGCGGTGTGTTTGTTTAAAACGAAAAATTTTCACGCAGATGTCGACGGAGATTTTGGTAAAACTCATCGATTACTACAAGTCCGATCTGAGAATTTACGGGCACCTCAGCATACCGAGGTTCCACATGCCCAAATCGTTTTTCGATAGGAATGATGGCAATTTGCTGCTGTTAGTCAGACAGTGCAGCTACCTGTCGACTTTGGTAAGCGAGTTTGCTTATTTATTTCGTGTAGTATACTTATCGTAAGTTATTTGCTTTTTTTAATAAGCACTATACTCTCAATAAAAAAACATACAAAATTATACAGGGTGTTATCGAAATTAGTATCGACGTTTCAATCGTTGAAACTGACGAGGTCTAAAGAGACGGATTTCGTCCAATTTACAGTTAAAAAGTGGCGAATTTGTTCCAGATCGTCACGGAAAAAGTGTCCACCGGTACGGTCCTGCTCGTAGCGTGCGCGGGGCGCAACCTGAAACGACTGCACGTGCGCGGCAACGGCACCATCTTGAAATGCGAGTGGACTCGCAATCCCGACTGGTCGGACGAATTCTACGCGTGGCTCAAATCGACCAGCAAGAGTTACGACGCGGTCGAGAAGGAAATCTCCCAGATTTTAGGTTACCGATGGCGTTTCCTCAGCGACAAGGAGTTCAAACGATTGAAATGCGACGTGCACGATTATTAAAACGCCATGCGAATGTAGGAAACTGTTCGGTTTATTCTTACGTCTCTAACGCGAGTGTGGTCTGCGACCTCTATGGTCCGTAGCCGACGACGAGGCGCCCTCTACTCGGTCATCTTGGCGTAACAGCTGTCCCTCCAGAAATTCTTCAGGCGGTCGTGGCCGTTGCCGCAAAACTCCCGGAAGTCCCGTAGCATTTTTATCTGGAACGCGGTGTCGACAGCTTGGTTCGTGCGCCATTTTTTGCCGATCATGTGATTCCACGACCACAGGAAACCGATCTGAAACACCAAGCATTGACTTGGTCTCCAGTTTTTTTTTTATCATTTTTTGAAATCACGACGGGCTAAGAAGCGGCTGGAGGTAGGGGTGGCTGATTAAACAGATAAGGAAGCTGTTGAGTTAATACGCCTTGATGAGGAGGGCTTTTCATGGAACGTCAAATGCATCATATAGCTTTTTTTGTTATATTCTTAAACCTTGAAATACGTATAAAACTGGAGTTTTCTTCAATAAACTAAGAAAGGACATATACGTTTAGTTCGAGTTGAAGTTTATGTTTATTATTAGTTGAAAATTCCCGAAAATTATATGCTTGACGTAGTAGCGTTATATACTAATATTCCAAATGAAATTATAACTAAGACTTAAACCAAAAAATGGGACATATTAGAAGAGGGGATCGAGTAAACCCCCACTGGTGCTTGATTTTTCAACATGCGGAGTTTCGAGGAATTGTGGGTAAAGTGGGCGGGGTCTGTAGGCCTTGTGGGAGGGGCTAGAGGGTCGTGGGAAATGAGGGCACTCCCCAAAAGGTAGAGGAGTGGGACAATCCTACGTTATAAACCCCCACTACTTGCCTTTTTCAATAAGTACTATGCTGTCAATCGAAAATCACACAAAATTGTACGGGGTGTTACCGAAATGAGTATCGGCGTTTCAATCGTTTAAACTCAGGTCCCCAGAGATGCTGAAAAATTATATTTTGTCGAGTTTCGATCAGAATGTGCAAATTTTAAACAGATGCAAAATTTTATATAACAATATTTACATACCTTAGTGATATTTTGAATAAATCAAGAAAGTACAAATAAGTTTAGTTTGAGTAGAAGTTTATGTTTTTTATTAGTTGCTAAGGGTTTTTTTTATTCCGAATGAAATTATAACCACGATTTAAACCAAAAAATCGAACATATTAAAAGATCACACTGCTCTTTTGTCGAAAGATTTTATAGAAAAAGTTGATAATTATTTTCAATATCAAGAAAACTTATGCCAACAATTAAATGGACGTGCCATGGGCTCGATGTCATCAACAGAATATCAATAGAACATTTAGAAGAAAATGTTTTACAAACATTAAATTTTAATATAATTTTTTTTGAAACGTTTTGTTAATGACAGTTTAACAGCTATATCAAAAAATTATGATAATGATATTCCTAGTGCTTTTAATAATTTTCATCAGTTTACTATTGAAACTTTAATAATAATAATATAAAACAAAAAAAAATATATATAAACATGTTGCACTACCATACGTAAATAATTATTTGTTCTTTCTAAATATATCACAGTTTGCCACAAATCTTACAAATTGATAAAATCAATCTTTACTTAAAAATCAAAATTCCAATTAAAAAGAAGTGAAATGTTTTTTATTCAATATTTTGTTTAAATTGCCAAAAAAAAATGGAAATGACCAGCCAACCTTTGTAAAATCGTATATATATCATAATATGATAATGACATATTTACAGAGTTATACTACGAGGGGATATAAAAAACGGTATTACATACTTCTGTGACCCATAACACATGTAATGTAATTTTCTGTCCAGTCTTATGCGCAATTAGAAAAGCTGGAGCCTTCTAGGTATCCATTTTGAAAAAATGTAATTAAAACAACGTAAAGTTCCGAGCATATATGATATAGTGATCGTCTAGTCTTCAAAACCCGTCTCGAGGACACAACTGATTTCAAATGGACAAAACCCCGAGGTTTCATCTCAAGCGGACACTTACCTTTAAGGTAACACAAATGTTCGTTATTGAAAATCTATAAGCAACCAAACAATCTTAGCCGAGACTTAGGTCTTTACTTTTCAACAATATGCCCCTCCTTTAGCTCCGTCCCCTCAAACTATATATAAGCAGGTGCAGGCAGGCACAGATTAGGTTAAGCTCTGAAGAAGCCAACAGGCAGATTGGCGAAACGTCAGGACGCAGGACGAATCCAAAAGATTGTTGAATAGCCAACGCAAAAAGTTTTATAGACAAAGGAATAAAAATTGTTATAAAAGCTAAAGTTTCTCATAAACCTCTCATAAATAGGCTAAATGAACATGAAATAGTCTTAAGCGTAGGACAAAGAAACTCATCTATAAGCAACCAGACAATTTTAACCGCGACTCAGATGGAGTTTCATATGAAATATACCAATTTTATCAACCTGCTTAGTAAATTATTTAATTTTAAATATACATCAAAAATTTTATAGATCAGGGCTGAATAGAATATTATGGAAGAACAAATTAATTTTGTTTATTAATAAATTCATCTAATTTTTTTCAAAAGATTTTTATTAATAAATTTAAAATTTTAATATTTTTATTATTAATAGTAACTTTTAAAGAATAAATTTATATGTAAATTACCAATTGTACAGTAAATATAGAAATATAATCGTATTAACGCTTTTAATCTATCTTAGGGAACACTCAATTTTATCATTAACAGTGACAAAAAATAAATTATTATCTACTTTTACAGTTGCAATAATACCTCAATTAAATGTTAATTAGAGACTATTTAATGAATTGTGAATAATTATCAATAGTGTTTGACTTTTTACTATGAAGCGTTCGGAAGACTAAGGAATAGTCCGTTACGTTCTATTCGCTGAGGGCGATTTTATCGTAGACAACGTCTCCCTTGCAAAACAAAGCGATCATGTTTTTTTCCGTAATTGAACGAACCACGGTATCATGTGGAAGTTGCTTTCAAAAATTAATTAATTAAGGTATTATTACGGATGTTTCAAGTTTTTTTAGCTTTTATCTCCCTGCCATACTGTAATGTTTGTTAAGTTGTCAATGTCAAATGTCAAATATATTTAATTATTTTGGTTTGAATTGAAGTAAGGATTTAAAAAAAAAAATCTAAATTTTAGGTCGAAATTTCTTACTATAAGATAAGTTTATAAAAATATTTTTTAAATGCGAATTGTTTTTTTTTTAACTATTATCCTTTAGTTAGATCATTTTAAGGCTCCTAATTGTCATTCATCAAAAAGCGCGAGTAATAATATAATTTATAAAAACCTAATTGAAAATTTTAATGAAAAAATAATTGGTAATATCAAAAATTAAAAGGATTGAAGCGATTAAAGAAAAAGTTAATACCGTCGACACGCCCCTCCCCAAAATGGTCTTACCCTGTCGGTGCAGTTCGGGTCGTCTTCGCGGTTCTTGCCCGACACGTGTCGCGTGATGTAAGCTTCGTGGGGACTCGGCACGACGTCCGCGTGCACCGAATACCTGTCGGTGACCCGAGCGTTGGCAACGCTGTTCACGCGATGCCGTTCGGGCTTCGAAACGAGCCTCGATATCGACACGAAAATGGTACCCGTCGCGTGGATGTATTGATGGTTCTTCACGTTCTGTTCTTCGGCCGCTTCGTTGGCGAGGCTGTGCAGGAACCCGAACCTCCGCACTATCGCCTCTTGGAACAGGAACAGCCTCTCGAACCAGTCACGCTTGCGTAGATCTGCGCAAAGTTTGTTGGATGGCGGTAGGCAATGGTTCATTTTTATTTTAAATTGCGAACAGTTGGATCGCCATTTATTAACTTTGATTAGCTTTCTCGCAGAGACGTCATTTTAGCAGATAAGGCAAATGGTTTGAACAAAGGAAAAAATCGATAAAAATCCCACTTTGTTATTCCTTTATCTCTTATCCCTTTGTAATCTTTTCGCATCACTTGCCTACTCACCTCTGAACATTTCGTCGTACTCGAAACAGTCGACGTCGAGCGGCACGAAAATGGGGCTTCGCAACGGATCCGATATGCCGGTGTATGGTATGGCGAGGGGGTCGGTGGGGAGCGGCACCACCTGCAGACCGCACGCCTGCGCTTTCCGATTAAAGTTGAAGAGCTGCGCAGAAAACCCGAACGTCAAACCGCGCGGCCGCGCTGACAAACGGAAAAACCCGACTTACCAGTTCGGCTATGATCGGTCCCGACGACGTCAGCCATTCGAGCACTAGCTCGTACGCGCGGTCTGGTCGGAACACAGTCTGATAGTGCACGTGACCCCATTCGGTGCGGTCGCTTTTGGTCATTATGTCCGTCTCGAATCGCATCTGCTTGTATATGGTCTCTGAACGAAACACAGGGCGTTACGAACTCGATGGTGCAGTTCGCTCAATTGGAGAAGAAACACACGATTTCACAAAAAAATATCAGTTTGCTTTGCAAGGGAGATACAGCAGCCATCGCCATTTAGAAGGTAAAGGACCATTCCTTAGTCTTTCGAACGTTTCAGTTTCGTGTAGACAGAACACAATTGACAACTACCTACAGTCTCTAATAATTAGAGGTAATTAAGGTATCATATGTTTTAGTAATTTTGATTTGGAATAGTCTTGTGTTTTGTGATTGTCTATACACACGACGATACAGCAGACCTCGCCATATAGAAGGTAAACCGGACCATTCCTTAGTCTTCCGAACGTTTAGGGATATATCCGATCTAATTATTACATCTCTCAAAGCTCCCAAAGCGGAAGCGTTTAGATTAATTTTTAGAATGGCTTTAGCTATTATTAGAAGAGCTCTTGGAAGAACTTTTAGACTAGAGCTTTTAGAGGAGATTTTTGAGTTAGGGCTTTCATGTGAGCCCCTTCTTCTTTTAGAGCTACAGATTTTGTTAATTTTTCCGCATTTCCACCCATTTTGCCGATTTCCCTTGCTAGTTGGACAATATTAAGTATGAGTTAACGAATACTATTGACGACAGAGGTGTCCGCCACTGAGCTTTTCAATTTCGATATTTTTTTGAATCAAAAACAACTTTTTTTTTGTACCGCGCCGCCACTGGATCGAATTGGCCACTTACCGTCGGCGTCGCAATCGAAATAGTCGAAATTGACGTTGTCGCTTAGGAAGTGAGGGGCGGAGCGGGTCGGATCGCGCAAGCCCCAGTTCAGGGGCGGTCTCACCTCCACCTCGAAGAAGTCGTTTTCGAAACTCTCGATGTCCGCGTGATACGACCCCGCTCGGTCGTCTGGAACGAGAAGAATTCGACGTAAAGCGTGCCGACGTCTACCCCGACCCTCACCTCTATCGGACACGACGTAAAACAAACCAGATCCGTAGACGAACTGTATTCTGTGGTCGCCGGACGCGTGCCGGATGAGCTGTTCGCCGTGCAGCCTCCGCATAACCTAAGAAAACATTCGGGTCGAGGTTCTTTCACGAGAAACGATCCCATAGAAGCAACAGGTAGAGGCAGTTAAAAAATTACTAGTGTCAAAGGTGACCTATAGTTGTAAACCGACCGAATGATCCCAGGAGATGTGGCTAACAGAAGAAGAAAAAGAACCTAAAAGGGGGATGGTGTACAGATTTCTCACATTCACGCCGGTACCCAGGCCTGATGGGTTCGGAAATCCGGTGTCGAATAACTTTCGCCGCCTGCAGCGTTGAATTTACATTGACAGTGAATAATTTGACAAGATAATAAGTAGGTAAAATTTAATTACTTACAGAAAAACTAACTTTATATAGCTTTCACAATAACAGTCAGCAGTTATTACTATATTATTTAACTAATAGAAAGAAATAGGTGAATATAGGACATTAGAATATAATTACGAAAACACAGAATATATTAAGTATGGTGTGCCACAGGGTTCGGTGCTGGGTCCGCTGCTCTTCTTGATCTATATTAATGACTTGGAAAGCTGTGGTCCCGGCTTTGATTTTGTGTTATTTGCTCAACTGAAATGAATCTAAGACTGAGGTTGTCTATTTCTCTCAGAAATATTGAGGGACTAGATATAGCGGAATTTTCATTTTCATTCTACTCGTAACAGAGAAAATATATACACTCATCATTCCACAGAATTGATGGCATAAAATGTTAAATAACGTTTTAGGGTTTCCAATTATATGTTTTGCCACCTTCTCTAAAGCTCTTGCCGTGAAAAAAGTTTAAAAAAGCAAAAATTTTGCAAGAATAATTTTGATACAAATATTAACTAGGAATAGTGTTATAAAATCTGTATGTATGAAGTGGCCATATATTTATGTGTGTAAACATTTTTGTGTAGTAATACCCATAAAGTTTATGTTTATAGAATGGGACCAGCACTTTATTTTTATTTTTGACAGCACAATGACATCTAAGCTTGGCAGAAAAGGGTTAGCATCCGTCAAAGATACACCATAAACACTACCTCCACTTTCTCTAAGGGACCATCTGACGAAGACCGTACAAGAGGAGATACCTTGAACATTTTTTTCTCTCTTTCTTTCTTGCGTAGGCCAGACAAAGAGACACTGAGAAGCGACCTGAGATAAAATCATCGGCAAGGAGAGGAAAATTCAAAGAAAAAACAACGATTCACCAAAATCCCAGGGAACGAAAGAATGTAATCTTAATTTCCTGTGGAAGCATAGTATATAGAGCTTGTAAGTGTGAAGTTTATTTGGTATTCACGTGAAGACGACCGACCTAGGTGTGGAAGTAAAAACACCCAAAAGAAGTCGACAATGATACTTTTATGACCTCGGACGAGTGGAAAAAATGGCGTTTGTTCTGTGATCGTACCAGGAGAGCTTCTTCGACGGCCGTGACGTCTTCGACGTGGGTCACGACCCACTTGACGGCGTCAGCTGCAACGAAAGCGTACGTGGGTAGGTTGTGCTGATTGCTGACGTACGACAAGCCATGGGATTGGTGTTTCATCGCTTCTACTATGTCCGAGCCAGGGCTGTCAGATTTTAGGACCGGGGGGGTACCGACAGCGTTGGCACCGCTAGTAAATAATGATGGCAGTAATATGGACGAGATATATTTCATTGAAAAACTGCGTTTTTTTTTTAAAGATCCATTTTTATATGCTATTTTTTTGTCAGTCTTCTTAAAACGTAAATCTGACAATGGCGACTTAATAATTGCCGCCATAATATTTTAAAAAATCAAAATTAAAATTGTCCTTTAATAGAAGTAGTCACTTTTTTCTTATCTTTCTTTTTCTCGTTACGGCAAATTGGATTTATTGATGCGATATTTTTTTTATTCTTTAGTATATGACCAATAAAAGATATTTTTAAATTTTTTTAACTTTTCTCTTTTTCCCTAGTTAGGTTTTTATTTATTTTTTTCAAAATTTGAAGGTGGCGAAAGTTGATTAAGCAATTTAATCAACTTTTACCACCTTCAAATTTTGAAATATTTTTTTTCTTTTATTTTCGTTTTGTTAAATTGCTCAATCAACTTTCACCTCCTCCAAATTTAAAAAATAAATAAATAAAGATAATTTTTTTCTGATTCTCTTCTCGTCCCTCTTTTCCCTATAGATTAAATTGCTTAATCAACTTCCACCACCTCAAAATTTTGAGAGAATCAATAAAAAAAACTAATTCGTCTATTAATATTAATGAAAGATAATTTTTCTGATTTTTTTCTATTCCCTCTCTTTCTCTCTTTAGAGTAAATTGCCTAATACACTTTTACCACATCAAATTGTTGAAGAAATAAATAAAGATCTGAATCGTATATTAATATTAATGAAAGAAAGTTTTTTCTGATTGTTTTCTTTCCCCTCTCTTTGTCTCTTTAGATTAAATTGCATAATCAAATTTCACCACCTCAAAATTTTGAAAAAAAAAATCTAAATCTTTCATTAATATTAATAAAACTTTTTTTTTGGTTAGTTAAGTTAAATTTTTGAACCAACTTTCAATATCTCAAAATGAAAAAAAAACTAAAAATAAAATTTTCTGATTATTTCTTTTCTCTGTCTCTCTCCCGTTATTTTTTTTCCTGTTTTTAGCCTGGTTGAGTTTAAATTACTGTAAGATAAAAGTTTTTGAATTTTTTCTTCCTTCTGGCCCTAAGGGTGAAACTCTGTATACCTCAGTGACGAGGTCATTATCCTTTCGTTCGCTCGCGAGATGTTCTGAAAGAAAAAATGGTACAGTTAGAGGAGGCACAAAATCAAAATTAAAAAGACACAAGCGTATCATCGACGCAGAACGTTATTTTGTCCAAAAAAGCTCAACCGATTTGAAAGAAAAAGTGTCTGCAATGAACGTGAAGCTTTATTTAAGCTGAAATTCTTGCGTCACAATTTGTGCTGGGATTTGAGAATTTTTGCGATTTGCTTTGAGGTATCAACAATGCAAAAAAAAATAAAATAAACGTGTACAATATCTTTCCTGATACTAAGAACCGGTCGGACGGGATACTGAACTGCGACGCATTTGGTTTAGCTTAAACATTTAAAAAAATTATATACATAAACTTTATAAACATTTATTTAGCGTAATTCTTTTAGACGACGTTCTACGATATTTCAGAAATCTGGCAAAGCGCGATTCAGATTAAGCTAGGTGTAAGCGGCAGAAGAAAAGAAAAAACCACAAAACTAACGAAATTTTTGAAAAAAAAAAAAGAGGAATCGAAGAAAAGTTAGTATACCTGCGACACACTGCTCACACTGTTACGTCTCGGTTGAGTTACGGGCGGTAAAGATTGTATACTGAGCGACATCTACAACACATGCATATAATCGACATCCACTAGAAAATCATGCTTGAAAAAAAAAATTAGTAAAACAAAGTTCGGGGCGGGTGCGTATAAGTCAGGGGGCGTGGCTTGTCGGTAAAAGCGCGTACGAACCCGCGGCTTTTTCGACACCAAACTCGACCTCTTCAGCTTGTTGACGCACGTCTCGACGAACTTCAGAAACCCGTCGGCCATTTGCTGATTCTCGGCGTCCGACGGCGAAGTGTAGATGTCGCACCTGGCAGAACCTTCGGCGATAGTTTTGGTCCCGGCGTTATTCAAAGGCAGGAAATACAGCCTTATGCTGAAAAAGGCGGGATATAATTTTAAAATAGGCCATTTTTCTAGTAGTGGGGATTGGTTACTTCTCCGTCCTCCGTCCACCGTGGGATACCGAGAGATAATGAAATTACAGGATATTAAAGTCTGTTCATAGATATGAGAAAGTGACTAACTGATACGAATTAAGGGAAGACCCGGCCAAGAATCAAATATGGCCGAACAGGTCCGTACTTTGCTTAGAATTTAATTATTTGTGATTTGAGTATCATTATCGCTATCATCGCCTGTTCTAATTATTATTTGTTCTATATTATTTGCAATATGGATATACGACTGTTCTGCTTTTTCTATATGTCTAACAGAATTTGCCCAACTTTGTGGAGGGACGTTAAAAACTTCGGTTTCTATAAGTTTGAGGACATTGGAGTTAACACGGGGAAAAACATTGTTACGACGAAGGGCAGATTTCAGTTGGTGCCAAACATTAATTGCTTTTTAGTATAATCTTCGTGAAAATAAATGTCGTTATTTTACATGTAGTTTTGGATTGTTGCTTTTGTATCACATGAGGAAGGGGTTTTAGTCAGCTGTCGACTGTGATAACCTGCATTGTCCATTACAATGACGCCGTATTATATCTTGATCACTTTCATCTACAGTCGAGAAAATGTCAGCATCGCTTCTTTTTTTTCCTCGCTGAAATGGGATTATTCACAATTTTCCATACAGTTGATGTTGGAATTTTCGTCAATGTGGCCGTTTCTTCTAAAGATGCTTGCTTGCTGGCGCCACGATCAATGAGAGTCAAATAAACATTGTTTATAACTTCCTTAGTCTCAACAGCATAGTGTTTTCTACTTTTGGGCAGGGACCATCTCCTGAGATTCACTAAACTGGCACATATTTTGCATAATTCGCACACGATTCACCACACGCTGTGTTACACACGAAATTAGAATGATTACTAATAAACTTAAACTAAGTAGTATACCAAAGCAAATAATATTAAAAACTTTAGGTAATAATCTTGTTGCATTGTATGTTAATGACCACCCTTGGATAATCCCATTCAAAAGCAATTGGTCACTTTCTTATATCTATGAACAGACCATACCTTGTTATTATAATTATATAAAAAATCGGTCCTAACTTTTTTTCGTCAAATTTTAAAACAAAGTTGTGCAATGTTGTAAATTAATTAATTTTCAAAATAAATTCAACAATTCCTCCAACATTTTCGTTTCAAAATTGTAGTTAGTCTTATATTAGTTTTTGTTGCTTTTTTTTATAAGGCCACTTAGTTAGTGAAGTCCTTTTTTAGGGTGGATTTTTTGTTGATTATGCTAGAATAAGTTTCTTATTGATGCAACAGTAACGTTGACGATATCTCAGTTTGTCATTGACGCGACCTTCTGTGAACTTCCGACATCTCTATTCATAGCATTAAAAAAATGGTTAAATTGAATTGGTCAAAGTTAGTACAAAGTTTCTTCGCGACTTCTATCGAGATTTCTAAAAGCAAAAGAGGACAATTTACCGCCAATATTTGAGTGCTTCGACCAAAACGAAGTCAGTACTGTCGCCTCCCGTGCACACGTAATGGTCCAGGTAGTTCCAGTTGTAGTGCTCCAGCTTCTCGGTCGTGAAAGTGGCCCCCGAGTCTTCGTAGGTGTCGTGGAATGGGGCGCAGAACCTGTACAGGTACTGGTAGTTGAATGAGGGATAGGGGTGCCTACAAAACGGAAATTAAAAGAAAAAACTGCAGTCCTTTTGCATGGCTAATGATGTTTTATAAAAACGCACATGAAGAAAAATGTTTATGATCATCTTGTTTGTTGATTAATCAAAGAATCACCTCCTGAAGTGTGGCCGCCCAATTGTAAAACACCCTGTATAAGTACAGTAATTACGTCATCGAACATGTGAACATTTGAAGAGGGGAAGTAGCAAAGGTGGTAAGTTTCAAAAAGAAAGTTTTGGAGAATATTCTTTTTATTAGTTTATTAACACAAATCTAACATAATTTTCAAAAGAAACTTCCACAGGCCACTGTAATACTTTTTACAAAACTTCTGGACGATTTGCCTACAAAATACAAAAATGGTCCATTTAAAAAAAATCACTTTTCATCATTTTTGTAGGAATTCGATAAAATCTGGGCTTTGCTTATTTTTTTGTTGAAATTCAGGTAGAAATCAAGTCCCGAGTATAGAAGAACATCATAAATGAGATTAGTAGACGAAAACATTGCATTTGTCAAATAAAAATTGAAATTTCGCCAATCATAATGTTGGCTTCTTCAGTGCTCAATTGAAACGGGCTCTCTCACTCTGCTGTGTACCTGCTTATGTATTGTTTAAGGGGGGCGGAGCCAAATGAGGGGCATAAACACCGTTTCGGATGACCGATTCCCATATTGGTGACAGGTAAAGATCTGAGTCGCATTTAATCCATCTTCTATAACAGAAAAATCCGAGAGTCTATAGAAATATATAAACAACCTTAACCGCCACTCAGATCTCTACCAGTCACCAATATGGGAATCAGTCATCCTCATTTAGCTCCGCCCCCTTCAACAATATATAAGCAGATACAGAGTAAAATGCGAGCCAGTTTCAGTCAATTTCTGAAGAAGCCAACAGGATGATTGGCGACGCAGTAGGGCGGAATATTTTCGTGACGGTTATAGAGCGATCGCGAAAAACGGGAGCCACGCCCACCACGCTTACCTCGGCCTATACCGCGTGACCGACACGGTATTGCCGGCCAGCGAGATCTTGTGAAACAGCCTCCCGATCGAGAGGTAGTAACATTCGTCGTTTTCCGTGGGACTTTTCCTCACCACCGACCCTTTGGCGTACTGGCTCGCCTCTTCCGCGTTCTGACTCATCACGATCAATTGGAAGCCTTGCGCGAGGCGTTGCGAGACGAGCTCTTTGAAAATTTCGTCGGTGGTAAGCGGCTTCTTGCTCGAGCTCTTCTGCTGGGCGAATCCCGCGTACACCGTGTCCGGTACCAGGCTGTAGAGCGAGACGACGTAGTCGTTTTGTAGGGACGTTTTATCCGGGAAAAAGTCCGTGGTTATCGGGAGACAGGCGGGCATCGTCAGCGATTTCCAGTCGACACCTGAAAAGGAAAAAAAAGTGATTTTTTTTCTAGGTTCCTTCTGCGTCTGTTGCTTATAACTCAATCTTGCTGACGTTTCGGCAATTATCGTGTCGGTGTCTTCAGAGCTATACTTAACTTAAACACGCTTGTATATCGCTTGAGGGGGGCAGAGCTAAAAGAGGTGCGTGAATATCGTCTCGGATGACCGATTCCCATAATGGTGCACTTTTGATATGTTTTGAATGTAAGGAAGAACATAGTGGTAAGAGAGAGAGAAGATCAGATGTGAGGTGTTTTAAATCTGGTTCAGTAAGTTGAGATAGTTTTACGGTTCTGTCTCCAGCTTTGCTCTAGGCTTTCATAAATATATTCGTGATGACTGGTGATAATGGAGAACCCATAGCCGTTTCCGACGTTTGTTCATAAATTTGACCGTTACAAGAAAAATATGCTCCAAATGGTGAATTATGTAGAAAACACTATTCTATTGAGACTAAGGAAGTTATAAACAATATTTATTTGACTCTCATTGAACGTGGTGCCAGCAAGCAAGCATCTTTAGAAGAAACGGCCACATGGACGAAAATTCCAACATCAACTGTAACGAAAATTGTGAATAATCCCATTTGTCCAGATATGGACCTCAGCGATTATTATTTGTTTGGATATTTGAAAAAGGACTTACGTGAACGGCGGTTTAACGACGAAGTTGAGTTAAAAGAGGCTGTTTTGGCTGATTTTGCAGACAAACAAAAAGAATATTTTTTTAAAGGGATTGAGTTGTTAATAAAGGGATGTAATAAGTGTATTGAAGTAATGGGGGATTATATTGAAAAATAATAAAAAAATGTTACTCTACTCTTTCTTTCATATTCAGGCCGGGAAATTTTGGCGCTGCCATCGTAGGTCTTGCAGTTTTTCGCATTTGCTTCGTTGTTATTTTTACATGGACCTCGGCCGTTAACAAATAAATAATAATAATCACATCTCAAAGCTTGGATACTTTCAAAAGAATATCACCGCACCTGTAGTAAGCGCTGGGGTCCACTCTTGCTCCCCGGTGGCTCCCCAAAGCAACGTCAGGCTGCGGGTCGAGTTCGCTCCCAACATCGACATATTGCCGAACGTAGGGGGATTCCCCTTTCTCTTACAGTCTGAAAAAAAAAGGAGGCTCCGCCTCCAAAAGTGACGTCATAATCTAGGCCACTCACAGTCTAGCAAGGCAGGGTTCACCGTGACCGTCTCGTGGGGCGGAGCGCCACCGCCTTCGGGTTCTTCCGGTGGCCCGGAGTAACGCGACGCCGAATGGTAATGGTGCTGCTGTATCAGCGCCCCCGTCGGATCTTTCGGGAACAAATGGGTCCAACGCCGTCGGTTCGACGTCAGCTTGATCGTCACGTGTGACGGATCGAAGGGATTGATAAGGGCGCGGGACTCGTGGGTCGACGAGCCCTCCGATCCGACCACCATTCTCGACGGCGGCGAAAAATCTTTTTCTAAAAACGCGACCGATGGTCTGGTCAACATGTACCCATTTTTTTTTTAATTTTTGTATAGCCTCCGAAAATTATGATTATGGTGTCACTCAATTCGAAAAATTATGTAGAAAGTTTAAGGAAAGGTTCCAAAAGGAACTGAAAAAAATTGCAAAAGTTATAAACAATTAACTGAAAAAAAAAAAAGGGTTTAGTTTTTTTTTGAATGTCTCGAAAAATAATGACAATTTTTCTTTTCAGATCTTTTTTAACATTTAGCAAATTTGCTAAAAAAATGTCCTCATTCCCGGAACTGCACCTCCAATATTTATAATTTTTATGGAGCCCTGAAAAATGAGCGAAGACTGAGTTGCGCTACTCTTACACAACAAAAAAAATTATTTAAACATATTAAATATGAATAGTAAGGAATGAAAAAAAATGTAGCATTGGGATACACAAATTAACAATAATCCGCGACAAAAACAATTTGTTCATAAATTATGGATTTGTTAATTAAGTAATTTAGTAATTTATATAGGTTGGTCCATTTAAAATAACAAAGTTGACGTCGGGGGGACTTTTGGGACACCCGGTATCAACAAAATTATAATATATAATAAACAATTATAATATATATAATATATAAAATAATATAATATATAATAATTCAAATCTTCAGGAGAGTCCAAGAAACGTTTCTACAAAACTTTTTTTCGTATCTCCTATTTGGCACACGATGTACATGCGGGTTCAATACTACTCTACTACGTCGGCAGTATTGACATATACAAAAAAAAATGTTTTGGTCTAAACCATTTACGAGTCAGTGTCTGTGTGTCTGTTTTCGGGCGGTTCGTTTGAACTACTCCTTTCGTCATTCGTTAGTCCACTCGGTTTGGGTGGGGTTTCCAGTCAAACAGTACGCGTACCTTCCGCCAGGGGCGACACGAGCGGGTTTTTGTTGGTCTGCGGCACCGCTATCGGATCTGTGGCGCCATTAAGGCCGTCGTGTTCGCGCACCATTTCCGGATCGGATATTTTCCGGGCGACGCGCCTCCGCAGATCGGTACCGCGCGAAAACATGTCCGGCGATCTCTTCGAATACGACGTGATGAAGCGATTCGTTTGGTTCGGCCTGGAACCATCGGTACGAATTGTTTTCTTGTCGAAAATGTCACTGAACAAAGCTACTTTGATTTCGAGATGTCAAAAATTCATAATTCAACTACAGATGGAAGCACCAAGAATAGTACACCTAACAGGATTGCATAAGACATACTTTCGTCAAAATTATCGATCGCACGTGGTCGCTTGTGACGTAAGCAAAGTCCTCTAACGGTTTTTGTGTATTCTGTCAATGCATTTGAAGGCGTATTAAACCGTTGAATTTTGTGTCCTTTGAACAATTAAAATAATTGTTGTAAAATGTTTGTGTTAATTGTATTTTTGTAAAAAAAAATTGGGCAAAATAATGTTTTTAAAGCTTTAACAAATACTTTAAAATTGTATGTGCCTGAGCGGCGAGAACTGAGAAAAACAGTATTTTTAACCTTAAACAAAGACTTAAAAGTTTTGTGTGCTGCTTATTATTATTATTTATTATTATTATTATAAGTTAGGAGGTAAGCTGAAAATATTACACATAATAATGTAGGTAAAGGTAAGAAATACACTTCTTTTACCTTTTTCAGTGAGATAAGTTACATAAAAAAATAGTTACGTATGCCTGGAACGAGATGCGCCATGTATGGGTGCATAACAACTATTTTGATGAAAAAGCCAGTTCTCGAAAATGTAGTTTTCGTCGCTTTCCCAAAGGGAAAGATCTGGAATCCCGAAATATTCGGAACGAGTGGATAGTTCGGTGTAGAAGAGAGGACAAACTTAATCCAGATAAAAGCTATGCCTGCTCAGTTCATTTTACTTAAAATGATTACGAAAGAGACTTACAAAATGAGTGAAACAATGTTCGAAATAGAGGTTGGTATCTCCCACGTTTCCTGGTATTTGATTTTTTTCAATGGAGTAAAAATGTTTTTTCAGATATCTTGAGCAGCGTATGTGATACATAAATTGTTACTCTTGATACGACCTATTACACTGTTTGAACCGATTGGCCATATTTTTTACGAATGTTGATTTGCCGTTAATAATTTATTCCAAAAAAGTACAACTTTCCCGATCTTTTAGATTTTTGTCTGCAATTGAAAAACTCTGTCAATCAAAATCAACAAAAAGCTTGAAATAAAAGTCATAGCCCCGGATCTCCCACATTTTCTGGCTCTAAAATTTTGCCGATCAGTTGAATAGTTTTTGAGAAAATCATGGTTTTCTCAGACTCATTTTTCACTGGTTTGTGTAGCTCGTGCACGGCTTGAAAGGAGCCATATTTGAAGGCCATGTTGGAAACCGTTCAAAAGATAGAGCCAATTAATGCCAGGTCTACAGAGAAACGGAGAACGGATAACGGAGAACAGACGCTATCATTTCTGTACCAATGGCGGTCCCCTAGGACCTATCGTTGCCGAGATATGAGTTCGATTTTATCGATTTTTCGAAAGTAACAAACTGAGGACACTTACGATGCGTCCTGGGTGTGGTGGGCGGAGCAATTTTGGAACACAGCTGAGTCGTAGGCGTCGTAGTCGAAGAACGAGTTGTGGATGCACTCTTCGTCGGGCACCAGGCGCGTTTTCGGTTTTTTCGCGTCGCCGTTGCCGCCCTCGCCGCCGCCCAGGGGCGGCAGCTTGATCCGCGGCACAAAGTTCGAGTAAGCGAACTTCTTATTGGTCGAGTAGAACGATAAGTTGATCCAGTGCGGCATCGAGTAGTCGTCCGGCACATTGCCGTACGTGTCTTTGTTGCAGAACTTTAAAAAATACGTAAATAAATAAGTGATGATAACAACAAGAAAGTGCGAGTCATCGCAATAACTTTGACGACGTTCGTAAGATCAAACGCAGATAATACAGTAGATAAAAATATACGTTTTCATTGATTTATATTATTTAAAAAAAAATAATTTTAATTTCTAATTTTTGAAATATAGTTTCTTGAACAAAAAACAAAAAACTGCGAACAATCCCAGTTCGATGAGGACTTTTGTAATGATTTAATATACCACTTAAAAAGCAACTATTATATATACTATATAAAGGTACTATAAAAATTTTAAATAGTACAAAGGGTGGATCGTTAACAAAAATCATAAACCAACATCAAAATTTAACATTTTTTTTATGGAAACTTTTCGCAACTCCATAAGAAAACACGACAAATGACGAAAAACTTTTGTTAATGTGCAAATTTATATAGGTTGAGGCTTTTTATATCATGTTTTAAGTAACACAAATTTGAACTCACATTTTTCAAAAAAAGGAGGTACTATAAAAATTCTAAATAGTACACAGTGAGAACCAGTCATGCAAATAACATTTTTTCTAAATAAGAAAACACGAAAAATGACGAAAAACTTTTGTTAATGTCAAATTTTCATGGGTTGAGGCTTTTTATATCATATTTTAAGTAATACAAATTTGAACTCACATTTTTCCAAAAACGGAGGTAATATAAAAATTTCAAATAGTACACCGGGCGAACCGTTAACAAAAATCATAAACCAACTTCAAAATTTAAGATTTTTTTATAGAAATTTTTCGCAACTCCATAAGAAAACACGAAAAATTACGTAAAACTTTTGTTAATGTCAAATTTTCATGGGATGTCTTTTTGTATCATATTTTAAGTAATACAAATTTGAACTCACGTTAAAAAAAAATAAGTATTACACAGGGGGAACCATTAATAAAAATCGTAAACTTACATTAAAATTTAACATTTTTTTATGGAAATTTTTCGCAAGTCCAATAGAAAACACGAAAAATTACGAAAAACTTTTGTTAATGTCAAATTTTCATAGGTTGAGACTTTTTATATCATATATTAAGTAATATAAATTACTAAAAAAATTATAAATAGTACAGAGAGTGAACCATTAATAAAAATCATAAAATTAAATCAAAATTTAACTTTTTTTTAATGGAAATTGGTGATGGAACATGGAACATGGTGATTTAAAAAATATTGACGAGGTCAAGTGAAGCTCATTTGTGATATAACGAGTCACCTTGAGCAAAGGCACGGCGTGAAGCGGCTGCTCGCCTACGCACACCAGGTCGCTGCCCACTCCGCCGTCGATGATCCTCTGCTTGGTGATGTTGGTCAGTTCCCGGTCCACCTCGAACACGCCCACACCGGGAGTGACGACCACGGTCAGCTGACCGGTCCGATCGAAGCTACGGTCCAGGTAATGCTTTTCGAACACTGTAATCGCGATTAAACTTTCGAGATAAGTCGGTTGAGTGTCTCTTGGCTAAGTACCGTTAAGTGACATGTTAAGCACCTCCAGGAAATTACCATGGGCTGCCGAACTGTTCGTCGCTAGAGGAACAACCATGTCCGGTTTGACGTGGAAGGACAGCAGGTCGGTGAGGTAGTGCTGAAAGATGCGACGCAGCTCCACCAAAATGTTGTTCCAGTCGTCGTATCTTTCGTGCTGGACGACGACCCTTCCAAATGAACACACATAACAACCATTAATGACACTAATAAGAGTGTCCTTATTTATATTTGATGTAGAATGAGTAGTTACGAATACGAATACTTTATTAATGTTACTATCAAAGTTGATTAAGGTACGTCAAACAAAAAGGTATAAAATAACATATACAGTGAAAACTCCCTTTTACGAACAAAATTTGTTGTACTATTATGTATTAATCCACTCTGTATAACGAATTTCTCACTATCTATGCCGAAAGAAAAAACGGCACATCAGGTATGGTCATTTAACTTTCTATCTAGAAAAGAATTTATTATTTAAAAAATATAATATCCTTCTTGTCTTTTCTTGCCACAATTTGAATTCATGCATGTTTTATTTATGTTATTGTTTATAATTTTTTGATACTTACTTATTTTTATTTTTTATAAAAAATGTATTTCACATCACAACGAAATTGAAAGAACGTCTCCAGTTAGTACATATTTTTTCCACTCTCCTCTATAAAATACCAAATTACACACCGATCTTGCGTGCGGGAAGCGTCACTTTACCAAGTCAGTTTCGTTTCCCGCGGATCCGAGCCGCTTCCAAAAAAGAACAGGTCCTAACCTTCAATTTTGTTTTGTTTATACTGACAAGAGATGGATATTTAAAAATCGTACAAATGTCTTGGCAAGATATTAATATGAAAACTGTAAAAAAACCACTAAAGTTCATGTGAAGTAAAATTTCTGTGGGACTGACGTGGTAAAGTGACGCTTCCCGCACGCTAGAGTAGAAAAAAAAGTTTACCGTTAACCCTTTACTAATTTTTTAAAGGAAAACTACGCGCGTATTTAGTTCATCATTTATCAACAATTGTATAAATTTATAAATTATGTTTTCAATGTTTTTATTTCCTTTTTAGACATTCGAATGTTGCTTGACAGTGGTGTAAATCTTGCTCACATCTCCACGACACTGACGACAGATTTGTTAAGAAAGAAAAAGAAAAAAAAAATGAAAATCAGCCTAATTTGAGTAGTTTCGTAATGCGAACATTACCAGCGGCAAAATGAAAGGGCAATTTTTGCCACAAATTCGAGCTTTCGATGCATCGAAAACTCTGAAGTAAAAAAAGATATTCACTTATGCATTCATTCATAAGCGTGTTTTTTTTTAAACAAAACAGCTACCAATAATAAAACAGTTCCTGTGTGCAACTCTTTCCTCAGCATCAGTAGAATAAACTAATGGTTTTGTAAACTAAGATATAAGGACAACGAAAATGAAAAAGCATCAATTGTATATAATTATGTTTTTTGCCTTATTTTTTAAAGAGTTCTTTGTATACTTTTTATTTGTGATATTTTTACGTTGCGCTTTTTGTGTTGGTTTTGTTAGATTTAAAAAAATAGCCGTTGGATTAACGTCATGATTTTAAATTAAAAAAATCAATCAGCCTTGAAGTCAGTCTGGCTACCGCACTTCAACCTTCCAACAATAAAAGATAGGTTATGAAAATGAACCAGAGCTAGCTTAGTACCTATAAAAATCTTCGTAGTATTTGCCTTTGTAATCCCTTTGCAAGCATTCTCTCATATGCGGCGGAAATTCCTCCAACTGGGCGGCTTTATAAAATATCCTCGAAAACATCACTATCGTGATTTCGTGGTTGCTGCCGTTCTTCTTCCATTTGAGAAACAGTTCGGGCAGGAAACCGTTAACGGCCTTTTCAAAGTACAGGTTGCCGTAGATGTCGAAGTCCCACATTTCCGACGACATTTGCAAAAATATGTACAGCATGGCGGTCGAGGAACGAAAAACCACCTTCGTGTCCTCGGTTATCACGCCGCACGCGACACGGTCCCCCTTGGCCCACATCTCGTACACCTGGCATCTGATGGCGCCCCCGCAAAACTCCAGTTTTTTGTTGGTGTACACGCACGTTTGCACCTAACATAAAAAATTGATTTTGCCGCTAATGATAAGTGGGAGGCTTACCAGACTGTTTTTCAGTCGCCACATTTCCGATCTTCCCATGTAGTGATCTTTGAATGTCAATTCCACCGAATCCAAAGCCACGTCGCAAGGATTTATCAATCGAATGGTAACATTTTTGTAAATCTGCAAGCCGAACGCTGTCGCGACGCTCTGCTCGACGCTGACCGTCTCTCGCGCTTGCAGTAAATCGTCTCGGAAATTTTTTATTTGCAACAGCAGACGCGGATATTCTTCATCCACGTCTGAATGTTTCTTGAGCCTCTCATCTTCCGTCGGCGGCGGATGGTAAATCTCCACTATATCATTTTTCTTCGCTTCCGGATAATCCTTCTGGTTTATAACCAAATCGTCCACTAGAAGACCGACATGTCATTTATTACCGGTTCGTACATGAAATACCTAAAAATTCGTACCGCTAAATGTTTTTTGGTGGACGATCAGTCTGAAGGATTTCATTGGCCTTTAAAATTTACACATACATAATATTTACTTAACCTATAAAAGGGATATGGTATTTTTCGAACGTCACGGATGGATTAGTTTTCGTTAGTTAGGGTATCCATCACCTTAAAATAACGCAGTACCTACAAGTTTACGGCTTTTAAATCTACCAATATCACAGACTGCATCTACGATCATGCGTGGTGAAGGGCGTCTAACAGCCCCACTTTTTATCGATATCGACATCGAATTGGCAGTCGATATTTTGTTAAAAAAATAATTTTCAACCATCCTGTCGAGTGGTGCTTTAATATTTAATATACTCGTACTTTAAACGTTTCGCAAAACATTTTCTTTTTTTGTTCTGTTTGCTAATTTTCAGTGGCGACAATAAATGATCGATACTTATATCCATGTCTAGGCGCTGCACAGGAAACGGAAACGGGTTCGAGATTATGAATTCCGGGTTTCATAGCTATATTTCCTTTGTTTTGTATAGATAGAATATGGCTGCCATGTTTAGTTTATCTGTCTATTTTGAAAAGTGCTCGATATTTAGTGATCAAGTTTATTATGAAAATTGGTTACCGTTCAGAAAAATATAATAAACACGAAACAGGGCGTGGTTATTTAGAATGCACCCCATTTCGCATCCATTTTGCCGTATTTGTAAAATGTTTCTGTTTACATCTTTAACCCAAAGCCTCATTCGGATTCCTAGGGTCTGAAGGTGAGTTTTCCGTATTCCGAGGCTTTATAAATATTCAAATTTGATTTATGGTAATTCGCTAACAAAATGCTAGTTGCAGGTAACCGCGCAAAGGCTTTAGCGAGCCCAATTCTGCATCGATGTCTACAGGCTAGTTTTTTACATTGTAGCAGGCTCGACGATTTTGAAAGTCTTTAATATTCCTGTTCCTTTAGTACGAAACATTTCTCGTCTGTAGGACGACGGTTTATTTCACATTAAGTTTCCAGGTAGGTACTTTAAAATTTAGTGATATTCAAGCAGTATTGAATCTATTTGCAAATACATGTATTCTTTTGGGATGGAATATGAAATGAATAATTGGTTTGTACGGCAATTCGACGCACTTAAAAGAAGCAGTAGGATCAGCAAACCAATCCTGTTTGTTAATGCTTTCCTCTAAATGGAGGTCAGATATGGCACATCTTTAAACATTCATTTCAAACAAGCTGCTACATTTTGTGTTTAATTTAATATGTTTCCAGCAAATTTTTCAGTGTCTGGAATCCAGGCTCGAAGAAGAATTTTTATGGAAAATAGGTCCTATTGGATTTTTCTCTGCGGCTGCATTTTGAGTGTGTTCAATTGTTTCTAGTAAGATTTTTGAATGTAAATAGTGTGAGTAGTGAAAGTAGTTTGTTAGGATTGTTGTTTGTGTTTTGTACCCACTCTCTGAGACTTACTTTTGCAAATTGAACAAGGCCACTTCAGATAAAATTTGAACAGTGGACAATCATCAGAGATCATTTAAACAGCTGTCATAGAGAATACCAATCCTTCACGATGATCAACACAAAAGTAAATTAAATAAGGGCATTTCTTAAATGCTCATACCAACTTATGTAATTCCGATATCCAGTTGCTAGGAAGCCCAAGGGGCTGTCTTATAAGAATGATATTTGTTAGTTAGAAATATTTTTGATTATCTTCTTCATCAAGGTTTATTTTGTAATTCACGACGGTGAGTCCCGCGCATCCTTATCTCAATGTGTTATATGAAAAAAAAAAGATATTTTGAAGAAAAAAAAGCAACTTAAATGTCATGATTTCTGGTAAGTTACAAATAAAGGAAAAGTGATTTACATACCACTATTCGATCTTGTTTCTGTATAAAAAAAATTAAAATACATGCCTTGTGCACAGAAGAAAATCAATGAAATCAGAAAAGATTTTGAAAAAGTCTTTGAAAGAATGATTTGTTTTAAAGTTAAAAAAAAAAATCCAAAACTTGTACGATAAAATAGAAATGTCAAAAAACTTAAATGACAAAAATTGAGATAAGTTTATTATATTACTTATGTCTGTATTTTTTTGTTTTTTTGGGCAATTCAAATTTTTGAAGCAAATATAAATCCTTATATACCTTTTTTCCTTGCAAAAACATGGAGGTGTCACCATTAAAGGTTTAATCGCCATTAAATAAATCATCAACTGATGAAGAACGTTGAAATTTCTTCAAATTCAATAGGATATGTGGCGAACATTTGTTAAAAAAAAATCTTTTTTTTTTCTAAATTCCGCGTACAGTTATCGTTTGTTTCTAGCCGGGAGCGTTTTTGATCTGGATCTGCAAAGCGAGGCGGCAGGGGGCGGCGGCGGAGGCGTCACGGCCCACCCTCCTACAGAGGAAGCCCCGGATTATAATAATGGAGACATGAACGATCGTCCGGATCCAATCACCTCTCCCACTACGTCAAGCGTCGCAGTAGCAGTAGCAGTACCAGAGAGAGGCGAAGTAGCTCAGGAACTGCCTCGGATCGCATCGAAATTGTCGCCCTTCCCGAAGGCGGCATCGAACCCGCCCCTGATAACCGTTTTGAATTCGACCGGCCCGCTGACGGTGCTGAAAAATCTGTGCGTGTCGGCCGCGACGCCGCCCCAATACGCCGCCGCCATCGGCGTGACGAACGCGGTGGTGGGTAAATCTCCCACCGTCACCGTATTGAGTTGCGGACCCCTGAGTAGCGCGGTCGCGGTCGTGAAGACTATCGACGCCCCCATCAACAGTCTAGTGACGGGAGGCGCAGGGACGGTCGTCGAGAGCCGAGGCCATAATGTTTTCGTTAAGAACACGACTTGTGTGGACACGGGAGGCGGATGCGCCGGGGATAGTGGTCAGAAGTCGTCGGTGGGGCCCGCCCCTCCCCAGACGAACGTAAGTCGCGAACGCGGGACGTTTGAACTACCAGTTTCGTAGATATAACACCCCTAAATCTTAAATTTAAATTTTGTACGTCGCCCCCGTAGGAATCTTAGGATGAAAATAGAATTGGAGTGTTGCCTTTATGGAATGACCCACGCTGGTTTCGAATAATTTATTTCTTGTGTGCCTCCCGCGTCTTGTTGGCTTCTTTAGAGCTTAACTGATGCTTTAAAAAAAAAGATTTTATCATAAGGATATGCAATATCATATGCAATATGCATAAGGACTGCAACAGTCTCTAAACGTAGATAAAACTAACTATAAGGCTTTTCAAAAACTATTGTTGATTGTCCTACTTCTAAAAGTATATGTGTTGAAAATTTAAATGAACAAATTTTGGAAGCACAAACCGTAAAATACTTGATACAAATTCGAAGTGGGAGATTCACATTAACTTCTTAACAAAAAAGCTAAGGTATTTAATATTCAAATTTTATTCACTAAGGCAATGTCTAACTGATCTGTTGATACTGTACTATAGTCTCGTAGAGTCGATTTTGCGGTATGGAATAACAGTCGGGGGGGAGGGGGCTGTTCAGTACTGCGTTGAGACCATTGAATGTGGTTCAGAATAGAATCCGTAAAGTGATTTACAAAAAACATCACTTATATCCAACAAATCTTCTCTATAGGGAAAAGGTTTGTGATGTTTGATCGTTATACATTTATATGGTGTGTTGTTATATTTATCAGAACAAGGTCTCTTTAAACCCAATCAATCATCTGTTTACCACTAGAACAATAATGAATAGACAAGTACAGGTAGCGATGCCTAGAAGTGAATTCTATAAAAATGATTGTTAATATTTGGGGCCTACATTATACAACAGCCTTCCATTAAAAATAAGACTGATGAATAAAATAGGTAGATTTAAAAATGAAACTCGTAAATTTATGCTTGAAAATAGTTGCGTTGTTTTGAACTGTGGTTTATTTTGTTTTTATTATTTTCTTATTATAGGGTAATAGAGTGTTAACATAATTAAATGTATGTAAAACTCCTTGGACTTGGAATCTATTTGTATTGTATTAAATTAAATTAAATTAAATTGAACAAAAGGCAGATAAAGTAACTTGTGACTCCAATGGTACTATTTACAAACCTTCTGACGTTTTGCCAATCATCATCCTGTTGGCTTGTTCAGGCTTAACAAGGCAATTTTCAGAAATCTGGCCAAAAACTTCCGCTTATAGAGTTCTCTGTACATAAATACAATTTTCTACAATGCTTGGGCTGTTGACACAAAAAATAATTGACCTGTGAATTTCACAATTCCCCACATTTCATCCTTCATCCTGGAAAGTCAAACGTTCTTTTCTTTAAACCCAGCAGCCTTTGCTTTGGCCATGATTTTCGTGGTATGTCCTCCTTGTCCAGATTCCGTACCAAAGCCAAGCTCTCAAGCATAATAAAGCGGACTTAAAACATCGTCCAGTTATTGGAGATTTTTAGTAACATTTTTTATTTTCGCGGAGCTTTGAGTTTCGAACCCTAACTCGTATTTGTCGCAGGTAATACACAACGCTGCCAAACCGTCGACCGTGAACGGCCAACGGAACCGTCTGAAGGTGCTCTGCAACGCCCCCTCTATGACGCAATCGACCGCCCTAACCAGCAAGATGCACATCGTTAACCAGCAGCAAAAGTACCCGCGGCACTCCGTTCGGAGTTTCGCCAAGCCGCCGGCGGCTGCAAACGCGCTCGTGAACAGCGCGAAGGCGTCTCCGGGCCCCGCCCCTTCTCCCTTATCTACCAAGCAGCAGGCGCAGAAAGCGATCGCGAGTTATCCGCCCAAAGGGCAACAGCAGCAGCAGCAGCGCAGTATAAAGACGCTGCAACCGCAGCAGCAGCATATGCCGCCCCATCAGCAGCAGCGGGTCGGTCTGAGGACGATCCCAGCCCAGAAACACCAAAAGGTGGGCGCCCCCAAGCCGAACTATATCGGGAAACACGCGATCCAAGGCCACAAGGCGAGGCCGACTTACGGGAGGGTCAAGAGTCCTAAGGCGGCGCCCGGAAACCACCACCCCCACCATCACGAGAAACAGTTGACGTTCAATCAGGCGCTGACTGCCCAGATCATCGAGACGTTGAGCAATACCAGCGTGCCTCAGCCCAGCAATAGGTGCGAGGCGTTGCCGGCCCGATACGACAGTGCCTTCACGTGTCCCGATAAACAGTACTTGTAAGTTTTCGTCCACCTGTAATGTGGTACGTAAAGGAATAGCATAAGAGGATGCAATGTTGCTGAACAACAGTCGAAAGCGTCTATAAAAAAAAAAAAAACACTATACGGTGGAACCTCTTGGGCTATTAAATTATCAGAGGTGGACTGAGAAATATCTAAGGTAACCCAAATTTTCCTTCCTTTTGGAACTGCTACCATCAATATTGAACTTTTGAATAGAATGCTCTGTATTTTTGTGCATTAATTTAATTTGTACTGGTTACAAAACTTCTGGATCCCTCCGGCATCGGTTGTTTCGCCCATGGTCCTGTTGGCTTCTTCAGAGCTTAACGGAAACTGGCTCACATTTTACTCTGTACCTGCTTACATATTGTTTGAGCCACCTTACATCTGCTCTTCTGCAATCTGACACTTGCCGTTGTCAATCTTCCATTTGGACATAAAGTTTTATTCGATAAAACTAAAATTCTTGCATGTCATCAATTCTTCTAAGAATGAAAATTTCGAGAATCTGTAGATATCTACAAGCAACCAAACAATTTTAACCGCGACTCAGGTCTTAACCTTTCACCAATATGGGAATCGGTCATCCGAGACAAGGTTCATACCCCTCCTCTAGTCCCGCCTCCCTCAAACAATATTTAAGCAGGTACAAAGTAGAATACGAGCCAGTTTTAGTTCAGCTCTGAAGAAAAAAAAACATGCTAAACTCGTTATTCAAGGAAAAACAACTGAGAATTGGTATTTTATCTCATTTCTCATTCTCATTTTTTTCATCCTTGTAGAAATAGAATTGAAAGTTACATCTGAATGTGTTGCGTACCATTTACAACAACAAAGCTTTTAGTTATTATTGCTAACAACCTCGACTAGGGGTATAGTAAAAATGTCAATTTCAATTAGTAACCTGTAAATATAAATGGGTATAATACAATATAAACCGAAGGACAATAAATTCCCCGAAGAAAAGGTTTGAACTGTGATTCTTGTGTAAAAAAAAGCCAAGTAAATCAATTTGAATCTTCTTGGGGCGCAATGAAACCATCGACTGTGTACATAAATCATGATTTTCTTCCATGCGAAGTCGATTGCAACTATAGTCTTGTGTTCAATTGTAATTAACTGTTTATTGCTTATATTTTTAACTATTTACAAATCTTTCCTCATGCGTTGTTTTTTTTTTTTCATAAATTAAACTCGCCTATGTTTCGCCAATCATTCTGTTGCCTTCTTCAGAGCTCAACTGATTCCACTCGGTACCTGCTTATATATTTTTTTGAGGGGGCGGAGCTAAAAGATGGGCGTAAACGATTTCTATCCCTCCTTGTATTTTTCGTTGATAGAAGAATTGATTACAATGCATTATGGGATGGGTTTGGGTAGGTTTTTTGTAAACTGAATGATGCAAATATCTATATTATATAAATATTGTATATATATTAGTTTCTAATTCAATGGCATACCGTATGTTAGGGAGTGTAGAGTTTAAATGGCTAAGAAAATTTTGTAGGGATTTAGGACTTTCTTCTCAAAGGCTTCCATGAATATTAGCGCTATGTCTGGTGATAACGCAGGACCCATAGCTGTTCCCGACATTTGTTTGTAAATTTGAAGGTAAATCAAACTCCTATTTTTTTATTGAGATCAACACAAAAAGCAGAACGTAAAAATAACACAAATTAAAAGTAAAACATAAGACAAGTAACATATTAATATACATGTTGTGCCTCTTCATTTTCGTTGTATAGTTTGAACAAAAATACTAATTTTCCCCCTTTTCTGTTCATTATGTCTGAGTGTACAAAACCGAAAGTGCTCGTTCTACTGACACCGAGAAAGCAGTTGCACACAAGACTCGCTTATAATTGGTAGCTGTTCCGCAATTTCTGGCTCATCCTTTTGTGATGTCCACTATTTTTTTTTATTCATCCGAAAACATATTTTTTTAAATTCGTTTCTTCGGGTGTTAACTCATATTTTTGCTTATGCTTATAAATTTTTCGTATTTTTCTCGAAGATATATTGTAAATGTTTCCACTGCTTTACAGCATCTGAGATGGTAACATTTTTTCTCTGCATCAAGAACAACTGATATTGGTTTTAAATTGCTTAAATATCCTTGTGCCGCCCCATGTTTAAGCCCAATATTTGACAAATTTTGGTAAACGGCCTAATCGATTTGGTTTTTCTTATCTTCACACGTCACTTGGAACGACTAAGGCGTTGCCTCATACTTGATTGAATTTCGCTCTATCTAGAAAAGATTTTACCTCGCGTTCTTAGTGTTTATATTGTACTACTTTGTTCATAGTGTCTTTAAAATATCTTTTCTACTCCCGTTTGTAAAAGATTTTACCTCGCAGTCATTTTGTGATTTACGTGAACAAATTGGGTCACAAACTACTTCAGTCAAATTTTGTGCAAAAAATTTTCTTGCAAAAATCGCGTTCTGACGAACACCGTTGCGAGTTTCAGGTCGTTTTCAAAATAAATCCGGACGGTACGTTTAAATTACTATTGTAACGCATCGAATAATTGACCCAGGGGCGCGGCCAAAGAGGAGGACAAATCGAAATCGGGCCTCGACACGTTGTCGCTGATTTGCCAGGCGGTCCTCCTCGATCACAACTACAACGCGACGTTGCCGTGCGAGCTGCCTTCGCGCCCCGCCCCCCCGCTCAACACGCAGGCGCACCTAAACGGCGTAACGAACAGCACGCTGTACGGCGCGACGCCCGGCAAGAAACGGACGCAAAGCGTCGGTTCGGCGGCGACGGCGCCGCTCGCGGTGGGCGTTCCCGGCGCGACCGCCCTTAGGAATTACGAAGACGACGGCGGTTCGGACGTTTCGGACGTTTCGGAGCACAAGCACGACACCGAGGGCGAGGAAACCGACACGGCACCGGAAGCCGAGGAGGTTAAGAATGAGGACCCGTCCGATCACTACGGCGACTACGTCACGAGGTGCATTTGGTGAGTACGTTTGAACTACTGGCGTTTGGAACGGCGCCGAAACTACCAGGTGCTATTTTTTTTGTTTTGGAAAATAATCCGTTAAATACAAAACTTGTTCGAAAGAAAAGTAGTACGCCATTTACAAGATGTATTTTTATACAGGGTGTTCGGAAACTTGCTGGAAAGATTCAACGTGGTAAAATAATGATAGTAAAAAATTTTTTTTTTTTAATTTTATTTTTAACGCGGTGGGCTATTTTACACTCAGGTCTGATTTAGTCAAAATCATCTTTACAGTGTTTCAGAAATCTGTCACTAGAGGGCACTGTACCTAGAATATATTTTTTTTTGCCTGTATTTTATTTATTTATACAGATATTGGAAAATATTGCCTTAAGCAGACTCATAAATCCTTCAAAAAGTGTTACTCTTGTTTTAAGTCGATAAGTGTTATCGCTAGCCGCAAATCAACTTTTTACTACTTTACTACTACTAATTTACAGAAGGGTGGATATTTCTGTTAAATTTTTCAACACAATATGACATGACATGACATGTTTAATTTAAGCAACATAAATACATTTCATATTTTCGAAAATAAAAAAATAATAATAATCGGGAATCAAGCGACATACAACGTTAATTACGATTCATTTTCAAAATGCCCACCGATGGGTTTGCACCGTTTATTAATTTTGACAAAATAAATAATAACTAATAGTTCAGATTTTCACGAAATTATATATATTTACATCGCAATTGTTTCGACATCACCGTGTCTTTATCAAATGTAATATTTACAAACTACCACATGCTACTGTATATACCGAAAAATGACAATAAATCCTTAATTGATGTTGTTGTAGGAATTTAAGTTCAATAAAGGAGAGGTACACCCACCTAATAAATTATAAATTCTAGAATATAATTTGATTTTTGAATGTGGCTTTTATGTTAAAAGCGCATATATCTTAAAAGCTATTGGATTTTAGGGAATTTTATTAAGCGTATAATATACAGGGCGTTCTAATAAAAAAGATATAACTTATCTGTGGGTGATTTTTGGAATACCCTGTATATATTTTTTTGAACAATTTTTGTATTTGACGTCTCTTCTTTCCAAAAAGTTTAATAAGTGGAAGAGGGGAAATTTCTTAGGATTTACGAAAATAGTACTCAATTTTTTTTTTAAAGAAAAAATATACAGGGTGAGTCATAAATATAATAAAGATTGTTAGAATGCACAATTTAAAATTATTTAAAGTATGTGTGTGTCTAAAAAATCGAAGTATGTAAATTCTGAGTTGTGTTTTTGAAATCTTTGTAAAGTTATCCTCAAGGTCGAAGACACTTCAACAAATTTTAATTTTTTAACAGACAATTTTGAATAAAATTATTAATAGTAGGTAGTGTCTTTAAAAAAAAAATAAGAATCGTTTATTGTTTATCTTGTTAGGATGTTATTTCATTAGAACTGTAAAAGTAAAAATTCTTCTAATATTTTTTTTCTAAAGCAGGTATCTAAAAACTAGATAGTTTAGAAGTTCTCGATTTTACCAGCGCAGAGGTGACCTAATTAGTGGCCACTGATTTCCTTAAAAAAAAATGATGAACAGATTTGATTTCTAAGTAAAAGAGAAAAAATCAAAAAAATAAATTTCTTTAGAAATTTTTAATTTAAGAGAAATGAGCGGCGTACCATTAAGGTCCGCTAAATTAGACAGGTGAAATTCCGCAAGCACGCCACTGGTGTATTTTAAAAAAAAAGTCTTACCCTAAATAAATGCCACTTGATATATAGTACTTGTGTGCGAATTTCATTAAAATATCTATACTGGTAGTACTGTATCTAATAAGACGTTTAGGACATACCTATGTTATGTTCATGTGAAGTTTTCTTTTTGAAATGGACCCAAAAATCTCTCCTTTAATTATAAACATTCAATTGGAAAAAACCCTTTATTGTTGATTGATGAACTCCGATCATATTCGAGCACTATTTAGGCAACTTCGAATGTTGAGTTTCGGGGCCGAAGAACTTTGAACACATCGAGAATAATAATTTAGTGTTTTAAATAACCAGCGGAAAGTAACGATAATTCTTATTTTAACCATTAAAGCCACATTTGGTCAACTACCCGGGGCCTAGTTTAACAATTCAACAATACGATAACTCTCACCCATTAAGAAATAGGGTATAATAATAACTCGCTTTTTGTCTTCGTAGCGGTTTCCTTCACGACGACGGCTACATGGTCGAGTGCGACCGCTGCAAGGTGTGGCAGCACGTGCAGTGCGTGGTGAAAAACCGGCAGGTGCCGGACGAGTACCTTTGCGAGATCTGTGATCCGTCGAAACACGTGGACCGTCAAAAGGCGCGGGTCATTCAGCAGCAGTGGATGCGCGACCGTCAGCTACTCGACCCGAAGCTCAGGCTGAAGCCGCCGAAGATAAAAAGCGACGACACGGAGAGCTCCGACGAAGAACATATTAAAGGTAAGCCACGCCCCCTTGTAGCGACTTGTAGGGTTGTCAGGGAACATAATAAACAGGAACTAAAAGTTCAGATTTTTACAAAATTATATCTATTCACATGACAATTGGTTTATCAAATGTAATATTTACTATATATTTCTATATGTACTATATATACCGACAAATGACATTAAAACCTTAATTAATGTTGTTGTGAGAATTTAAGTGTTCCAGGGCAATAACCATAAATATTTTTAATAATTCTAATTATTTGCATGATTTTGAGGATTTTTGGTGTCATTACATATCATACGAAATTTTGAGTATTTTTGAGAAAAATGAACTTTCCCTGCGTTCTGAGGTTTACCGCATATTAATAAGATTAGTGTTGAGAATTAAATAACTATCCATTGAAATTTATGCCGGTTCAGAAGTTATTCCTACATTACTTTGAAATGGGGCCTTTCTATTGTTCCCATTGTTTTCAAAGTGGCATAAAAAAAATCTATTTACGGATGAGTCAATTTTCAATACTGCCATCGGTACGGTCAACAGGAAAAATACTCATTACTGTTTTATCTTAAATAGAAATCTTGTAAAGGAAATTGAGAAACAGGCCCGGACAAGTGTTTATGTGTGGTGTGGAATTACAAGTGATCAAATAATAATACGACTTTGCTCGGAATGGTAAAAGACATTTAAATTTGGCGGAAAACTAGATATTTCCATTAATTGAAAATCTGCCCGACGATATTTTTCAACAAGATAGTGTTAGAAATTGTTTAAATTAACGTTTTAAATTTTGTATTGATCAAGACTTAAAAATGAGAATTCAGTAAGAGAACGAAAGGCAGAATGCAACAGAAGCGGTTCGAAGCTATATGCTAAACCAAAATAAAATTGCTAAAAACAACAGCGTTCCATTTAAAAAAATTGAGTTTGTTCGATTGGAAAACATATTTTTTTGATGGTCATTTGTGACGTATTAGACAGGTAGCAGTAAATGTTAATCGCATCCACTTTTCTCCAAAACTGGTCAAAATTTCGTGCGTTATGTAACGACAAAAAATACTCAAAATCAAGCAAACAATTAGAATTTTTAAAAATATTCATGGTTATTGTTCTGGTACAACGGAATACCTTGTATACATAAAAATATCATAAATAAACTGTGTATTTTTTTTTCTTTAGTATCGGAGCTGAAATAAGGTATAAGAGCGTCGTAAATCCACCACTCCGTACATATATATCTATATCTATATTTATAATAAGTATTCTCCTTTAAACGGACAGTTTCCATAAGCGGACAAAATTAGTTGAACCGTGAGTGTCCATTTATCGGAGCTTTCACTGTACATGCATCGAAATGAGCAACGTGCAATCGTAGTATGTGAAAAATTGCGAACATTAATGTTATTTTAAATAAAGCTGGAATTATTTTTTTAATAATTAAACTATTTCTTCAGAAATGAAAAAAAAATCTTTATAAAAGTTTTTTATTCATACATGACATGACATAAAAATATCACAGTGAGAGAATATTATTTGTTTGTTATAGTTTGTTTGTAAATAACATGGACGCCACCTTTAGATAACCCGTAAGGTCGGTTGAAGCGGTATACGACTTGGTCTGAGTGACGGCATTTGTCCGGTGAAACGATTATCATGTTTTTGGACTATTATTCGTCTGCACTTTTGTAATTGCCTTTGGGAAAATTAATGTATTATTATTGTAGCTTTCACGCTCCTTTTCAGAAAGTTTTTAATAACCGTTTCTCTAGAAAAGCTGTTGGCTTGTTCAGTTTTTGAGTAGAAGGCCCTTTAATTTCCCATTTTTAGACGTTCTTATAAATAGAAAATCAGACGTAACATTGGGTCATTCAGTTTACAAACGCGCACTTTATCGATTTCGAAGAATCTCTTCTCTCTTAGACTTGCAACGGAGCGCCACTACATGCGTAGGCATTTAGTGATCGATTTTTGTAAGTTAATTTCTGACATGGCTCCTTTTATTCCGTTTAGCCTGGTTCTCTTAGATCTTCCCATTTTCCTTCTTTCTGTGGGTGTCCATTTTAGAATTTGCTTTGGTAATCTTTCTTCACCCATTCTTTCAACGTGGCCATGCCATATAAGTTGTCGTCAGTCTATTTCTTCAAGGATGGTCTTGTGCACGTCCATGATTGCCCTTATTCGATCCATCCTTGATTTATCGGCCGCCCTGCGCCAGCAGTTCTTCTCGAGACGCTAGAGCGATTAATTTCTTGTTTTCCGCAGCCCGGAACAACAACACTCCGAAGGGCGGCAAGCAGCCGGCGATAGGGCGGCGAAAATCGGAGGGCGGCGCGGCCCGCAAAGACGCGAAAGAGGCGGCGGCGGTGCCGGCGACGGCGGCGCCGCCTCCAAAACGGCCCAAACGCAAGGAGCGAAAAGTCGCGAAACGGAAGTCGAAGTCGACACCCGCGAGACAGCAGGCCGCCGCCGGCGTCGCGACGGCCGCGCAGGCGCACAGCGAAGACGAAAACCAAGAGGCGTGGTCCGCCCATCATCTGCCGCAGCTGCGGCAGTGGATCGAAAAGTACGAAGAGGCGGTCACCAATCATTACTCGCCGGAGTTGCGGGCGCGAATATCGAGCATCCGCGTCAACGGCGTGCACCAAACGGACCAGAGCACCGCCCACTACGACGCTTCGATCAGCAAGTGTCGGGTGCACACGCAACCGTTGACCGAGATGCGGTACCTGATGAGTACCGCCCGTTTGGCGCCCAACGTGCCGGTCATAGAGCTGCGCGGCAAGTACATGCTGTCGAATCAGCACCGGAACTCTTGCGGGCCGTTAAATACGCGGCAACACACGCAGCGACCGGGGCCATTTTTGTTTTTCTACCGACTGCAGAAGGTGAGTGCGGGCGGGGCGGGGCGTCGGCCCGAGGTTTTTTTTTTTTTTTTTGGGAATTATGTTTCGTTTTAGACAGATAGATAGATAGAAATTTATTTCTCTCTTTGATACTACATATAACACATATATGGGTCCTTTTGGCGATATGTGGACTCAAAGAAGAAAAACCTTTAGTATCCACAATGTATGTCGCTTTTCATTTTCTTGTGATAAATCTGTTAGTCTAGGATTTTTAAAAATAAATGTCGTGGATGTTTTCAATAGGATAAGTATTTTAAAGCAAACCTTATAGTCCGGGAATCCTGGACCTTTTTTGAATATGATAAGCAACAAGCTAATTCTTTGGAAATGGTTTCATTTCTTCAAGGCGCCCAACCTTTTCCTCTACGAAAATTGTTGTATCAGGTAGCTACACGCAGATATAAAATCATGTCAATATAGTTACCATACCAAAATGATCAGCAACAGAAATTAAATTTTTCCTATAAACAAATAGGTTTTTTATAGGGTGGCCACCCCCTCAAAGTTGTATCTATTATTTATTTATAAAAAGTGATGAGCAACATGCTAAATTTTTTACTGTAGCTTGCTAATAAATTTTATAAACAAATGATCGGATTGTCCCACAAATAAACTGGTAGGATTTTTCAGTCCTACGCTTTAAGGTTGTTGTAGAAAACCATTTTTAAAAACCATCCCAGCTATTATTTTGCGAAACGTTGCAAAACAGGTAGCTGAAAGAATGGACAGGTATCAAATCATGTCAAATTGATTATTACGTAAAAGTGATCAGCAACAGCTTATTTTTTAACTAAGTTTTGAGATAGTCAGATAAATAATCTAAAACAACATTTGTCCTAGAAATAAAATGGTAGGTTTTTTCAGTCCTACACTGGAAAATTACGAAAATTGGCCCTAACTTAAACGGGGTTAGATGTACGTACGTGTATATTCGAATATACGTGTATATGTACACATACACATACTAGTATCAAATCGGCGGTATATGTTGGCATCAACGCGCATGCGCGCAACACACGCATGCAACATACATTGTGCATTAAGAAGTTTTGTTTAATTGGCTTGTTAACACGTGTTAATTAATTTTCTTTTATAACATTTAATTGTGAAAGTGATCATGGAGTGTTTTCTTTGTAATATACTCCGTGATAAACCTAATTTTCGTGAAAAATGGGAGACGATAAAAAAATGTACTAAATACATTTATCTCGCGTGTAAAAAGGATTTAAAAAAAATATAATGATGCTGAATTGCCTGACCATTGGGACGACGATGTAACAAGAGTGGTTGTTGTTACAAGGAGTTCAGAGTAAAAGCTAAATATTTATGTTAAAGTAAATGTAAAATGAAAATGTTGATTTTTTTTATTTTTGTTTTGTCGTCGTTTAAGTGAAAAGAAAAAAAAACAATAAAATGAGTGATTGTTTTATGAATAACGACATCTTTTTTTTTCATAATTTTCATGGATTAAACATTTTTGATAACGACAATTAATATTCATAAAAAATATGAAAAAAAAATTAATGTTGATTTCTTAAATTGTAAATAATAATGAAACAACTTAATCAAACTCGTTTGTATAAAGCAGCATCATAGATAGTGGCTGTAGGGATATTTTAAGAACAAAAAAAAGAGTTGATCGCTCAACTAAATTTATATATATACCTCCGCAATTATTTTTAAATCTAAATTTATTTTAGTGGCCGCGTTTAAAGTTTCACTAGAGTATCATCGGCGTAAACTGAGAACAAAATGGGTCCTAGAATACTCCCCTGGGGAACACCTTTCTCCATAGCAATGGCATCTGAATGAGTATTTCCCAAAACTACCCTTTGGTATCTCTGACATTTTTTTAAAAAAGAAAGAGCAGTTGTTATAGTCCAATAGTATGAGACAAGAGTTTAATTTAGAATCCGCTGCTCTCAATAAATCATCAGTAACATGAAGCAAGGCAGAAGTAGTGCTGTGAAGGGGTCGAAAACCAGATTGAGTGTCTGGGAGGATTTTGTTATCGCATAGGAACTGACGAAGTTGTTTAGCTGCAATTTTTTCAATAATCTTTGAGACGGTTGGCAGCAAACTGGTTGGCCTAAAATCGTTAACGCTACTTGGACACATTTTCTTTGGAACGGTTATAACTTCAGCTTGCTTCTATGACACTTGTTAACAAATAAAGTGATATGGAGTCGTCAAAAGAATATCAATATTGTCTGAGCCATGAGCGTTAGTTTTAATACTAATTAAAGTTTTATTAACTTCCTCAGGGTAAACTTATTGCGCACACAATTTCCGCGACGTTTCCTCATTTAGGGTCCATTGTTGCGGACAGTAGAAAAACGCTAGGAACGCAAGGCAATAATTGTTTCTGTTGGGTTTTTGTCTTCGTTTTGGGAGGGGGCCCGTCAAAATACACTCGGAGATACACTTTACGATGGTTCCCGTTACAGGACAACACGGAAATTTGCGTGGACACGAGGACGTACGGCAACGACGCCCGGTTTATACGGCGCTCGTGCCGTCCGAACACGGAACTACGCCACTGCATCGAAAAGGGGGCGCTCCACCTGTACGTGGTGAGCATCGCCGACGTCGAAAAGGACTGCGAGTTGACCATCAAGCACGAGTCTCACGATCTCGCTGCGGTAGGCACGACGCACATCGCCTGCGCGTGCGGACGTCCAGATGACTGTACCGTCAACCGGACCACCATCAGGAAAAACGGCGACCTGCCGGAGAAGTGAGCGCGCCATTTTTAAATCATTTTTTGCCCGCGTGTCGGTTTTCTGGACGCAATTTTTTCCGGATCTCTCACATTTTCTGTTTTTCTGGAAAACAAAATGATCAAAGAAAATTTTTCAATTTTTTAAAAAATATATGACCTGTGACTTTTAGAATATAGCATAGAATATTCTCAACACCCTGTGCAATATGTGAAAACCTTAAATACAAAACTTTTAGCTGTCCATGCGGGCTATATAGTAATGTGAAAGAAACTGACAACGGAATCACAGACTTCTAGTTATGGTCATCTTGGAGAAATGATTTTTTTCTCGGTACTCTGCAAGTGCGGTTTTTAAAAATACTTCCCGGCCCCCCAGCCCCCTCAGTTTCAATATGGTTCTTTACGGAGCTAAATTCTATATATCTGTCAAATTTCAAGTGGATGGCTTCAAATTTGGGAAACACTTATCGTGTTTAATAGCAATGTCCAAAGAACAGTCGAAAATCTAAAAAAAAAAAAGATTTACGCCTTTGTTTGATCGGACTCATTTTTTATTGGTTTGCGTAGCTCGTGCACGGCTTGAAAGGAGCCAAATTTGAAGCCAATGGCGGTCCCCTATTACCTACCGTTGCCGAGATATAACTTTCGTTGCCAAGTGCGTATACTTTCGAAAAATTCGATTTCATCGATTTTTCAAAAGTAATAAATAAAAAAAAATTGTTTTTTCGTTATTGTAATTATAAATTGTGGTTATTTGTTCATTTTTAACCCTTTAACCCAACATAACCGCTATAGACGGCAGCTGTAACTTTGGTGTTTACAGGGGGTCCAAGATAATCCGTGCCATATTAAGAAATGTATCAAGTGTCTTCTTGAACTTGCAGCTATCGACTTCAGATTTGGCGTGGAAATAAAAGCCCACAACAGCATTTGAATTTTTGAAACTGGGAATTATCAAATCTCACAAAGTATTTAAAAAAAAAATTGAAAATTTGTTTTGGGTTATTTTGTTTTTAAGAAAAAAAATGTTTTCTCGAAAAATATTAAGTTGATCGGCAAAATTCTTCAACTAGGAGACGCGGATGATCTGGTGCTACAACTTTTATTCCAAGCATTTTTTCGATTCTATACAGGGTTTTTCAATTGTGGCGAAAAATCTAAAATACTCTGAAAATTATTCTTTTCTAATTTTTTCTAATTTTGCGAAAGTTCCATAGTACTCCGCGTTTATTTTCTCTTAACCTAAAAAGATCTTAGTTAAGACAACGTAAACGTAATTTTTTTTTGCCACATTGCCGAACTGACTCGTAGCTTGCGAATGCTGATCGATTTTATCTAAGCTTCAAGAATAATATTATGTATAAGCTCCAGTGACGTCACGTATAGTGACGTAATAAAAAAATGGTCCGTATGTCTTGGCTAAATGCGTCCCGATTTTAATTAATTCATTAGTTCATTTGTTGGTTAAACTAGGTAAAATTCTATTTTGTCATTTACAATCTGACCGTGGAAGCCACAAAACACGACGGCCATTTTCCGATTCCAACTTGTCCATTCTGGCAAGTGTTGGATCACTTACATCCTTGTCTGGTCTTTCATTAAACTTGACTGAAATGGAATATTCCTTTTGTCTGATCCAACTTTGATTGGGTATTGACTCATCAATTCCACACGGGAATGAAACTGATTATAAGCGGACTGGATTCACTCGCAACTGGCTAGGACAAGTTGCACAATGAAACCAGTCAGTGTATAATCGGTTTGATTCCCATCATTAGGTGTAAACCATACCTATTTTGCAAAAAAATAGACTTTCAGTTCTATGACGCAGCATAAGAAATGTTAAATGCCATTCTTGGGGTAAAACACATTTATGGGCCCCTACCCCTAGCCTATTTTACAAATAAGGCGAGACATTTCTCATAGCCACCTGAGAATCACATTAAAATGTACTTATGGTGATACAAAAATACTTTAAAATCTACAGTTGTTGCATTGGCGTAGCAGAAAATATTTGCAATGATCGTTTTCTTTTCTGATGTAAAACTGTTCAAATGGTTGAAATGAAACATAAACTTAAAGCACAAACATATTAATAATTGCCTATCGAAAAAATTTGAAATAGCTAGGGTAGGTTCAACAATTTGGCTAATATCGCAAATAAAGGTAAAATCAACTCTAGTCGAGTCTTCCAGTTGTGCAGGTAGATTCAATTGCCTCCACCTCTGCATAGAACATTTTCATTCCTCTTGTGAGGATGAAAACGTTATTTTTGGTTGTCAATTGGTCATTTATTTAACTCACTCTGCACTGTAAGTGGTCGATTCTGCTAATGACTGCAGGTAAAATGTTTTGTTCGTATTTTAGCCCCGATAAAGGAAATAAACATTTCCGAAAGCTCGGCGTAGTAGAAATGAGTTTTTTCTTTCTCTCCAGCCCGTCACATAACTGACGACATTCCCAATAAGTTGTTCGAACCTAAATATTGTGTCACTCTATCACGTATAATTTCCGACAATTTGAACGTTCAACAATTTGCTGCCATCTCAGTATCTGTCGTTTCCGAGCAGAGGTGTTTCGTTTGCAGGAAAAGGCGAACGAAACGAAGCACGTCATCGAACTTGTCCCCGCCGGAGTCGAAACGGCCGCTCCGGGAGGCGGCCGTCAAGGCGGAACCGGCAGAACCGCCCCCGCAGGCCGCGGTCTTTCCGAAGCAAGAGGTGGCGGAACCGGCGACGATCAAACCGGAACCTCTCGACGTTCGGGTGAAGCTCGAACGCGACGAAAAGCCCATTAAGAAGGAAGAGGTGGCGGGGGAAGAGGATGAGGAGGAGGACGACGTGAAACCCGAGGAGTCCCCGCCCTCGGTCAAACGCGAAAAGATCAAACGGGAGGAGGGGAGTTCGCCGCCTCCGCCGGCCCGTGCCGCCACGCGGCGCTCTTCGTCGTCGAACAAGGAGGAGGAAGCGAAAACGGACTCCGTCGTGGCCGCCGCCGCCGTTTCCGAGCAGAAAACGACCAAAAGTAACGGGAAAAAGCTGAGCCGGGAGGAGAGGAAGCTGGAGGCGATCCTGCGTGCCATCGAGCAGATGGAAAAGGCGGACCAGCGGAAACAGGGACACCAGGCGAAGCACGCGGCCTCGCATCGACGGGAATCCGAACCCGGGGTGCCGTCCGACGACAAGCAGGAACCGAAGATGAAGCGACGAAAGAGGCGGGGCCGGGCGCGCACCACCAGCACTAGCGCCGCGCACGGCGGCCGGCGGAACCGACTCAACTCGACCGATTCGTACATGACGTCAGGCGACGAGAACCTTTTGTCGCCTAGCGACGGCCCCGCCCCTCCGCCGAAACGCTACTCGAAGGAGGACACGGAACACACGGGGCTCCTGCTCGCGCTGTCCTCGATGCACGACTCGAAAGGCAAGAGGACGCCGCCCCGCGAACTCGATAACAACTCCAATTCGGCGCAGTCGTCGCCCGAGACCCACCTGTCGTCCGCGTGTTTGCTGGTGCAGGCCGCCGTCGAACCTCTGGAGCAGGGCTTCAAGTTTCCGAAGACGAAGAAGGGGTGAGTGCCGCGCGTTCGGGGCGTTTCAAGTCGAGATCGCTCGCTTCTATAAGAAGTTTTTTTTTTATGTTTTTGTCGGTTTTTCGTTGTCCGGTATCTTTGTACGTATTTTTATTCTATTTTGTTGTTTTTTTGTTTTCTCTATATTTTAGTTTCAAGTAATTTTTGGTTACGCCGAAGTAGTTTTCGATTTTTTTTTTGAAAGAAATTTTGTGTTTTGCATTTTTCTTACCTTGCTATCTGTTTCAGCTCGTTTCTTTTGTCACCAGATTTTTTCATTATTTTTTTGTCTATAAATTTTTCCGCCATTTGAATTTTCGTTGTCGCATTTACAAATTTTGTTTGATGTTTTTGTCGATATTTCGTTATCCGGGTTTCTTTGCCTGCATTTTTATTTTGTTTTTTTTTGTCTCGTCTATATTTTGGTTGTTAATTTTTTCTTTCGTCAAAGTAGTTTTTTTAAAGATATTTTGGGTTTTGCATATTTTTTTGCTTTTTACAATTTTTTTTTACAATTCTTTTAGTCTAGTCTGAACTAGATTTTTAACTACTTTTAACTACATTTAATATTAGTTTTAACCATCGTCTCAGCGCATTTTTTGTCATTTTTCGGCAACGCATATGTTAAGTATAGTTGGATATATGGAGTAGTTCAAACGTACCGACCTCACTAACTCGAGCCACGCGGTACCTACTTCAGTTATATTTCATTTTTCCACCACTTTTTTTCCTATATTTCTTCATCGGGTACTAAATCGTTTAATAACTCCCTCAGGTTGATGAACGAATGGTTGAACAAGGCGCCAGAGCCGGTGCAAGCGGCCAGCTCGATCTATCCGCCGTCACTGGTGCCCCACATCAGTCCCACCGCTATCGACGACGCGGAAATGAAAGTGTTCGGTTCCGGCACTGGCATCGGCACTTGTTATTCCGATAATTCCGCCTCGCATCAGCAGCAACAGCAGCAGCGCGGCGGCAACGCGAAGAAACGCTGGTTGCGACAGGCGATCAGCGAGGATCATTCGAGCGAAGGATTCAGCTATCGACCAGGTGAGTTGGAGCGAGACTTCGGTAGGAGAGAGAGGGATAAACGGCCGTTTTTAGACTCGCCGCTGTCGAACGAGATGGTCGCTCCGCCCAAGAAACGCAAACTGCCGCGGGAGTCGCTGTCCAGCGAGAATTCACTGCAGAGCGCGCCACCGAAAAGCCCCAACGTGGTGGGTCCTTTTTTTTTTCGTTTTTATCTCTATAATTTTTGTTTTTATTATTATTTAGTTTGCGAAATTGTGAACTAAAAAGCAGTCATCCATAAAAATTTGTCCTGGCCATAAAGTTTTTTAAACAAACAACCTCAGGCTTTTATCGATATACTATTTGCATAAAAAATTGAATAATTCACTTAAACGAATAAGGAAAACGAAACATTTCATGGAGAAATATCTAAGACTACAATTGAACTTCCCAATTCGAAGATGAGAGAATAAAAAATTGATTAACATTCCAAGTATCCACCCGTTCATGCTCAAAACTAATAAATATATTCATTCCATAAATAAACACTGTCCCTAACTTACCAATTTCTCATGTTAAACCAATTACATTTACACACATTTACACGTTTTTCTTTTTCGCGTTTTTCAGTGTTATTCTCTTAGTTCTTGACTAAAAAAATGTTCGCTTAACTTAGGTTATGTCAATTTTTGCTTCGGTGGAACTTTTTTTTTTTTAGTTTTTTCGTTTACTTTTTTTATTTTATTTAAATTAACAAAAAAATTAAATTTATTGCACTTTTCGTTTTTCTCTGGTTTTTTGTTTTCCAGTTCCTTCTTTCCCTTATCTTCAATTTTATCGCACGTTCTTTTCATAATTTTCTTTTAAAATGTAATTTTAAGAAAGAATAATCCTGTTAAACAATAGTCACTAGCTTACACTAATAAGCTAAGTCATAAAATTTGAATTACATACAATTATATATATATTTAAATTTAAAATTTTCAACATTTTGGTTCATCATTTCGTTCATCGATGTTTAAAGTAGAATAGTATTGGGTTCGCTTAAAATATCTTGGACGATACTCTGCATTATCCTTTTTACAACTGCCATTAGTTTAGGTGGTGGACAAGCCCGATTTCTATGTACTCGGTAAGCAAAAATGTGTGGAACTATATTTTTTTCCATTCCTTTTTTAAACTCCCGTTCGTTCCCTTTCTATATAGCCTTCCATGTCCTGCTCCAACTTAAAAAAAGACGATATAAACACAATAAAAAACAAAAGTGAGGTTAGGCTACTATTCATATCCCCTTAAGGAATTGGAAAGTAGTTTTTTAAATTACCTTAAATTTTCTAATGAATAATAAATAAAATACTTACGTTAAAATGGTCTTGACAAAAGTGACCAGCGACTTTTTAATGAAATTTCTCCAGGTTCGCTTTTGGTTGTTTTTTTTTTAAGTGAACCATTTTAAACTCGAAAATAACTAAAGACGAAAAAATAGTGATAACTGATAACACGACATTTTACCTCGGGACGTCACCAGCAACGGAAATGTCCACATTATGTTTCTGGCGGGAAATTGTCCAGTTCAAATTTTAATTATTCATTACGACGTTATTATTTGGTAAAAATATTTAAGAAGAAAACTTTTTCAAAGTTTTATTAAGTGTTTTGATTCAGTAAAAAAAATAACCATAGATTGACCTACAGCAGAACTTTCTCGTTTTCCGTTTTTACTTTTTATTATTTTTTTTTATTATTGTTTTTCGTTTTTGGGTTTTTCAGTGTTATTCTCTCTGTTATTATCAAAATCAATTTTCGCTTTTAAAATATTTGCATTTTTATTTAAATTTCAATTTTATCACGTTTTGTTTCTGTCTTTTGACTTAATTATTGTGTATTTTCTTTTGTCTTTGCCTTTCCTTCTTAAATTAATAACAATAAAATGTCGCGCTTTTAGTCTTTTCTTGGTTTTTATCTGATTATCTGATTTTTTCCATTTTTGAACATTTTTCTTGATTTTTGTTTTGTTATTATTTCCTTTCTTCTTTTGGTTATCTTCAATTTTATCACATTTTTTTAATTTTCTTTTTTGTGTCGTGTTTTTTTTTTAATTGGATACTAGTTCTTTCCGCTTTTTGTCACGTTTTTCCTATTTATCTTGTTTTTTTAGTGATTTTTAATTTTTTATTGTTAGTTGCAGTTCAAATTTTAGCAAGTAAAATTTGTTAGCATTGTTTGTTATCGTTACTTTTTACTTTCTTTTGGTTTCCTTCGTTTTTTATCTAAAATATTTTCAATTTAGAACTATTACTCGTCAATTTTCGTCGCTCTTTTTTATTTCTTTTCTCATTTTCCTTATCGGCTTTTTATTTTCCTTTTTTTTTAAGTTTTTCAATGTTATTCTCTCGGTCATTATCTAAATCAATTTTCACTTTTTTGTATTTTCCCTTAAATTCAATTTTATCACGTTTTGTTTCTGTCTTTTGACTTAATTATTGTGTTTTCTTTTGTCTTTGCCTTTCCTTCTTAAATTAATAGTAAAATATTGCGCTTTTAGTTTTTCTTTGGTTTTTGTCTGATTTTCTTTTCCTGTCCGTTTTTAGAACATTTTTCTTGAGTTTTATTTTGTTATTGTTTCCTTTCTGTTGGTTATTCTCAATTTTAGCATTCTTTTTGTTTTTTATTGTGTCGTGTTTTTTTCAATTGTCTTTTTGTCTTTTGAATTGCTTTTTGGCACGTTTTTCCTATATGTTATCTTTTCAGTTACATTTTTTAGTGTTACTTGTTATCATTACTTCTCACTTTCTTTTGGTTTGCTTCGGTTTCTATCTAAAATATTCTCAATTTAGAAGTATTACTCGTCAATTTTCGTCGCTTTTTTTTATTTCTTTTCTCATTTTCCTTATCGGCTTTTTCCTTTGTTTTTATTATTTTTTTTATTATTTCGGTTGTCCGCTTTCAGAAAAACGACATGGACGTGTTCGGCGATCTTTACTGCTCGAAAATGGGCGGGGAAGCGTGTTCGCAGACGATCGACACTGCCGAGCTCGCCAGTGGCGGCGGCGGCGCCGGCGGGGGCGGTCTGTTCGAACGCGGCGACCACCTGGTCGGTGCCGTCGAAAAGACGTTGAGCATATTCGGTTTCCGCAACGAGCAGGCGGAGCCCGTGACACCGCCCAAAAGGAAGGTTAAGGTAAGGGAGAGCGAAACGAGGCCGTCACGCAGTGACTTAGTATAAAATCTCAAGTTGGAATTATGTTTATTCTCTATTATTTATTTTATATGTTTTTCTCTCAATCTTTAGAAAAAAAAGTCCAATTCTTATTACGAAAAAAATAAGAGCCACTGGGAAAGTTACGATTTTCAGCTGTTTTCTCTTGAATAATGGGTTTAGCATTTTTTCTCAAAGAATATGTGTATATTTTTCTCTCAATCTTTTTTTTTGTCTGTCCGTTCTTCGTTCTCGTCTTTTGGTTTTTCCTGAACCACTTTCGAACCGTAGGAGCTACTTTTTAACCCTCCACGAGGCACATAAACTTGTAAGAAATGGCCCGATCCGACGCCGGTATCCATATTTTTTTCGCGATTTTCGACTGTTTTTTGGACCTTGCTATGAAACACGATAGGTGTCCGTAATTTGAAGACATCGATTTCATATTTGGCATATATATGCAGCTTTGCCCCGCGACGTAACGTATTAAAAATGGGGGCTGGGGGGGGGGGGGGGGTCGGGAAGTATTCTAAAAAAATAAAAGGTCTACAAAAAACATCACTTTTCAAAAACTGTTTATGTGACCAAAAAAATTCTTAAACCAGAAGAAGCAGCAGATATGGTTCTATAAACTTTTATTCTTGACAATTTTTCAAAAATATACAGGGTGCGGCGCAAATAAAAAAAAAACTGATAAATGGGTCCCCCTATTATGGAAAATGGGTTATAACTGAAGGACTTCAGATCTCACTTTATTTTATATCGCGATATAGCCCCCATATACAGCAAAAACTTTTGTATTTAAGTATTTTTTTAAAAATGTTTGAATTTTCTTTCTTGTAATTTTAGCTTCCAGAAAAATATGTGCAATAACATTTAGTTCGGGCATTTTTTGGATTATATACAGGGTTTTCAAATTATAGGCAAAAATCTAAAAGATTGTTCTTTTACAGAGTAAATGATTAGCCGCAAATGAAAAATCGTAAAAAATACGGCTAATTGGTTCAAACGGTGTCATAGTCAATTCTTGAACGCGTGAAAAATTCAGGGCTATTACCTCTACTTCGAACAATGATTGTATCATATACAGGGTGTGTCGTCTATGGGCAAAAAAATCTAAAATATCCTAAAAATTTCCGTTTTTGTGGATCAGTTATTGACGATAAATGAAAAACCGTTAAATGTGGGATCATTTTATTTGAACAGTATTATAAACCGTGTCGTGACAGAATTTCAGGTTTCGTCAATTATACAGGGCGCGAAATATTTGCAAAAATATCATTCGACAACGCATATTGTTTGTGCAAATTTTAATATTTACCGATGTTTGCTGAAGTTCCACGAGATGTGAAGGACATTTTATACAGGGTGCATGCACAATTAAATTACTTCGATTTTGCGGAAGTTCCATAGTGGCCCGCAGGAGACGATAGAAAAACAATGCGCCCCTTTACCATACGAAATCGCGAAGCTCTTTCTTTTTAAAATCAAAAGTTTCTTCGCGCTACGCGCTACGAACTTGCCCCGCCCAGTGACGATTTTTCGAAAGCAATCTTGTTATTTTGCTGGTTCGTGACGTAACACGCGGCCGCTCTGCTTGCAGCTGTCCATCACGGAGTACCTGCAACGGAAGAAACTCAACAGCGACAAGACGGACGAACCGGAACCGGAACCGGAGTCTAGTGCGGAAGACAATTCGGTCGACGTGCCCAAGACGGGCGCGACCACGCCCCAACCTCGGTCACGCAGTTCGAGCTTCAGCTCCTCCATGTCTAGTGACGAGGACACCGCCCAGACAATAACCGTCAGCAAAGGTAAGCGTTGGTAATGGTGGTGGTGGTGGTGGTGGGAAGGTCGTCGCGCGGATCTAATGGCGGATTATCGCTTGTGGTTACAGCTTCCGTGTTCAATTCGGAACCTACCGAGCTCGAACGTCAACGGGAGATATCGAGCATCAGGCTGAAGAAGGTCTTCGGACTGGCGGTGGATGATTCCAACAAGACTCTGGGTAATTGTCAATTTTTCATTTATCATTCAATTCAAATCATTTAAATTAAAAAATATTTTTTATGGGGGGCTATATATAAAGTTTTAACTAGTTTTTTCGTCTACTAATACAGGAAAAATATCATATGAATTACAAAATGACATTATCATTTACCGGCCATATTTCGTTCTTACAGCTTGCCCGGGTCTTTCCTTAATTCGTATCAGTTAGTCACTTTCTTATATCTATGAACAGACTTTACCAACAAGAATTACAAAAAAAAAAAGAATAATTGAAAACATCCTTCCTTCAAGTTTTGGACAAATGATGTTTCATGTTTGGTACAATTGCTTCAAAGTTGGAACTTTTTGATGTAAGAGCGATTTGAATACAGTCTTTGGCGTTTAATCGTTCTTCGTTTTATGTTGGAAAAGCCTTGTTCACACAAATGCGTTGTTCCAAATGATAACATTTTCTTAACCGCCTCTTCATCTGCAATTTTGAAAGCCTTTCCAGCTATGGACATCCAAAAAGACGACAGATTTGGTTTACTCTCTGATTGTATTATATCGAAATTCAAGAATTGCTTCTGCCAAACCTGAAGGTTTTTTTGGTATCATTGCAATTTCACATTAAAAAGGATCTACAATCCAACTGACAGAACGTTTATCAAGATCCGGACAGTAATCTGAAAACCGCTTTCTGAGTTTGAGTAATATTTCCGCAATCTTCCGAAAACAAAGCTAACCTTGAAAAGAAGCTACCTACTTTCTGTCTCCGATATTGTAGCTTTAATCCAAACGCTGACACTATTTCTCTCGCTGAAATAATATTAATATTCTTTCCTTGCAATTCTTTGTTTAATATGTTTATACTCCCCGAAATGCCCTCTAAATATGCAAGGTATGCAAACCAGGAAGAGTTTTTAAATTTATCTACGGGAATATTTTTTTGATCAACCATAAAAATTTCGACTTCAGTTTTTATTAGTCACTGTATAATAAAATAGGTCCCCATATTCAGTTTACTGACATAATTCACGAAATAAAATTTACAATCTTGATGTCATCATGCATGACGGCAAGTGTAGGGTTTAAATATTTGACCATAAGGGCCTGGCGGTCAATATTTGTTTTTTTTTTTTACGAAGCTCCATCCAAACATGCAGAAATACAGTTTTCCCATTTTAAACTTTGCGCATTGAAGTATTCATTTACTTTATTGTAGAAATCAATTCCACGAAATCTCAACTCGAGAGGATAACAAAACACCAATTCGTATCATCAGCTGTGAATTGCTACCAATATCGGTTGTCTCATCGAGCTGAATAGCAAAATATTTAGCCTATTCCTTCACATTTTCTCCAAATATAGGAATTCGTTCTTTCACAATTCTCGCCGACAATCTCTGCTATTTTTACAGCAGCTGGTTTAACCAAATCTTCACTAATAGTGTATGGTTTCTTATTTCGAGCAATCAGCAAGATTACTTCAAAGCTAGCACTTGATGCTGAACGCCGATCAAATGTACCGAACAAGTTGCTATTCAATCTTTGTCGTTCAACAGATATTTCTAAATTTGCAAAGTATTCTCGCCGTTTGGAAGACAGGTGCGAATGCAAATTATCTAAATGTTTCTTCAATTGACTTTTTTTGAAAGATTCCGAAGTCAGTACCTTGATACATACAACACACTGTTTTCATTGTACCATTGTCTTCTGTTTGGGTAAAATCGTAATTAAGGAATTCGAAAATACCCATAGGTAAGTAAAAGTTTAATTTTCAAGGATAATTTTTTTTTTTTCAAAAATGGATTTCATAGACTATGCAATGACAAGAATACTCCAAATCAAGCGAATAAGTAGAATGTTGAGAATTATTCATGGTATTCCATTTAACAACATAAAGTTACTTATTGAGATAAGGTATAGATAGGGGCATCTAAAATGGACCACCATGTATATGTTATAAGCTTGGCGTCAATCCGGATTATTGAATCTGTACTGTATATTGATTTTCTAATTAACCGAATTGCCTTTTGAGAGATTTTTATCTATCGATTTTCTTTCCCTGCTTATTTTACCACGTCTCTCGATTTTATTTACTCATATTTTTTTTATTGTTTTTAAAGACACTAGCACGATATTCGGCGACATCCAGTCGAAGCTAAAATCGTTCGCCACTTCGCTGGCCAGCCCCACGTTCTCGGAGAAGTCGTTGAGCGAGGCGCCGCCCCCTCCACCGCCGCCTCCTTCCGAGCCGCCGACCGTCGCCGCCCCCGCGGAGCCGGACGAGCCGGTCGCAGGGGAAGACGGCGTCGGCGATGACGTGAACGACACGACGCGAGGCGATGCGGACGAGCCGAACGTTTTTTATACGCCCGACGACGACGACGACCACGAGGGGGCGGGGACGACGCGTTTCGAGCCGGCTCCGCCCCCCGAGAGCAGCGTCAGCTACGTGCCGCCGTTCAACAACCCCATTTACCCGAACAACAACTTCAACGCCTATACGTCGACGATAGGTATAGTTTTTGGCCTCTTTTAGTTTCGATTTTTCCCTTTTTTTAATTTTTCTTTTATATTATTTTCGTCCCTTTCTTCTTCCACTTTCTCTTTAGTTCAGTTAGGGTCTTGTTTTTTTTTCAACTTTAGTATTTTCCTTTTCTCATCGATTTTTGTTTTACTTAATGCATTTCCCCTCTTCTCTGCATTTTTTTTTAAATATGTTTTGTTGCCGTATTACTTATTAATAGTTTTGGTTAGTTCTGTTTTCGCGATTTGTTACCTTTTTCTTTTTTACCTTCTAATTTTGCCTTTCTTTTTCATATTTCAGCTTTTTTTTACGTTTTCCTAGTTTTTCTTTTTTTTCTGCGTTTTTTTTTTATATTTCTGCTATACTCTCCTTTGTTGTTGTTTTTGCATGTCGATTCTCTTCTCTGATTTTTGTTTTAATATATCCGAAATTTTTATCGCGATTTTAGTTCCTCATTAATTGGTAATATTTCTCATATTTTTTGGGCGTCCTGTCCTTTTGTTTTTGCGATTTGTTACCGCAATTTTTTAGTTTGCTTTCAATTTCATTTGTTTTTTGTTTCCATCATTTTCTAAATTCATTTTTCTCGCTACTCATTTACGTTTGATAATTTTTTTATTTCTGCGTTTTTTTTATATATTTACACAATCAACTTTATCATATTTTTTTAAATTCGATTTTTGTTTTGCGTTTTGCTGATTTTGTGATTTTTTTTCTGTTTCCTATGTTTTCGCTATATCCAATGATAATTTTTAAAATATTTCGCGCACCCTGTGTGATAGACGAAAACTGGAAATCTCTCTCGACACGGTTTACGATACTGTTCAAATCAAATTATTGCATTTTTAACAGTTTTTCATTTATCCCCAATAATTTGCTCACAAAAACCGAAATTTTTAGGATATTTTAGATTTTTTTTTTGCCCATAAATGGCAGACCCTGTTTATAATTCAGACAATATTCGAAATAGAGGTTATAGCCCTGGATCTCCCACGTTTTCTAATAGAGTAAGTGGTTTTCTAGAAAATACGTGTTTTCTGAAGCCATGCAAATTGAGAAATGGTGATTTTCATTTAGATTTTTTTCAATTATCTCGAACAGTGTAAGGTAAACCGTAAATACAAAAATTGTAGCCCTTGATACGGCCTTTAATAGGCATATATTCTGCAAATTTTGATTTACGGCAAATAATTTACTCCGGAAAAGAACAATTTTCAGAGTCTTTTATATTTTTCTGTATAATTGAATGTATTGAATAGTAACATTTGCTGGGGTTTTGACGTCCCTTTCTTTTGTTGCCGCGGGGTGGGGGGCTCTCGATTTATATAATTTTTATCCTTTTCGCTAATTACGTTTGTTTTCTTATTTTTTTGCTTGCAGACGACGACTCCCGATATCAGAGCCGGAACCCGTCTCCACCACCTCCGCCGCCGCCCCCCGAGACGGACGCCGATGTTACGCCAAACGCCGTCGCCACGCCCGCGACGCCCTAAGACAGGGGGCGGGGCGCGGGCCGCGAAACTAGTGCAATTATGGGTGCAGTGCGGGACGCTGGGTGAAAATCGGTGAATCGTTAGCGACGCCACTGGCCCGTCGGGTTATTTCTCTTTTTTTTCCCGAATCGGAGCAATCTCATGTTGGGGGGGGGCGGCGGGAGGGTCACGCCGCGAAATAGTACAAATATAAACTATTTATGTGTGGGGATCGGTGGGCGGGGTACGAACCGAAACCCTCGGGATATCGTCTTATTTTTCTAAGTTTCTCATTGCCGTCGGTTTAATGTCGCCCAGTACGTTATAATTTTTTTTTTTTTGTTTTTGAATCTATTTTTTTACGTGCGCCCGTCTGCGTGTGTGTGTGTGTGTGTGTGTGTGTGTGTGCGCGTGTGCGTGTCGTGAGCGCGAGCGCCGTCACTCCCGGGCCGCCCTGTACATACAGATTGTTATTTTTCGCCCGCCAGGGCGGCGCACGCCGCTGTACATAGCTATGACAAGGCCCCGCCGCGCGCGTAGAATGTGAGCCCCGCGCGTCCGTCGCGGTTTTCGCATTTTGTCGGGTCGCCGGATGCGAAATTGACGTTTTGGGAAGTTCGCGAACCAAAAAAAAAAAAAAAAACGCGAAATGTGGAGGGGGGCGTTTTGAAAAAACGCGCCCCCCACTGTCGGCCGCAGGTTCGTCATCCACGAAAAAGGAAAACAATTGGGATTTGCAAGTAAAATCGCGATTGTTTGAAAATTAAATAAATTTTTTTGGTTTCTGAGGAGGACCATAGGTACGTTACTGATTTTTTTTACAGGATGTTAAAACTTAAAAAAGTAACGTGTATCAAATTTTTATTAGATTAGATACGAAAACAATAATTAAAAAAGTTGCACTTTCAGTGGCTTATTCAAAGTGAATAACAAAAGTTGCGAAAAATGTCAGCGGCGTAGATCATTTCTTGAAATAGTAAACGTTTAGTTCCTAAGAAAGACTATGCCGTGTTCCAGTGTCGTCCCTAATTGATCTTTATGGGCAACGGTACGCTACTGATTTTTTGTTTTTCGATAAATGCTTAGTTCTCGTGATAGAGGGTGTTAAACTTTTAAAAGTAACGGCATTTATAACAGAGTGCGTTTCGTCGTTTTCTTTGCTATTTATTTTTCTAGAAATGTGTGTCAAATTTTGATTAGATTAGATACGAAAACGAGAATTAACTAAGTTGCACTTTCATTGTCTTAGTCAAAGTATAATAACAAAAGTTGCGAAAAAAGTCAGCGGCGTAGAACATTTCTTGAAATAGTAAACGTTTACTTTCTAAGAAAGACTATGCCATTTGTTCCAGTGTCGTCCGTAATTGATCTTTATAGGTAACAATACGGTACGCTACCGATTTTTTTTTTTTAATGCTTACGTCGCTTCCGCCGTTTTCTTGATTATTTATTATTTAAGTACTATGTGTATCACATTGGCCCAAAAATAAAATGTTCATGAAAATACGTATTATCAATTTTCATGATTTTTATTAGATTAGATGCCAAAACAAGAATTAAAAAAGTTTCTAGTGGCTTGTTCAAAGTAAATAACAAAAATTGCGAAAACAGCGGCGTAAATCGCTTCTTAAAATGTTAAACATTAAAAAGAAAACGTAAATTATAAAAATGTTAAATATTTTTTGGCGAATTTTGTTAAAATTTGGCAACGCAATGTACAGCAATTTTTCCTTAATTGAGATAAAAATTGAAAGTATCGAAATATTTTTTTCTTCAATACATACGTACTTAGTTCGTAAGGACTACCTAACGCCAGTGATTTTTTTTTAGGTAAATGCATGATACAGGGTATTAAAATAAAAAAAACACTTGTAACATAGTGCAAAAATCCTTAAGTCGTTTTTTTTTTTTGGTTATTTTTTTATAACAAGTTTACTGTGTATCAGACCGGTCCCAAAAAATAAAATGTTCGTGAAAATACGTTTTGTTAATTTTCTAGATTTTGATTTGTGCTGAAGCATTAAAAACGTTACTTGGTGGCTTGTTCAAAGTAAATAACAAAAATTGCGAAAAAACTCAGCGGCGTACGTCGCTTCTTAAAATGTTAAACATTAAAAGAAAACGTAAATTATAAAAATGTTAAATATTTTTTGTCGAATTTTGTTAAAATTTGGCAACGCAATTTGCAACAATTTTGCCTTAATTGAGATAAAAATTAGAAGTATCTATATAATTTTTTTCGAAACATACTACGTACTTAGTTCCTAAGGACTACCTAACGCTAGTGATTTTTTTTAGGTAAATGCATAGTTTTCATGGTACAGGGTGTTAAAATAAAAAAAAACACTTTTGTAACATAGTGCGAAAATCCTTAAGGCCTTTTTGTTTGGTTGTTTTTTTTTTAAAACAAGTTTACTGTATATCAGACTGGTCCCAAAAAATAAAATGTTCATGAAAATACGTATAGCCGGATTTACTTCAAATTATACGGGGTGATGTAAGAGGAGGTGCTCTGCCTCCATAAAATATTTTCAAATAAGCAAAGTTGCCGCTTCAACGTAGAGGTTTGAACCTTTCAAGAAATCCGATTGATGTTGTGTTAGATGGAACATACAACATAGAAATGAGAATGTGTCTTGGGACAACGCGGTTTATTGAGTTATTTCAAGATAGCGCACCCTGTATACTTACCATCTCTTACCGTCTTTGAAATAAAAATTAATTTTCATGATTTTTTACCTCCTTTAGACGGAACGAACCCCATTTTCATTCAGTTTTAGTGTCCAACCATCCAGCCCTTTTTCGAAAGTCAATAATCGATCAACCGAGACTGCAGATTCCTTCCTGTCAAATTCCACACGCTTTTCCGTGAACAGGGTGCCAATTTAAAAGATCGTACTTTATTAGATTTTATGAGATTAGGAAAACGGCGAAATAGTTGAAAAGAAACTAAAATTAAATAAAAATGGGATGTTGTCATGCGCGAAATTTTCTTCGAAATGACGGTGTTGGCCATTGATATTTTATAAAAATCACGAGAGTTAAAATTAAAAACGGAAGAATATGCATTCTGTGCTATAAAGAAACTCGATAAACCGTGTTTCTAACGTACAAGAATGAATGAATGATTTATTAGGATTTTTCCGATTGTCCAAATTGCTTAAAAATCAAGGAAATTATTTTTGCATTTCCATAGACGTACTAAACCAAACCTGACACCCTGTATAGTTTGAAGTAGACCATTGATCCGTTCCGTTTAGTTCACGGATATTTTTTGCAATTCCTGTTATCTACTATAAACAAGTTTTTTGACTTTTGAGATGTTTTCGGAAAATTGACTAAACCTATTTTTGTAAACATTTATTTTTTGCATTTTTTGGAAACGTAAGTATTTCGGACCTATTTTTTTTTTGGATGACGGGTCTCCAGCTACGCTTTTGAAATTTTTTTGATTAAAAAATTTTTGTGGTGGACCTTGATTGTGGTTAAAAAACGCCATTTTGGTATTCCCAAAATGCCAGTGCTGCATCTCGAAGGTTTCGAAAACTAAAGGGGGGAGCGACTCGCCTTCTACACGCCCTGTATATTATGTACATATATAAATAGTGTCTATTTATCTAAAAACAGAAAAAAAACAGTGAGAGAGAGGAAGAAAATTTAAATAGTTGGGCGTCTTTGTTGTGTTTATATTTTTCCATTTATTTATTATTCGGATCAAAAAATCGAAGAAAGGAACGGTGGGAGAGAGAGGAGAGAAATTTGATAAACCGTATTGTTGATTGTAAAGTATAAATAAAATATTTTCTCGCCCTAGCGGCGAGAATTGTTACGTTTAGCGTCGCGGCGCGAGCGGGTGGGGGGCGGCGCCGCCTCCCCTTCGGTACGTTACGACGACGTCAGTATTATGTTTTTTTGGGGTGATGGTGGGGGGGGCGGTGCGCGATCCGGACCCTTCTCGAACGCAAAACGATATAAATTTTTACTATTTTACTATGTAACACAGCTGTATATAATCGATGTTAGTATGATTTGTGTACAATTAAAATAACTCATTTAAATTTGACCGTTTGCGTTTTATTCTCGTGACGTCACGACGCGCGTGGAAGTTTTGAGGTTATACAAGAATTGACAGCATCTGACGTAGTTTAAAAAGGCGTGGCGAGTGGATCCAAAAGGCCAAGTGTCCGTTTACAGTTTCCGGTGTAATTTGTCTCGAAGGCTTTTGGCGGAAATTATTGAGAATTTAAATTTAAAAAAAATTAAATATTGTATTACGTTTATTCATGATCTAATTACTGTTTCCGGTATAGTTTGTCCCTAAGTATATCGTCTGGGCCTTTGACGGATATTATTGAAAATTGAAAATTTTTAGGTGTTCTAAAAATATAAAAATTAAATATATTATGTTTATTGATAATGTAATAAAATCGCGTTAGGATCCTCTTTAAAACCCATTTAAACCTATTACCGGTATACTCTGTCTCAAAGTAGATCGTCTTGGTTTTTGATGGAAATTATAGAAAATTGGAACTTTCAAGGTATTTTAAAAATATGGAATTGTTTATTTATAACATAATAAAATCAGGTTATCTCCTTTTAAGAGCCAATTAATCCGGTTGCTGTTTCCGGTATACTCTTTTAAAAATATAAACATTAGGTATTATATAATTTTTAATTATAATATAATAAAATCCGGTTTACGGTATACTTTGTCTCAAGCCATCTCGAATTTTAAAGAAACTTACAGTGACCACCGTTTTAAAGCAAATTTAATTAGATACGTTCCACTCTATCTCTGGGGCTTTTCCTAGGCCATCAAACGTGCAATGACTAACATGATAGCGATTGAATATCTTGCCAGCAGATGTCTTGTGATACAATGGCAAACAAATTATTTTTTCTACTCCCGTCTGTAAAATACTTAATTACGCACCTATTAAGCGTGCGGGAAGCGTCGTTGTACCACGTCGTCAGTTTCCTTTCCCACGAATCCGAGCCACTTCGGACATTTCCGGGATTTTACCGCACGGGTTCGGGAGCAATCGAATGTTTTCGGAGATATTTCCCACGCTTTGAATTTTGGCGTTTGTCTATTCTGACAGTCATGTCAATGAATGTATTCGTATTGTTTTGCGAAAATGTAACCAAAAACTAACGGTCGTAGAAAAAGTATAGTATGCAACAGGTTCGGTAAACTGTTTAACTCACTCGTTATTATGTCAAATAAACTCGTGAGTCAAATGCTGTTTATCGCACTTGTTGCATAATGTACTATTCTGAGAAAAAAAAACAACGATATGATTTTTTTCCGTCATTAGATTGTCAGATAAGAACCCAACAACCCAGCAAAAACCGCATCTCAATACCTTTATTAAAGAATCTAATTCCCGGTAAATTACAAATTTGTGTCCCTAAAAATATCAATTCTGCTCCAGAAATATCCGTTTGTTCTTCGTCGCTTAAGGAAATTTGTAAACCATTCCAATGATTTTGTTTATTTTACGTTTCATGATTTTTTTTAATGAATAATGTGAACAACATATTTTTGTACCTTATTTTGATATCAAAATTATTTTATTAAGGTTAATATAATATTAAATTTTAAGTAGTACTTGAAGTGCTCCAGATAGTTCTTGCCATATTGCTTAGGTTAACCGGCAGTGGGCCAATGTCCCATTTACATGTCGAAGAAGAGTTCATTTGTAAATGACAGACGCAAACTGTCGTCAATGTTGATTTATGATTTATTTACAAATTCATATTTATGTACTTATTGGATAGAGGTTGACAATATAGTTTAATACGATGTCGACGTTTTCGGTGGCCCAAGAGGGCCCCGTGAACGCGTTGGCGTTAAACCGGGACAATAATCAAGTCGCCATCGGGGGTCGCAACGGTAAAATTCGTCACAGTAATTAACTTTTCGACGTTCGTTTCGCCGTTGTTGCAGTTTTCAAAGTCTATCACATCGAAGACGACAAATTCCAAGAAATCTGCAATCTCAGGAGCTCGAAGCACTTGAGCCTCGGATTCTCTTGCAACGACGTTTCATGGTGCACGATCGACGGTATTAATTGCGTTTCGACCGGCGCGAAACTAACCGACCCAATCCGTAGATCATTATTTGGCAACGGCCGCCACGAACGGCCACGTGTGCGTCTGGAATTTGACCAAAATGGGCAAAGCGATGCAGGAGCAGGACTATCAGGATCACAAGAGGACCGTCAACAAAGTTAACTTCCACGCCACGGAGGCTTACAAGCTTATATCGGGCTCGCAGGACGGCACCATGCGTTATTTCGATATCAGGACGAAAAACGCGGTCGCTGTCTTTCAAAGGTTCACTGCCGCTGATTTTCATTTCAACATAACCTAATTCAAAGTGTATAGTAATACGGAGAGTGTGCGGGACGTGCAGTTCAGTCCCCACAACCCTTACGTGTTTGCCGCCGTGTCCGATAACGGTAGCGTCCAACTGTGGGATGTGAGGAAACCTGAGAAGTACCAGCAACAGTATACGGCCCATAGCGGGCCAGTGTTCGCTTGCGACTGGCACCCCGAAACGATGTGGCTCGCCACAGCGAGCAGGGATAAAACCATCAAGGTTGTACTAAAACTTCACTTTTTTCGAGGGTGTTAACTCTTCGGATCTGTATTTGGGTGTCCACTGAGAGTTTAGCGCCAAAACTTTATAAATTTTTTCTTCAGGTTTGGGACCTGATCTCGAAACCCACATTGGAGTATACGATCCATACTATGGCGTCGATAGGCCATGTAAAATGGAGGCCCCAGTATAAGTACCATATCGCCAGCTGCGCCATAGTCATCGACAGCAGCATTAACGTGTGGGACGTGCGCAGGCCTTACATCCCGTTCGCGTCTTTCAACGAGCACAGGGACATCGCCAGTGGCGTCGCGTTCCGCGGGGATCCAAACATATTTTTGAGCAGCGGCCGTGTGAGTCGGTTGATTTTTTTTCTCTGGATTAACAATAGATTTTTCTTTCGTTTTGACTATACCACAGATCGCGTAAATCATTAATAAAATTCCTGTTGTTATTAGCATACAGTGTCGTCAAACTAATTAGAAGTGATTGTTTACGATAATTAGAATTATTGGTACCAAGTAATTTGGTTAAGTGTTTCGAATATTGTTAAGATTTATATTTATTATTTTCACAATAAGTTTGAAGAATAATTTTATTATTAAAAACAGCAGTGCATTTTCTTAATTTAATGTTAATCTTCGTTCGAATTTCTGCAGATAAGATTGATGTACGTTCGCAAAAGTGTTTTATCTAAAGTGAGAAACAAATTATTATTATTATTAATTAAATAATTGTCATTATTCTGTCCAAAGCGAATGGCTTGCCCAATAGAAAATCTGAAATGACGATCGTGAAAAGAAAGTTAGGTTAATTCAGATAAATTATCTGAGGGTATTCCATTCATTCCACAAGAGACTTGCAGTAAAATATTCCTAGAAATGCCGACAATCATACTGAAACCACAACTAAACTTAAAAATATCGATGGCAATAGTCTTCATTACGACTTATATAATATTTTAAGCATAAATATTAGAAAATTAAATCTCATTTGTTTTAAAAAGAAAATTAAAAGAGTACAACAGACGCAAATATATTCAGTGGTTAGCAGAGCTTTGGTTAGTTTTGGTATAGTATTAATTACATCAGAGAAAACCGATTTTTTTTTATCACGTGACCGCAGATTGAACTCCCAGTCCCGCCCACTTCCGTCATTTGGTTTTAAAATTTATTGGCAGAGGAAGAAAACGATATTATCCCCTTAATGCAATTTTTTACAGAAAAAGGCTTGATTATTTTAAATGAAATATAAAAAGTTGTTGGCGTAAAATAAAGAATGTTCGTTTGAAGTGCTGAAATATAATCCAATGAAAATTGTATTAATTAATGGATTCTTTTCCATTTTAGGGGTAATTTAGGTTTCATATCAAAATACTGTTCTTTGTTTAAACAAATTGTCTAAATCTACTATTACTTACGATGACAGAATGAGCTTTCTTCTATCTATAGGAGGTTCTACGGTTGCTTCGTTTACATTAGATTTTTCCTTAGTCAGACCATCTTTGAATGTCTTGCGAGTTTTTATTTTCCACGTTCGTCTTTCCATCGCACTTCTGATCTTCTACATCATCTTTTTGCTGAATACATTTCAGATTTCCCTATTCCATCTCATCCTCAAGGCATTCGTTATCCATATCTATTTAACGCCTGGTCAATAGATTCCAGAGCACTGGTTCAAATCGTTGTTTTATGGTCTTCATATCATTGGTCTTTCTATAGATCGTTCGGTTTTTCTTATTCTGTCTAGATTTGTTCTTGGGCACCAGATGTAGCGCCGCAGAAGTGCTCTTAGTGTTTTTAGTTGTAAAGGAATTCTCCGATTCTTCAAGGCATAAGAGAGTTGCTTCTTATCTGTCTATTTAGTTCAACGGTCTGGTATTCCTTGCTTGATTGGAAGTCTTGACTTGAGCCTTGAGCAAGCAAGGAATACCAGACTGTTGAACTAAATAGCCTAAATAGCGATAAAAGGGAAATTGGACGATAGTTGTTGAAATCTGAGGGATCATCTCTCTTGTCTTTGCGTTTTCCCATTGTCGTGATATTTTAGATTCTTGTGATCACTTGCCGAAAATGATACTCAAGTATTCCTTAATTCTTTCGCTCATGGGGTCTTGTTTCCTTTCATTTCAGTTATTGCTTTTTTTTTTGTTTCCACTGCGAACATGTATCTATGTACCTGGACGATTCTGCCTAAATGACTGGTCAGTTCGTTTCAGGACAGTATGCTTTACCACCATTCGTTCGGGGACGCGCAGAGGCCCGCCAGCAAAGCGAACCTGCACGGTCTCACCGTCAACAGTAAGGGAGAGGTCACCCAGGCGATAAAAATCAATACCGCCCCCATGGTCAATAACGGTAGCCACAGCTCGTTGACGAAGGCTGTGGGGATCAAGAGGTGAAGTGCCTTTGCAAAACCCGCAATTCGGTAGTGTACAGGGTGTTATCGTATAATTTGACAAACGAGTTTAAAGATTGAGAGACGAAAAGGGTTTTGCCCTTTTCCAAGGAGACTTCCACGGGCCATTCTATTTGCAAATCTACTAGATTCCACCTGTTGGCTTCTTCAGAGCTTAACTGAAACCAGCTCTCATTCTACTCTTATATGCAGCTTATATATTGTTTGAGGGGGGCGGAGCTAAAGGAGGGGCATGACCCTTGTTTTGAATGACTGATTCTCATATTGGTGAACGATTATATATATATATATATATATATATATATATATATATATATATATATATATATATATATATATATATATATATATATATATATATATATATATATATATATATATATATATATATATATATATATATATGTATATATATATATATATATATTCTCAAATTTTTTGTTGGTAGAAGATTTAATTACATGCAAGAATTTTAGTTTTATCGAATAAGATATGATGTTCGGTGTTTGGCAACAGCTGATGAGTTTATTTGTGTATTATTGTAAGGCTCTTTCGTGTTCTTTGAGCCCAGTTGATATTTTTCGTCCGGTCTCTGCAATGCATTCTTTGCCGCATATGCACGGAATGCTGTAAACTCCTGGCGTCTCAAATGGAATTTTGTCTTCGACGGACCGAAGATGTTGAGAGACTTTTGGACAAGTGGTAATCCTGGTTTTGAGGAAGATCTTGACCATGAGGCCAGACAACAAAAGAATCATTAACATAGCGTTTCCATAATTTTGGTTTTAATTAGAAGATGTCAGATACACAAAAATAAAATTGTAATCAATTCTTCTACCAGCGAAAAATCCGAGAATCTATAGAAATTTATAAGCAACTAAAGAACCTGATCGGCGACTCAGGTCTTTGCCTTTCGCCCATACGGCTAAGGGCCCTAACCAATGTTCGCGATCCTGCTTTAGCTCCGCCCCCCTCAAACCATACATAAGCAGGTACAGAGTAGAATGCGAACTAGTTTCGATTGAGGTCTGAAAAAGCCAACAGGATGATTGGCGAAACGTCAGCAAGTTCGATACAAGAGCAATACAGAAGATGTGTAATCAGTAGGAATTTTTTCCTTAAAAAATTACAATTTTTATTTGACAAATGCAATGTTTTCCTCTACTTGGATAAAACTTGCTATTAAATAATTTCTTAGTACTCTAAGAAAAGACAACAACCATAAATAACAAATAAATTGATCTCATTTTTCATGCTTTTCGGTTTGGTTTTTTCATGGTAACAATTCTACCCTACCCTACGGTTTTTGGTTAGTTTTTTGTGGAAATTCTGGTTAGTTTTGGTTAGTTAGAATAATTTTTTAAAAATCTTTGTTTCGTTCATTTCTACCTGAATTAATATTTCAACAAAGGCCCAGATTTTATCTTTTTTTTTAATGGCCCATTTTTGTATCTGGTAGGCAAATCATCAGTTTTGAACAACCCTGTATAATGTAGAATTAATTTCGATATTAGGAAATCCTGTTCGATACCTCCCTATGATGTGTCCAAGATTTCAAGCTGTGTTTTGGTCAAAAAGAGAAAATCATTAGAGAGCCATCCAGTGATATTTTTTGATGACACAATATTTCCTGTAGGTGTTCAGGGTGTTGAATAATTTTAAAAAAGGCATATTTTTTTGAAAGACCCTGTATAATGGAGGAAAAGAGAAAACTTGCTGCACCACACTTTGGCCCATCTTAAAAAAGTCTATCGGTTGTTAAAATTATACGAAAAAAGATTAAAACGCCCCGCGGAACCTAAAATTGTCGGGGCCCGTCGTTCACCGAACATCCCGTGACGTAGGAAAACGTCGACGTCACAAACGGCCGACACGTTTCATCAAGCGGTCAGCAACATGTTCGAGTTCAAGCGCAGCAACTGCAAAAACGGCGACGAGGCTCTCACGTGTCTCGGCCTAGCGAAAAACTATCTGCTACACGGTCGCAGCGTTTCGGAACTGTGCGAGCACAATTCCGCCGTCGCCAGGCAATTCGGCAAGGACGAGGTGAGTCTAACGTTCAGTCCGTTCCAACCATCGTTGGTGATCCCTGTTTGACCCTTCGTTTGGGTTCAAGTGATATTGCGATTTTTAGGGAGATTTAAAGAAATAAAAAGTGGTTTATAGTGATAAAATGGCGTAGAATGAGAAAATTTCAGAGAGGTTTAGGGAGACATTGTGATTTTTAGAGAGGTTTTGAGCAATATAAAGAGATTTAAAGCGATTAAAAGAAGTTTAGAGTGATAAAAAAAAGCTTAGAGGGAAAAAGTTTAGAGAGCTGGAAAGGTTTGGGGAGATACTGTGATTTTCAGAGAGATATAAAGGCGTTTAAAGCGATAGAAAGAGATTTAGAGAGATAGGAAGAGGTTTAGAGTGATAAAAAATTAGAGATATTGTGTTTTTTAGAGATATAAAGAGGTTTAGAGCAATAGAAAAAGATTTAAAGAAATAGAAAGAAGTTTAGAGTGATAAAAAAAGACTTAGAGGGAAAAAAGTTTAGAGAGATAGAGAGGTTTAGGGAGATATGTGTGTTAGAGAGATAGAAAGAGGTTTACAGCGATAGAAAGAGATTTAGAGAGATAGGAAGAGTTTTAGAGTGATAAAAAAGCTTACATGGAGAAAAAATTAGAGATATTGTGTTTTTTAGAGATATAAAGAGGTTTACAGCAATAGGAAAAGATTTAAAGAGATAGAAAGAAGTTTAGAGTGATAAAAAAAGACTTAGAGGGAAAAGAGTTTAGAGAGATAGAGAGGTTTAGGGAGATATGTGTGTTAGAGAGATAGAAAGAGGTTTAAAATTATAAAAAGGCTTACAAGGAGAAAAAATTAGAGATATAGAGAGGTTTAGGGAGATATAAAGAGGTTTAGAGAGATAGAAAGAGTTGTAGAGAGATAGAATGGGGTTTAGAGTGATAGAAGGATATTACTTGATTTCTGCCATATACATTGTCAATTTGCGGAATTAGCTTGATGTTTTTTAAATTGGTAAGAACCACGACATTGAAAACTGTGACTGCTGATTATATCTTCGCAGCAAAAGTTTATAGAGAGTCACAACAAATCAAGAAAATATTCCGAAAGACACATAACTAAAACCGGCCATTAAGTGTGTTTAGATTAAGCAAAGATAACCAAAAATGGCGCCATTTCAGAAAGGTAACTATATGGAAGGATTTAAAAAGATATAGAGATGTTTAGAAATATGGGGTTAGAATAGGTTTAGAAGAAGAATTTTTTTATTAATCCCATATTGTACAATAATGATACAATTGCAGCCTGTCAATATAAGGTAAAATACAAAAACAAAATGTAAAAAGTGTAAAGGTGTAAAAAAAACGCATTTTATAAATAACACAGTAGTGAACAATAACAAATGTAAAGGTCAACAACACTAACACGGAGTATAAAAATCGCACAGAAAGTATAGTATAGTATGCTATGATCCTCACATATTTCAGTAAGCCAGGGATTTTAATTTATTTTTTTTATTTTGATAGAATACTCGTCCACACTATAGAAACAATATTCAATAAGCAACACTTTAATATTTGTTTTGAACACCTGAAAAGCCTGTACCTAACCGACAGCATATTGTACAAGTTAATGTTTAAAGAATTTCCATCTCCATCTCCCACAAGCTTACTTATCGCTTGTATGGTAGAGCGCCCCTCCCTGTTCATTCCCAAAGATATCCCCAAAGATATCCTGCTGCACAGAAAAATTAACTATTTGTTGTTTTATAACCCTTGGATATGGAGCTGTAGTCTCCGGGATTGTTAATGTCACCGTTCTTGAAGATTGAATTAACTTTAGCAAATTTTAAAGTATCTGGAACAATGCCATGTTGAATGCACTTAGTAAAAAAGAAGGTAAGTCTAATTAGTAAATTTTTAGTAAATTGACATTGATTTCATAAGCGTCAGAGCAACCAGAGTTTCATAGGCTGAGAATCGATACTTTTACCTCTAATTCAGTAACAAAATTAAGTGCAAAACAACTTTCATTAAAGGGAATTTGACTAATTAAACCACTTTGAAAGTCCGTATCAATATCAATCAGCAGTAAGACAAATAGAAAGAGGTTTATAGAGGTAGAGGAAGGTCGCGAGAGTAAGCATATATTCGTTACGTTTCTTCTTCTTCTTGACATGAAACGAATTTAAATTTAACTTTATTGACGTTAGATCGCAAACATTTGGAAGATATTCAAGACGATCTACGGCGAGGAGTTCGTCCAAAACTCGATAAACAATCTGAACAGTGGCGGCGCAGGGGACGACGTCGCGACGGTGATCGAGACGCCGCTGGGCAACCACGAGCGTAACATCGGGGTCGAGCCGGGGTCGGAACCGGATCAAAAATCGAAGGGAGGCGACACCCCGGGCGCCCAGTTCAGCGGCGGGGACGAGGAGACGGAGAACGAGGACCAACCCGACCACGCGTCCGCGAACAGTGCCTTTCCCAACTATCTCAACGTCAGAAACGGCTGCCTGCCCAAGGGCGATTTTTCCTTCGGCGAAAACGAGCTCGACGTCGAATTGGACGGCGTCGGCCCAGGTGAGTCGCAGAATAAACTTGAGACAGATGCGACGGTTTAATGTACCGTGCGTCGATTTAATTGGATGTAACTTTTTCGTTTTTAGAGATATCGAGCTAATTACAATGATGTTACACACTTTATATTTTAGTCCACTTGTTTTCGGCTAATCGGCAAAAATAGGAAATTTTTATATAATTTTAAAGACTGACAAATAAAAATATGTTTATTTTGGTATAATTGCAAAGTTGGCAAAGAAGTTTTGCAGAAAACGGTAACGTATTAAATGCTATAAAGGTATTCCAGAACCATAATGTTGTAAATGAAGAAGTTTCCTCTTTTACTAGAGTATATCGGCAAAAATAGGAAATTTTTATATGACAAGACACGCTAAAGTAAAAAATTCTTTCACTGTCCTAAATACTGCTGCTCGTGACCACCGTTTTCCTGAACAGATTTGTCATACACTATAATAATTTTCCACTGCGCAGACTCACACCGACCAGTAGTGGAGTTCCTAATTTACAGATTTTTGAATTAATGCGGTCTTTGTAATTTACTTTATACGTAACCAAAATCCAACACTTTATAACACTTATAGTATGTTAAAAAATGCCTTCTCAGTCAAAAGAAAAAGAAGGCGAGTTACTTGTAATGATAATGGAGAACTTGACGTCTTGTTAGTTGAGAATTTTAGTCACTGGTATTGGTATAAAAATTAAAATGTATTAGTTCGAATTTCGGAAAATAAGTTTAAAAATAATTTTTTTATTGTTGCGTTATCAGCTTCAACACTACAATAAATTTTATGAATTTATTTACTCAATTGTCGGGTAAAAATTTGACATTATCATTTTGTTGGAAAATAGTCAGAAAGAAGGGCATATTTTGGAAAAGTAAGGTAAAAATAGGTATATGACACACTTGATAACTGTTAAGAAAATCAAGATAAAATAATGCTAATATCAAATACACTGTTTAGCGTTATAGCATGTTTGTTTTGGTGTCAATGTAACAGACATCAATAGGAATTGAATTTTCTTGTGAAGTTCTACTGGATTGTGATATTTTTCCAACGACTTTCATTCGGAGCGGCGAAACTTCGTTGGCGAGGACGTTGTATGTTGTCGTTGTATGCAGATTTCCATAACGGTTTCCAAATCTACAACCACATCACGCCGCGATTCAGTCAGGACTGGACCCTGCCCAACGAGGCGTTCCCCGTGAGGCACGAGATAACCGACCAGTCGCCGCCCCCCGAACAGTTTCCCAACCATTTCCACGCCCCCGACCTCCACGAGGAGACCCACACCGTGCAGTACGACGACCAGCCGCCCGGGCTGCTCACCTTGTCGAAACCGCCCAAGAAACGGATATGGGACTCTGCCGAGATAGTGATCGACGCCCTCAAGCACTACGCCGACTTGGGGGACACTCAGACCTCCGCGACCGTTTTGATCGTCTTGGGGGACAGTAGGCGTTACCTTTCCGGTAAGTTAGGGATACATACGAGGGCAGCGCCAAAATTCACTACTGGAAAAGTGTTTGTTGTGTGCTAAAAAAGATAAAATCTCCTCAAATAGGACAAATAGACACATTCAAATACCAATTTTTCACTGGTTGGAACGTATTCGGAATTTTTTTTTTCTGTTTGTCCGTTCTCCGTTCTCGTCCTTTTATTTTTCCTAAATAACTTTCGAACTCTTAGAGCTACAAAACAGAAATTTGCTTCCTTTTTAACCCTCCACGAGGCACATAAGCTTGTAAGAATCCGACGCCGGCATCCATCTTTTTTCGCGATTTTCGACTGTTTTTTGGACCTTGCCGTGAAACACGATAAGTGTCCGAAATTTTAAGCAATCGACTTCATATTCGGCACATATATCCAGCTTTACCCCGTGACGGAACCTATTGAAAATGGGGGGGCCATCAACATCATTTATCAAAAACGGTTTACAAGACCGAAATTATTCTTGAACCAGAAGACGCAGAGGAAACGACTCCATAAATTTTAGTTCTTGAGAATTTTTCAAAAATATACAGGGTGCGCCGAAAATTAAAAAAAAAACAGAAAATTGGGTACCCTTATTATTGAAAATTGGCAATAGTTTCAAGTCTGTGGTTTAGATGTCAGTTTATTTTACATGACGATATAGCCCATATAGACAGCTTTAACTTTTGTATTTACGGTTTTTAAGTATTGTACAGGGTGTTCGCGATATAACATAATAAGTATTCCAAATTTGCAGCTACCGACTTCAGACTTGGGAGAGAAGTAGAAGTCTGGACCCGCATTTAGACTCTTTAAATTGGGAGCAATAAAATAACACGAAGTATGTTTTTTTTTAATTTTTATTATTTTTTTGGTTATTTTGGCATCCAGAAAAACATCTTATCCTCCAAAGCTATTCATCCTATAGCAAAAATTTTACATTCGTAATACGTGGGAAAGCCGGCGTTATAACTTTCGTTTCACACATTTTTTCTATTATATACAAGGTGTTTTAGTGATGGAGAAAAATCTAAAAGACCCTGAAAATTGTTTTTTTAGAAAGTAAGTAAGTAAGTAATTGTTAAGCGTATATCAAAATTCGTACAAACAATAGCTAATCACGTACGCTGTTCGAAATATTTGAAAACATCCATATGAAAATCGCTGATTCTCGCCCCCAATCTAGACGCGATGACGTCATTTACTATTACCACGTACTTTTTTCAGAAACAAATATTTCTTGAAAACCACTTACTCCATTGAAGAAAATCAAATACCAGGAAACGTGGGAGATCCAGGGCTATAACCTCTATTTCGAACATTATTTGAATCATATACAGGGTGTGTCGTTTATGGGCAAAAATATCAAGAACATCCAAAAAATTTCCGGGTTTGTTGGTAAATTATTGGGGATAAATGAAAGACTGCTAAAAATCCATTAATTTGATTTGAACAGTATCGTAAACTGTGTCGAGAGAGAGTTTCAGGTTTCGTTTGATTTAGGACTGAATGAGGCGCTGCAAGAGCACTGGTTGCTCGGCTACATCGAGCTGCTGAACCGTTACAAACTGTGGGACGTCGCGACGCAAATCATTAAATTGTCGTGGCTGCCGTCGGTCAATCAGCTGAACAACCAAAGCACGACAGTCAACACGAACTGCGGAAAGTGTATGAAGCCGTTGCAGAGGGTCGGTTGGTTGTGCGACAGGTGCCATTCGACCGAACACGGTCTGTGCAGCATCTGTCACCAAGTGGTAAAAGGGTTGTACGTGTGGTGTCAGGGGTGCTCGCACGGCGGTCACATCGCTCACATGAAGCAGTGGGTGTCGCAGTATAAAACTTGTCCGACAGGGTGCGGCCATAGATGCGAGTACATTTAGGGAATTGTTATTTTTGGCGGTTGTACAATGTTAGGTAATTTATTTACGCGAATGAGATTGTTTACTTAAAACGCGTTTTATTTCAACCTAAACCGAACCGAAAGTTTATTCCGTCTGATAATGGAATATGCACCCCACCCTGATAAGCTTCAAAGCGCCCTCTCGCGGTGAGTATCGAACGCGCTATATAGTCAGGCGATCGTTTCTAATTTTTGGCGGATGCGCCGGGTCGCTCCTCCGTTCATTGCCAACTTTGGGAGTCGACATGTCAATCTACAAGTTTTGCTTCTTATGAGACCACAGTTTGCGTTAAGTGGTTAGATGGAGGGTTTCGCAGCAACCACAATTATTTTCACAATCAGAACCTAATGACTTAGTGAGCGACTGGACTTCGAAATAAAAATTTAGTAGCCCAAGACGTTAAAATCTCAGGTTTTGGGAAGACGATTTTGAACAGAATATTTATATGACCGATATTGCTAATATAATAAGAGAAATTGGTATAAACTGTAATTCTGAAACTTGAGGCTTTTTATTGACTTATCTGAGAGAAGCTTTAAACCTGTTACTTCTGTATCTGTTGTTCATTCTGTGCAAATGAAAACCTGCAACTACTGCTTGAGGAAATCAAATATAAGAACCATGGATCGTTGATTTGTGGTGACAATGATGGTGAGACTTCCACTAGTCAGGATGTACAAGCTACCTCCGTTTTTTGTGTGAGTGGGACAGTAGAAACAGCCAAGCAACATTCGAACAACTATTCGAAAAGGATTCATTTAACTCCCGGATGAAAAACATCAACTTCGGGAGTCGGCTATCTTTCGGCACCTTTCGAAACGTCAATCTCCAATTGCGTCTTGGAACTGTTTCAAATTTCTCCTGACATAATAGCAAAAGGAATTGTATTTAGTTGTGGATGGAACTCGGTACACAAAAAACTAACTGCAGATGCCTAAAAATAATCAGTCGTAGATTTCCTGAACTTCTTCATCCTTCGTCCTGCATATAATGAAGATAACGAAATTACAGATTTCTAACAAATCGGAATGTCGCCACACAAAGTTTAACCGTTCAATTATAGATGGCGACAGTTCATTGCAGATTCCCCAACTAACCGTGGAGCCAAATTTGTGGCTGATCGATCTTGTGATATTATTTAAATGTTCTGCAGCGTTATTTTGATATATAACTACGATTTTATGTGGACACGCGCATGCTCAACAGACATTCGATTTTTTAAATTTTTTAAATTGAAAGCTGCTACGCTTCGACAGAGGGCAGCACGCGTTCTAACCGACATAGTTTACGCCGCTCACGTACAGATGGCGGTACAAACGAAATTGCAGTTTCCCAACTAACCAAGGAGCTAAACTAACAGGAGCTAACATCTTCATAACTAAACAAGGTGCTAATTTTCGCCACCTAGCTATGATAAGAGTTGAGGTGTTATTTGCATGCTGTGCAGCCTAGTTTTCTCTTACGTTTTGTGATGATACGACGCTGGTAGGAGAGATAGGCAAGTGATAACGAAAGTTGATTTTAATTTTGTGTAGAATCTGAATGTGTATTAAAATGTGGATAATGTGATAAAGTGCGGATTTCTAAAACTGATTAGTAGTAGTAGATACACTAAATTTCTCCATCCTCTGTCCTGCGGAGGAAATCATGAGGTGACGAAATTTCAGATTCCTAACTAAAGTTTTGCCGCGCATCGATAGTTGCGCCGTTCGGGTACAGATGGCAAAACCTACAGATTCTCAACTAAACGCAGCGCTGAGTTCGCCGCTCAGCTATATTCAGAGTTGAGATGTGATTTGCCTGTCCTTTGTTTTTTTTTTTCAAAATCCAAATCTTTCCTAAAATATTTTGATGTGCAACGTTGCCAGAAGTTTCGGAGAGGCTCGGCAACGCCGCATTTGAAATATATATCCATCCGTTCGTGAATGTTTCTTCTCCCAGTTCCCCTTCCCCCTCGGAATAATGAATGATACCGCAGTACCGCAATAACCACTTTATTATCGGTTAAACACACACGTCGACACCGGCTTCCATTCTGAAGTCCACTTTTATATACAAATAAAAACAAATGACGTAGAACTACATCTATATATCGAAACGTCAATCGCGTGCGCGTCGTCGCCATTTTACAAGCTGGTCGGTTGGGATTGCGAGCCCGCCGTTCCGTTCCTGGCTCCTCCACGTGACACGTTATCCCTGCTGTCTCCGAATGAGGTTATGTTCGTCCTGCTGGTCATCGTGATGGCGGACGTGGACGCGTCCGTCTTGACCAGTGGTCCGGCGTCGTAGTCGTCGTCCTGCGTCGGACACAGTGACGTGTTTCGCGCGGTCCTGCTCTTTTCGGCCTGCTGTTTCGCCTTTTTCGGGAATACGCTGTTCTCCAGGTGCAGCGTCGCGTTCACGTCCTTGTTGGCGGCGCACGTGCACGCCTTCAGAAAACTCTTCTTGAAGTTATCGCTGAGGAACGCGTAGAGGATCGGGTTCACCGCCGAGTTCGAGTAGCTCAGGCACGAGACCAGCAAATGTAAGGTTATGTTGAAGCTGGAACGTACATGAAAGCCGTATACGATATCTTTAAAGTAGACAAATTTTTAAATTCACGATTACAGCAAACAATAATTCACTATTTCATGAATCTGACAGTTAAATGTTAGTTGTCTAGGGTCTGGGATGTAATACACAAGGTACAGACACGGAATAGAAAAGGATAACTGTCATTTCCCGTCGACAACATTTCTCTGAGATTTTAACATCGTTTTTCTTCAAATTGTGAAATTTAGGAATAACGTGTAATGTCTATCAGACTCAACACTTGTTCCCACCTACTTAAATAGTTTCACTAATATTAAAAAACCCCATGTTCCAATTCTCACAGTTCTTTGTTCAATTCTTTACCACCCCTTGCACCTACTTAATACAGCTTGTGATAGCAGAATCACAGACAAGCAATAAGTTAGATACTCGATATCTTAGCAATGGAATTGGGTTAAAAAAAAATAATTTTTAAGAAGAATTTAATTTCTTCGCATTCGTTAATGATATTTAGTAACGTGTGAAGTTGTTCTTTAAAGGTATCCCAACAATACCACCTTGTTTCTACAACATGTGCAACGTGAATGTAAAGCAGGATAACAGTGGCAAGCGTGGAGTTGCTGTCGGACTCATTGTCATTGGATGTTTGTGGAGAAGTGTATTTTGTGATAGAACGCTTAATATCTCTAATGTGGAGATTATTAGAGAGAAGCGCAGAGTTCTGTCTCCCTTAAACAATATATAAGCTCCGAAGAAGCCAACAGGACGATTGGCGAGGAATCCAAAAGAAGTCTCTTTGAAAAAAAAACAATTATGGTTAAAATGTCATTGCTTCAGAGACTGTATGTGTTTAGTTCCTCGGAAAATGTTTGTAAAATAAAAAACTTTAAGTCTACCGTAACTTTCAACAAAAAATTTCAATACGACTCTGCGTTCTACCTGTTTTCAATCGAATTGCCGTTAATGAAAAGTCGCGGATTATGGGGAGCCTCCAAGTTCGTTAAAGTCGAATTCACGAAATGTGACTCAAAAAGTGTAAGTATAACTTTGAGGTACTAGATATCGCACTGGAAACATCTAAGTGTCATCGCAAGTCTATTAATTGCAGAAAGTTTCGCCCCCCAAATATATAATTATGAAAAGTACCAATTGATAATTTCATTAAAAAACTGTAGGTATGGGAAAACGTAACCAATTAAAAACTAGTATAAAACAAGTCAATTAACAATTAGCTCTAAATGTAACAGAATTAACATTACCATACCCTAAAAAGTGCAGTTTATTGTCTCAAAATTTAAAAAACATTTTGCTAGCAAAAATTGCATGGCCGCTACCGCAAAAAATTCCCCGTTAAAAACATTTAACAGCACTGAGAGAGACTGATTTTGCGTTCTTATGAAAATTAGTCAATTTTTTTCAGAAAAATTATGGCAATGTGAGAATCCGGTTAGTTGGGGGTGACGCATGCGCCAAAGATCCATACCTTCACTACGAAAATGTCATAGCCACCTGTGGCGCATCACTTTTTACCATAGTAAGGCCACTATATTATCTTATAACTATATGGTTCATAACAAAGATTTAAAGAGTGTGAGAAAGAGAGAGAGAGAAATGAAATAATTAGGCAAATTCTCTATCACGATTATGGGCGAGTGTCCTTATCTGATCTGCCCAATGTAGTAAGAAGCAAGAAAGAAGAAGAATATGTGCATGTTCTGTAATATAAAAACTCGAACGAACGTCGGTAATGGGCGAGTGATAATAGCAGTCTTGGCCGACTGTTTCCGACACTGGTGAAGAAGAAAAATGTTATGCGATAAGGTTTGGACTTACGTGCTCATGGTCGAGTTGCTCAGCGCCAGCTGCGATATCCAGTAAGGCAGCCAACAGATGACGTAGACGGTGACGACTGTCAGAACGAGGTTTGTCACTTTTCGGTGCGATTTTTTCTTCTCCTTCGACTTGTTCTTTGGGCCGACGGTCTTCAATTTCTTGATCACCTCGCAGTAGAAGAAGAGGATGAGCGCGAGCGGGATCGCGAAGCTAAACACGAACGTGTACAGGGTGAACACGGTCGCCTGCGACGAGTCGATCTCTTGGTCGATCGCGGTCGAGTTCTGGGTGAAGTTCTCGTCGTCGGAGTTGTCCCACCAGATGACGCAGGAGCTCCTCTCGCCATCCGATATCTCTTTCGCGTGCTCGATGATCGGGATGATGAGGAGGATGCTGCAGCACCACGCGAGGAGCGACACTATTTTTGATATGAACGGGGTGCGCCACTTCGGAGACGATATGGGGTGGCACACGGCGATATATCTGCGTCAAAAAGGGGGCGGAGACGGTAGTTACTTAAAGTCACTCCCGCGTCTCCCGGGGGAAGATTTTGACATCGAAATTTCAAAAAAACAATGGCGCAATGAGCGGCGAAACCAAATTTGTTATATGTTATTGGGCGCTTTGCGCCGCAAACATTTCAACGAATTCGTACAGGGTGTTATGGAATTCAAGTTGCATCAGTTAAAGGATGATTTTGGACCACTATTCCGATCAGATTCGGATATCTATTAAACGACGCAGTGTTGCCAAACGATCTTCGAAATCAGATCAGTTCTTAATCATGACCGTTATTATTTATTTTTCAAAATTTTGCAAAAACGATAGCTGTGGAAAGATTCTTTCATAACGGATAAGACGATATTATTTTTCGTAGCTGAACTTGTTTAACTGATTTTAATTTTCTTTGTCGCAATTCAGGGCATATTCCGACGTCAAAAGATTTGTTTTATCTTCTCGGATCTATTGCTTTTAAATACAAGTGTAAGAAGTAGCGATTTGCTACTTCTGCACCCTCTAGCCCCAATGGAGATATAATTTATTCCAGTCAGAGCAGTTGTGCAGTGACGTAATAAAAATTGTCCGTATGTCTTAGCTATATTGCTACCATCTTTAGATGCGGATTTCAAAACTGCCAAACAAAATTTCTGAGTCAATTTACGACATCCGGTAACCAATTAGATAAAAATGTCATACTATGACTAATTTATATAATCATAATTAAATAATATAATAATTAAATTATTATTAAAAAATAGATTGCAGAAGTGATCTGTCGAACATGTTTCTCCAGTCCAGCCTTTAATTTTGTCGAGTTCCGAAAATTAATCAAATTTTGTAGTTTTTGTATTGGGACAATATTCTTGACTCTTTTAGAAGTTTTTTAGCTTTCCTGTTTTTAAGCAAATTGCTGGTGAACTAAAGTTACATATTAATTTATAGCCTCAATTGTTTTAACAGTAAATGTAAGACATCAAAATCACAGTTTAATAGTCGCCACTTGTCGCATTTTAATAAAAGATTTTTCACTTTTTTCATGTACAGTACGGTGAATCAACGATAAAGTAAAGTTAATTATTAATAATAATACATATCATTATTCTCGAAGGTAGATCACTCATATTTGGTATTTGATATTAGATGCTACAAGGTGTTTAAAATAAACTAATATATTTTTCTCCATACATATTATTTTTGCTGAAAGGTCTTACAAAACCTAGAACTTTTGTCAAGTATGATGTCATATACGTATTTTTAATACTTTTTACTTTAAAATTTACCGCGTTTTCTGTCTAGGATTATTGCACTAAAATTAGTTAGTCATTACAAAATGTTATTGCCAAATTGTTACCTAAATTTATTATAGTGTCAGTAAATTTTGAAAAAACTAAGCTGAATTAATTGATATGATTTATATACTAGGTAAGGCGGAAAAAATACTTTGCTGGCAGTAAGACTCCACAAGAAGAAGAAGTAATAGAATAGAACTAGTGTTTAATGGAACGGTTTGATTCAACATAAAAAACAAGTTTATGTTTTTATGTAAAATGGGCAGCATTAATCAAATTTCTATAACTATATCTGAAACCTAGTAGTATCTTGGCGGTTCTTTCGAAAGATTAAAATAAAACAGGTATACCAGTATATCCTGTTTAACAATATGCTACCGCAGCATCGGCCAGTGTTCACGGGGTCAATAGCCTCCAGTATCTGGCTTGTGCGCTACATGGATCTACACAGTGATTTGGAACCGCTATAAATTACTTTTTTTTTGTCTAAAATAATGTGTTCCGATGAGGCTACTTTGCGACAGTGCGGGAGTGCCAAACGAAAACCACTTAATGAGCGGCGCAGAATAAACAACTTTAAAGTTATTGGACCATATTTTTCTCGCGAACCACTTAACAACGTCTGATAATTTATCATTATCCATCCATATGTGTAAGATCGTTGTCATGAAAAACAAAAACACATTTTTGAGCATTTATTTTTCAGTGAATTTACCAAAATTTTCACCAAAATTGCTAATAACGACCTTTACTCTATCATCGACCCACGCTGTAGATATAATAAAACACGCAAATATATTTTTGTGTCATGATAATATCGACGTGACACCGACGGTAACGCCATCTGTAATATTGACATCTCGAGATCCCCCGAGCCACAGGAGGGCGCAAAAGTAAGGAAACGCTACTACTCAAATAAACTTTGGTCGCTTTGGTTCTAACGATTATGGTCTGTTCAGAGATATAAGAAAGTGACCAATTGCTTTTGAATGGGATTATCCATGATTATTACCTAAAGTTTCGGAATTTAAATTCAGGTAAAATTGTGGTCCGTAACAGAAAATAATTTTATACCTACCTGTTTAATATTCTTTGGTTTGGTATACTACTTAGTTTAAGTTTATTAGTAATCATTCTTATTTCGTGTGTAATACAGCGTGTGTTGATTCTTGCGGGAATTATGCAAAATATGTGCGACACAAGTAGATGCTCCCGCTCAAATGTAGAAAACACTATTCTATTGAGACTAAGGAAGTTATAAACAATGTTTATAACAAGATTATACCAAAAAGCAATTAATTGAGGTTCTACAAATCTAGAACCTACAAAAGGAATACGTCTGTCATAATTATGCAAAAAATCTAGGGCATACAGTTTTAAGGCTTCCACCTTACCACTGTATATTTAATCCCGTTGAACATGTTTGCCACCAACTGAAATCTGCCATTCGTCGTAACAATGTTTTTCCCCGTGTTAACTCCAATGTACACAAACTTATAGAAACCGAAGTTTTTAACATTCCTCCACAAAGTTCGGCAAATTCTGTTAAACATATAAAAAAAGCAGAACAATCGTATGTCCATATTGCAAATAAAATAGAAGAAATAATAATTAGAACAGGCGATGATAGCGACAGTGATATTGATATATTATGGGAATAATTTTAAGTAATTTAAGTAGGTAATAAAAATAATTTGTAATTTTATTTTAGATTTAAACATAAATACATACATAAATAAATATTGTTTAGTATCTTTCCTAACAAAGCCACAAATAATTAAATTCGAAGCAAAATACGGACCTGTTCGGCCATGTTTCATTCCCACAGCTTGCCCGGTTCTTTCCTTAATTCGCATCAGTTAGTCACTTTCTTATATCTATGAACAGACTTTACCTGTCGGCGCTCATGATGCACAACAAAATCGAGCTGGTAAACTGATTGATACTGGTGGTGATCATGTACGCCTTGCACGCCCAGTAGCCGAATATCCAGTGTCCGTTCAGCAACGTCGCTATCAGGAACGGGATACCGACGAGAAAGAACTCGTCAGCGATGGCCAGGTTCACGATGTACATGTTGGTGACGGTTTGCATTTTCGAAAACCGTATCACCACGTAGATCACCAGCGTGTTGCCTATGAGGCCGACGAGGCACACGACCGTGAACAGGATCGTCTGGATGATTTGGACGACGACCGGGAATATAGTCCGGACGTTTTCCATGTCGGTCGAATTGGCTGTGGCGTTGGGGTCCATGACGGTTGACGGTGGACTACTTCACATACATCTAGAAAATTTAAAATGCTAAGAAACTTCCTCCTGCGTCTAACATATCAACATATCAAAAGTATAACGTCAAAACCAGATTTACCACTTGCCCAAAAATCTCTCAACATCTTCGGTCCGTCAAAGACAAAATTCCATTTAAGATGCCAGGAGTTTACAGCATTTAATTAAAGTTTAATAACATAATTTATTCTTAATGTATGGGAATAAAAAGAAGTCATTAGGTGCTAAATCAGGACTATATGGTGGAGGGCACATCAAATCAACTTTTTTAATGCTCAAAAAGTTCTTTGTTTGCACTGACCGGCGAGAGCTAGCATGATTCGCCTTCGGTGGTTGATTGTTCTAATTTCTTCGAAGACTTTCAGCAAACAAATGGCTGTGTAGTATTCAGAATTGAATGTTTGACCTTTCACCAAAGAAACAGTTGCAACGTTGCCAGTTTTCCTGAAAATACGGGCTACCAGGCATTAATAAATTTTGTGGGCTTTGTTTCATTCTGAAAGACCCACACAGTCGACTGCTGCTTACTTTCAGGTTCATATGTCACGATATCGTAGACGTGTCGTAGTCGTATTTTTTAGCATTTCCTTCGACCACTCAACGCGAGCCTTTTTGTGAGCTCATGTCAAATTGTGTGGAATCCAACGAGAAGAAAATTTTTTAGCGACCAAATGTTCATGCAAAATTGTATGTATGCTGGTCTCACTAATGCCCAAAGATACCTCAATCTCATGGTAAGTCACATGACCATCCTGCAACATCAGTTTTCGCACTGCATAATTGTTTTCTTGGAGAACCACCGAATTTTGGACGACCTTCACGAAATTCAGCCTTAAGAAAACTACTGAAGAACGAAAATCAATGATAAATAGTAGTCCTAGATAGTGCTTTAACTCCGAAAGTCGAATTAAGTTCATCGATGCATAGTTGTTGAGTTAGTCCACGTCTAAACTTGTAAATGCTCCTGATTAAGTTCCATTTGTAACCGTCACAATTCTTTTAATTTATCACGAAAAACACAAACAAACACTCTTTCGAAAAAACCTAACCTCAAAATGTCAAAGTGTGCTATAAAAACATTAGTCGCCAGAACTATAAAAGGCAACGCGAACGTCAGCAAGTTCGACTCAACAACAACCGACGCAGGAAAAATCCAGAAGTTTTGTAAATAGTAAAATGCCTTTTTAATTAAAACATCTAAAAGTTTTTCCATAACTTTCTTTAAAAAAAGATCCTTGACTGCCATGTATTCAGAGGAACGCTCGGCGTCAAACAATCCTTTTAAAAGTTAAACGTTCTTAGGCGCAGCTATTGTTCTGCACCTTGCAAAAGAATTTACGTGATCGTTGGGCTTCCATAGCTAAGTGCCCCTTATCTATTTCGGGACATTTGAAGACCATTGTGGACAAAACTTTCGAAAGGCCGCTTATTTGCAGTTTATCAATTAATAATTAATTCTTTTGGTGTTAAACCCATTGTAAAACAGTGAGACATTTATCTGCCCGTATATATTGATAATAATATTTGTAACGGATTAAAACCCCCTGATTATCCGTGCCACTAGCGATGTAAATTTAGGACCGCTGTTAGCGACCCTTACGTCAAAACCCTTTTATCTATGAAATGGCTATACTAAAAACTAGAATGTAATGATTTTCTGTTCGATACACCTCGTATGAAGAACTCGCACATATCTAAATTGGACGCCCGGGATATTATATTGCGTGTATCAAATTTAAAGGGCGTTTCTGAACGTGGCGTCGCCTTTCAATATTCCACGACTTCATGTTCTAGGAGCAACAAATTAAAACTCCGCTATAGTGCCAAATTTCTGTCTGTTTCCATTATTCGGGGTAAGTTCTACAGTATCGACAAATTTAAACGCTTATAAAGGCTGCATTCTAGTTATAGTATTAAAAATTATTCACAAACTCCAGGGTAACATCAGTTTTCGCACTGCATAATTGTTTTCTTGGAGAACCACCGAATTTTGGACGACCTTCACGAAATTCAGCCTTAAGAAAACTACTGAAGAACGAAAATCAATGATAAATAGTAGTCCTAGATAGTGCTTTAACTCCGAAAGTCGAATTAAGTTCATCGATGCATAGTTGTTGAGTTAGTCCACGTCTAAACTTGTAAATGCTCCTGATTAAGTTCCATTTGTAACCGTCACAATTCTTTTAATTTATCACGAAAAACACAAACAAACACTCTTTCGAAAAAACCTAACCTCAAAATGTCAAAGTGTGCTATAAAAACATTAGTCGCCAGAACTATAAAAGGCAACGCGAACGTCAGCAAGTTCGACTCAACAACAACCGACGCAGGAAAAATCCAGAAGTTTTGTAAATAGTAAAATGCCTTTTTAATTAAAACATCTAAAAGTTTTTCCATAACTTTCTTTAAAAAAAGATCCTTGACTGCCATGTATTCAGAGGAACGCTCGGCGTCAAACAATCCTTTTAAAAGTTAAACGTTCTTAGGCGCAGCTATTGTTCTGCACCTTGCAAAAGAATTTACGTGATCGTTGGGCTTCCATAGCTAAGTGCCCCTTATCTATTTCGGGACATTTGAAGACCATTGTGGACAAAACTTTCGAAAGGCCGCTTATTTGCAGTTTATCAATTAATAATTAATTCTTTTGGTGTTAAACCCATTGTAAAACAGTGAGACATTTATCTGCCCGTATATATTGATAATAATATTTGTAACGGATTAAAACCCCCTGATTATCCGTGCCACTAGCGATGTAAATTTAGGACCGCTGTTAGCGACCCTTACGTCAAAACCCTTTTATCTATGAAATGGCTATACTAAAAACTAGAATGTAATGATTTTCTGTTCGATACACCTCGTATGAAGAACTCGCACATATCTAAATTGGACGCCCGGGATATTATATTGCGTGTATCAAATTTAAAGGGCGTTTCTGAACGTGGCGTCGCCTTTCAATATTCCACGACTTCATGTTCTAGGAGCAACAAATTAAAACTCCGCTATAGTGCCAAATTTCTGTCTGTTTCCATTATTCGGGGTAAGTTCTACAGTATCGACAAATTTAAACGCTTATAAAGGCTGCATTCTAGTTATAGTATTAAAAATTATTCACAAACTCCAGGGTAACGGCGACAGAGTCGGTACTGGAAATATCGACACACTTGTTGTCCCTAAATATCATTTGGTTCACATCAAATGACCTCATATAATGGCAGAAACCCTCAGAATTAGATATACCTATATATACTTGGACCAGAAATATAGTGCTTTTACAACCGACCCCGTGATTAACTTTGCCTGCTGTTTATTACTTCAAAACAGCAGCTCCTTATAGAACACGCTGCTCAGCAGGCCCTTACCTGTAACCATTCCAGGACCGTCCTAGGAATTTATCTACAAGCGGGATATACATACACTGATATAGGTATGTTTGTAATCTTTTTCGCAATGATCAAAACAATGCACAATAAAGTTCTCTATTTTCAAATATAAATTTACGAGTTCCATTTTTAAATCTAAGGCTATTGTACAATGTAGGTCCCAAATATTGAAAAATATTTTTATAATATTTAATTATCTAATAATATTATATTTAATAATATTTTTTTATATATGCATCGATACCTGTACTTGTCTATTCATTATTGTTCTAGTGGTATACAGACTTTATTCTGATAAATAGAACAACAAACCATATAAATGTATAACGATCGAACATCACAAACCTTTTCCCTATAGAGACGATTTGTTGGACATAAGTGATGTTTGTTGTAAATCACTTTAAGGATTCTATTCTGAACCTCATTCAGTGGTCTCAACGCAGTACTGTACAGCTCCAAATTTCTAGGTCTGCGGTTAAGGTACTGTACTTAAAATAACACTTAAAACGTCAAAGCAATAAATGAACTATATTTTTGGTCGCACTATACCAACATTTTCTTAAGACTGTTTCACTTAATTATTATTTTATCAACTTAAAATAACACATAAAACGTCAACGCAAAACATGCATTAAATTTTTGGTGGCACTATAACAACATTTTCTTAAGACTGTTTCACTTGATAATTATTTTATCCAAATTTCTAGGTCTGCGGTTAAGGTACTGTAAAATACTAAAAACGTCAAAGCAATAAATGCACTATATTTCTGGTGGTATTAGATAATGCGGTAGCCGCAGTGCGGTAAAAATTGATATCCTAAAAATGCTACATCTAAACAGAAACCTATCGAATTGAGGAATCGTCAGCATCCACGTTGATTGTTACAAACGACATTTAAAATGTCAAATGTTTCAATATTTTTCATCGTCACTTCCCGTATTATCAATATAGCTCTATATATTAGTACATTTAAAACTGCCCACGGTTTCCTGTAAATTAATCGAATTAATTTCAATATTTTTCTGACGTCCAGGTGGCGTAGAAACATGGCCGGCAACCCGTCCAGCATCGACGACGACATCGAGGACGTATTCGGCGACAAAGAGTTGGCGAACAGCTCCACGCACAGCGACGACGACTACTACGGCTATTACTATTCTACGGAATTCTACGTCACCATCGTCGACGTCATCTTGAAATGCGCGGTGTACCTCGTCGCCATGGCGATCAACGGTATCCTGATTTACGTATTCTGCAAATTCAAAGCGCTCCGGACGAGATTAAACTCGTACATCCTCAGCTACACCGTACTCAATACGATATCTTTCGGATGCGTGCCTCTGTTTCTCATCATCCACTTAGTCGTCGAATTCTTGGGCCTCGATTTCAATGCCTCGTGGTGCTTGGCCAACGGAATGCAAACCACTTGCCTCGTTCTGTGCTTCGTAACCGACCTGATGCTCGTGCTCGACTATACTCTGGTCAAGTTCGATGTGAGTTTGGTTAGGAAGCGCGCCTTCGTTTACGAGCACACGAAAGAGATCGTTTACGTCACGGGGCTCGCGCAATTTGTTGTCACAAACGCGTTTTGTTTCGCGGGCGGCGTGTCGCTGCACTCGTACAACGCCGCAGCTTCCAAATGGGCGTACGTGATCGTTTTGTGTTGCATATTGACGTTGGACGCCGTGAACAAGTGCCAGCCGAGCGTCGGGCTCGATAAAAACCGACACGCGCTTGTCGTGGGCAACGTAATAGTGCTGTTTTTCCTACCTCAATACGTTCACGACTCCATTTACAGGTTTTTAGTGTGGGATTGGTACGTTTATAGTCTGATGATGTACACGGCGTTCATTCCGCAGTACATGGTGTTGGGCCATCAAATCGCCGTAATCGTAGCGCTGGGCATGACGAACAAGAACTTCAAAATCGCGTTCTACAAGACGTTCAAGAAACGGACGAGGGACTACGACGAAGAGTTCGAAGAAACATCGGAAGATGGATCGGTAGCCGATGTAGCGGCAGATCAACGCGTAGACGATACCGCCATCGTTGAAACGGCAACCGTGTATTAGTTATCGACATATGGCTACTAGACATATAGAGGCCCTGCCTGCGTAATTTTTCTTTGAGAACGCCCATGCGCAAGCGCGAAATTTGAAATTTCGTTTTTAACCAATGAGTATGATCACGTGAAGTGGACCCCCATTTACCACTTGATCATAATAAATTAATCTATATATATTTTTTATAAAAAAAAAGATATTAAAAACATTTTCATTATAATTTTCTTTTTGTTAAAATGAAAATTTTAAAAAATTGTTTAGGGGATCAATTTTCCATCATAAGCACTTATAAAAAATATATTTAGATTAAAGTTTTATGATCAAACTCTAATGACAAATTCTGATCTTGGACCCATAAGGCCTTGCGGCTGCCAACAAACAACATGGCCGCTGACAGACCGCCGATGTTTGGATGCGGCGCTTTTGCGGCAGTATTTTTCTCAAAATATGTCTAAATCCTTTTAAATTTTCTTGCGAAAAAGGAGGTAAGGTCTGGAAAAGCAATGCAGAGTGGTTTTTGTCCTTCGAAGCGTTAGTTTTCATAAACTCGTAGGTTTAATCTCCATGGAAATAACTAGGTATTTCTTATGCTTGTTCTAGTAAAAATTCAAGTTGTAGCTTAATTGCTTTCTTATATATATATATAACATCCTTCGTAGTAAGTATACCTAAATATTTGTGTGTTTATTTTCCAGTTTGTTAAATGTCAAAAATAGAGGCGTCACTGTCTTTCTAATATCCCATTAGGTCCTCATATTTCGGCGTTGCCAATTATGTTCGGATTTCAGAAAGAGATTTTTACCGTAGCAGGGCCACTATATTATCTTATAGCTTATATGGTTAGATGTAGTTGGCCGATAGACAGATTAGCGGGACATCTAACATTTTAGACCACTTTCTTGTCGATGCATTTGGTACACTTTCACACACATTATCCATAATAATTAAACCAGTTTCGGCAGCAGTTTTTCAAAAATACGACTATGTTTTGTAGTGCAATCTGCTATAATTAAGGTATAATACTGGCAGGCAAATGAGTGGGTTTTGCCATTCCTACTATATTAGTGGAAACAAGAATCGCAAATGGTACCCATTATGGTTTGTTGTTTAACCTATTAAAAAGTTCTTCCATATTGGGAATATACGCAGCTACTCTTTCACTAGCACCCTGAGTTCTACCATAAGTTTCCTGCACACGATCTTCAGCATAATGAGAATTGATAATCTTTTAATAACAAGCTCATCCCAGTCACCAAAATCTACTAGGGGTGTTATTGAACCAAACAAATCCTAGACCCATCTCTATTTGTCCCAGTAAAGTAAATATTCCACTTGCGTGGTGCTATAAGTTTTGAAAAACTGAATTGTAACCTTGACTAGTCAGGCAAGACAGGTGTGGAAGTAGCAGCAGCATCTATAGTCACAGAGAACCTAACCTTCTTATCAAGTTCAAAAGAATTCGTCGCAAAGACCTTCCGCCTAATTACTTATCAGAATGAATAGTCTGTGCTTTGCGGACCTTGGTCGCGAATACACTATGAAAAAATATCGCCGGCGACGCTGACGAACGTCGCGGCCTGTTCGTTTTGTCGCCGTTTGATGTTCCGGTTTACGGCGGAAAATCGTATATGCAAAAGACAGAAGGCGAAAACAGTTTTTGTGAAAAAACGGACGCTTTTGAAGTCCGCGGTCCCTACGTGCGGAGCCGGTCGTTTCTCTTTATTAAAAAGACGGCAAGTCAATCGAAGAGACGCAGCTTGCTTTTATACAAGCGTTTCGCACAGAGCTTCGCTTTATACGTCATGACTATTGCCCCGAAACGCCAGACTGTTTACGTTCGGGCAGCCAATCGGCTTTCGCGAATTATGCGCGTCAAAAGCAACTTACGTTTTTTGTGTTCACCGTCGCACATAATACTCTACCAGGCCATCTTCGACCTGAAACAAACGTAGAACATTTTACTTTTTAAGTGATGAGAGATGATTTTTTTAAGAATACTTTGAAAAAAGAAACCGCTTAAAATTCATTAACCATACGCAGATTCTTCGTCCCGTGCTGGAAAATCCGTTGCTCGGGCTGTGATAGATACTAAATCCTATTATAATATTATTAATATATTTTGGTCAAGTCGGCTTGATGACTTCGGGCTACCTCTATAAAAAGAAGAGGAGCACGGAAGATAAAATAAATCAGCTGCGATAAAACCAAAATCCATTTTCTGTGACTTTCTCAATACCATTGTCAAAATAATTGTATTAAAATGGCATGGTCTAAGTGTAAGGTATTGCTGGTCTCTAGGGGGCACAGTCGGAAGTTTTGGTTATGTCTGAAATACCGATAAGTGAAGTATCCCCCAGAGCATTGCAAAAAATTATGTCAACCATACGTTAGTAACAAAAAAGACGACTGAGACATCTTAGAAACTTGGTTCTGAATCTAAAGACAGTGGAGGAGAATAGCTTTTTTTTATTTCGGTTTCAGCATTGGCATCAACTTATCACATGGTAAACAAGGAATGATGAATTTATATTAGTTACGCCCAAAAATGGTTCGGTTTTGGAGACTTTTTAACGAAACTTGGCAGTCATTTTTGACAAGTTTTTTGTGAAATTATAAGCTAGTAACAATAAAATATAAATTTGTAATGAGATGAATCATCAAACTGAGGGGACTACTTAAAGCCTATATCGTGAAGCATTTCGGTATTTAAGACCTACACACCTCCAAATCTAATACAAAAATCTGTTATTTATAATATAACTTAATTTGTAAACTTTGGGTTTCTTTCAATTCCCTTATTTTGACAGTGATATGGCGCAAGGCCGAAGTACAGTTATATTACATTTTGAAGCAACAACGAATTTCATATAAGGAGTTTCATTAAATTTTGCAATCTCAAGTGGCTCATTTTTCGTTATATCTTTCGGATATTGCTTCTTATTGCATCTTCTCGAGTTTGACCGTTTCTACAAAAAACGGTACCACAAGCAATATTCTTACCACGATTACTGTCGAAACATAAATTAGACCAATAATAAGTATTTTCTTGTAAAGATTACCAAAGACAAATTAATACAGGCCTCCTCAATATCTCATTATCAAGGTCGCAACACATTACTACGCTGTAAAAGTTTGTCGGCAATGGGTGAATAATCTCAGCGAATTTGTTCGACGTATTAAACAAAAAGCATTAATGAAAAGAAGAAGGACCTAAGCGTCACAGACGGATTGGATTCTGTGGGTAGCAAAGCACAGCACAAAATCTGAGTTTTTCAACGTTTAAGACTTGTTATTGTGTTCGATCTTAGTGAATAGATAGTGTCTTTTAGTGCGGTTTCGCTGCTTTTCCCATTCACGCTCAGGCCGGATTGGCCCGGAAATCTGTGGTGGAAACGAGGTGAGCCTCGTTTTTTATAGTATCGTTAAAAAAAAATTGTCGGCGAGTGTTAGTAAACGGTTTTTCATTGATTAACAGCAATCTTTAACTTTATTTGTATTAAAGTTTAAACATTGGGCAACTTGTTAACCCTGCACGTACTAATGTTGAACTATAGTAGTAACTGGCCGAATGAACTTTGCAATTGTGGCCGATGGAAGTAAAGAAGAAGAAGGACTGTCACAGATTACTTATTAGTATTCCGTGTTGCCGGTAAATTCTTGTTTACTTACTCAGACGAATATTTTGTTATTTGTGGCGGATTGTATAGAACTCCGAAGTGCGATTTCCTCTAGCCGGACGTAAGCAAGAATTCGTTAACGAGAAAACTTGAAGCGCCGGGAAGGAGGCGTAACACGGATACGTCGAAGTATCTCCGAATTTCGAGTTTGGGTTACGATATTACCGGCCGTTTTAATTGCCAAACTTTGCGAGCCCTGCCGAAACCAAAGGACGTGCCCCGCGTGCGCCCCGTATTTCATCAAATGACGTTAAATACGTGGAAAAAAAGCGTACGTGACGACGCCCCCGGGAACGCGGCTTTTAATTGCGAAAATAGATCCGACCAAAACAAATAACGTGTTTTTTTTTCAACGCACGCAAACACATACGAGCCGACGCCCAAACTCACATCCCAGTTCGATTTTTAAATGCCGTCGTGCCCCTTCGACCCTTTTTTGCATGGGGAATTAACCGACCTGGCGGAATTAAATCTGTGCCGGCTGAGATGTTAAGGTAGGGTCAGAATTTGCGAGTGCGGAAAACTAGTCGCGGAGGGATTTTTTAACCTCACTTTTGAGCGTGCTAACGTATACAAAATAGACAATGCCATTATGGAATCGTCAAATTAGAACTGATTGAAACAATGATGTGCTTTTATACATACCGATAGTGGTATTAACATAAAGTTTTCACTGTTCGAGAGGAATTTTCTGCGTTATTCGATATTTCGTTCGAAAATGGCGACGGCATCCGGGTCCAAGTTTTAACCGAATCAGCTCGGTAAAAGGGTTCGCTGCATAAATATCGCAAAGTGAGTTTAAAGTCTACCGCGTGGCGAGGTAATTCGATAAATGTGAAAAATTTCTGGTACAAATACGCCACTATTCGATTAGGGATTTAACTAGTTGCGAGACTGAATTCGTCAGGCACGGTTAGCGAATTAATGTGAAAGTTTTCGGCTTGTGCGAAATTTAAAACTAACGTTTCGCGTGGCAGAAGCGATGATAATGGAGAGAGAGAGAGAGAGAGAGAGATGGAAAGGGAGAAAGAGTGAATTGACCAAATCGCGGAACTATACAGTGTGTCCAAGATAAGGATGCACAGCATGGGGATCTCGGAAACTATAAGAGATACAGTGTCGGTTAAATTAGACAAAAGTTGCGCATTTTGATACCGAACAAGATCCCGTTTTACAAATTTGAAAATTCCAAGCCGTTCCGGAAATATCCGAGAAAAACCGAAATATTGCGATTTCGTTTTTATTATTTTTTAAAGCTATTTGAAAAGATATGAAAAAACGGAAAACACTTTTCCATTGGCACTTTTTAATCTCTCCAAATTGACGTTAACAAATTTTCATTACAGCGTTTCGATTCCATGGAACCACCATCAACTTTGATTTTTCTTATGGGACGGAAAAAAAGTACACACAGTATTAGGTTGTGCTTTTCATTGCGAATTCAACGATGTACGATACAATACGGTTACTTATGTTTTTATCCAGAAAAATGGCTTTTTAATACATTTCTAGTATTTTATTGTAGTAGGCCATGAGATCCGAACGATGAAAGGCAAAAGAAAATGGTTGACAAGTTCGAGTTAATGTGTTTATTTATTTACTAACTCTAACTGTTCATTTAACATAACAACTAAATCCAACAAGTTAATGAAAAACAAATTCTATAACAAATGTTCGAATAAATGACCTCCATTTTCTAGGCATAAGTACGCCCGTCTCACGGTAGACTCCAAAACACGACTTAACATTTCAGGAGTAATTTTATTAAACGCTGCTCGTACTGATTGACGTAATTGTTCCTCGTTGTCAAAACATTCTTTGAATACTTCATTTTTTATGTAGCCCCATAAGAAAAAGTCCAAGGGAGTTAAGTCCGGCGACCTTGGAGGCCAAGGTGCCACTGTAAGTCCCAATGTATTTTCCATCAAACCGTTCAGTTAAATATTGGCGAACTTCTCTGGAGTTATGGGCTGGGGCACCATCTTGTTGGAACCAGCAGCCTTGCACAGCGCCTAGCGGTAAATCATCTAAGGCATCTTCTAAATCGTGCCTCAAGATGTCAAGGTACCGCTCGGAAGTTAAGGAATTATTATAGAAAATAGGGCCTATAATCTTGCTACCAAAAATCCCACACCAAATATAAAACCCAAAGCGAACTTGATGTCTGGATAGTCTATTAACACGTGGATTTTGTTGCGACCAATAGTGTGTATTGCGCCTGTTATAAATACCGTTATTGGTCACCATACTTTCATCAGACCAAATCACTTTATATGGAAAATTAAAACTCACATCACACATCCTGGTATACCACTCACAAAAATGTCTACGTCGTTCGTCGTCACCCGGTTTTAATCCTTGACATATTCTGAATTTGTAAGGCTTAAATTCATTTTTCCTTAAAATAAACTGAGCTGTAGATTTAGCTACCCCATTCTGGTCTTCAATTTCTCTGGTAGAAGTTTGTGGATTTTCGATAACAGATTGTAGAACAATGTATTGGTTTTCTTCATTGGAAGGTTTTTGTCGGGATAATGCAGGCTTCTTAAATGATCCATATTCTTTCAGATTAAATAACAAACGCCGAAAAATATCTTGTCAGGTTGTCTCCGCTCTGGGTATTTGTTAGAATACATACGCTCGGCTTCCACACAATTTCTTTGGCATCAGATGTAGCAAGACAGCATATCACATTTTTCTTCGTTTGTAAAATTACCTCCCTCCATTGTAGAACAAAATAAATTAGAAAAAGACAACAACAATAAAAATACAAAAACAATAACTAAAGGAATAAACTTATGATCGACTGATAACCAAGACAAATAACATTAATGTGTCATTGAAATTGACTGGATGTCATTTTGTCATGGCCTACTCCATTTAAATACTAGAAATGTATTAAAAAGCCATTTTTCTGGATAAAAACATAAGTAACCGTATTGTATCGTACATCGTTGAATTCGCAATGAAAAGCACAACCTAATACTGTGTGTACTTTTTTTCCGTCCCATAAGAAAAATCAAAGTTGATGGTGGTTCCATGGAATCGAAACGCTGTAATGAAAATTTGTTAACGTCAATTTGGAGAGATTAAAAAGTGCCAATGGAAAAGTGTTTTCCGTTTTTTCATATCTTTTCAAATAGCTTTGAAAAATAATAAAAACGAAATCGCAATATTTCGGTTTTTCTCGGATATTTCCGGAACGGCTTGGAATTTTCAAATTTGTAAAACGGGATCTTGTTCGGTATCAAAATGCGCAACTTTTGTCTAATTTAACCGACACTGTATCTCTTATAGTTTCCGAGATCCCCATGCTGTGCATCCTTATCTTGGACACACTGTATAGTGTGTCTAGTATAAGATTATGTATAAGGTTGGCCGTTTATCTTCGGCACTCCATACCTATGATTTTTTCCATTTATTATCTAAACGTGGAGGCACAACACAAAATAAAAAAAGTGGTATTGAGTGGACCTTTTTTGTAATTCTAACCTGACGCTTTTACCAAATGTGACATTTGATAAAGACATGGTGTTGTCGAAACAACTGTCACGTCATAATATATAATTTCGTGAAAATCTGAACTTTTAGTTCTTATTTATTTAGATTTTTTTCCATGGTGAGCGACAACACAAAATAGGAAAAAAAGTGGTATTGCGTAGACTTTTTTGTAATTCTTGCCTGTCGTTTTTATCAAATTCCACCGATTTTGTATCATATTATTATATTTTGACTATTTAAATAGAACTTTTGCACACTTATACAATCATAAAATTTTTTGTTCGGTTTCTAATATTTTCACTTTGTCTGTTTGTAAAACTCCGCGTTTCTGCCATTTGTTTGCACACGGTCGGGCCCTTTTCGAGTCGACATCTTTCAATTTACCCGGGCGACGGGACCAATCGACCTTATCGAATTAAAATCTACCCCCCGGGGCCCCCACGGGTCGGGCAAATATAAAAATTGGGAAAATATTTGCCCCGCATAGTCGTGCGACGCTAACGTTTACGCAATAAAGCTGAGCTTTTGTATCTATAACAATAATGGCGTTTTCCTACGGTCCTTCGTCCCGGCCAGACACTTGACGTTCTATTTGTTTACCGGGGGTCGCGCATAAGCGCCATTGTTTTCGATTCCGGAGCACCGGGTCCCGGAATCGCCCGGAGCGCGACCCTTAAAAACGAATCGCACTCGGGGAAATTTGATTCTCTGGGCCCCGTAGACACAAATTTTCCGAGAACGATACGACCGATTATATTGGCGGATTTTTGTTCTTCTTTCGTTGGACACTTAATAATAGTTTTTAGGGTTCGGAGGTTTTAATTAAAAAATTAAACTGGTATATAGACAGGAATACGCAATGGTATAGTCCTTTCGCAGATAAATGGGTAAAGATCAAGATGTAGATAGTTTCATTAATTAATTAATAGTATAATTTAATAATAATAATAATAATAATAATAATAATAATAATAATAATAATAATAATAATAATAATAATAATAATAATAATAATCTACTAGCTATCTCCTTCAGTTCGATAAGTAATTTATTATAAATTTTTACAGTCAAAACAAAAGGACTATTTGATGTAAAAGACAGTTGATACAAAGTACGAGGTTAGCGCCAAAATTTCCTTGCCTGACATAGATGCTGCTCCAGCATCACGATAAAACTTTGTCTTTTAAATATATATCTTATACATATCGAAAAAACAATGGAGTGGCATCGTAAGGGTGAAGCACCTCCAAGAAAATTCAGAGGTTGCCAGTCAACAAAAAAGGTGATGGCCACGATCTTTTGGGATTGTGAAGGAATTCTTTAGATAGATTTTAAAGAAACTAGTACCACTGTCAACGGTAGATATTACGCAACATTATTACATAAATTGCGAGACTGCATACGTGTAAAACGTCGAGGAAAACTGACCAGGGGCGTGCGTCTTTTGCACGATAATGCACCTGTCCATACTGCTGATGTTGCACGAGCTGCCATTTTTAAGTGCGGGTTCCAGCAGACAGATCATCCTCCCTATAGTCCAGATATGGCCCTCAGCGACTATTATTTGTTTGGATATTTGAAAAAGGACTTACGTGGACGGCGGTTTAAGTTGAGTTAAAAGAGGCTGTTTTAGCTCATTTTGCGACAAACCAAAATATATATTTTTAAAGGGATTGAGTTGTTAATAAAGAGATGTAAAAATAATAAAAAATTGTTGCTCTACTTTGTTTCTTTCATATTCAGGCCTGGAAATTTTGGCGCTGCCCTCGTATATCTTATAATAAATTAATCTCAATGACGACTTTGATAGTGAAACAGAATTAGATTTAGATGTGTATTAATTAATTATTAAATATTACTAGATATTATATTTGATGTCATTGTTTTTTCTTAGTGTAATTTAAAACCGTTGAGTTCGTCCCAAATGTTCTGTCCTTTAATTTCCATAATTGCGGCCAAAAGCCACCATTAAATGGGTAATGAAAAGGTCAGGAATACCAGTGGCGATCTACTTTATGTTTTCCAACACACATACAAAGTTATGGGAAAAAAATGATTGTTCAGGATCAGCTCAAAGGTTGATGGGTTATTTTTTTTACTTTAAAGCGCCCTGTTCTCGCCTCACAGCAACTGAAAATAAATTCCTAAGGCTTTTGTGTCCTTCCCAGTTTCTTGCATTTTTATTTTTCTGACCTTTTTTTTATAGCTCTAACGACATCAGCGGACCACGGAGATCATTTTTTTGTATTGGAACATTCCAATCAAATAATATATTGATATTTTCACATGTAAACTCGCATCGACAACGTTATCAGCCATCTTTGTTTATGCGAAATGGCCCTTTTTCATTTTGGTGCCGGATTGTTTTGCGATAAAGGGACCAATATTCCCCCCAAAGGAGAAACGATTGGGAAATATGGCGTTTTTGTTCGGTCATATGAAAATCGTCAAATAGTATTTTTTCCCCATATAGGTATTTCCGGAAACGAACACACGGCTGACGAAAAAATCCAATCTCTACACATATGTAATTCCACCGATATAGATTAGGATTTTCTGTTTGTGCGCGAAAGCGATAAATACGAACGAAATTCCTATCGCGACTGTTTGATGGATGGCTGTACCGGTTTTAATTGCACGTTCCAGTGGCGTAGCGCGACAATGTCATCGACACACAATAATAACATAAAATCTCGCCTAATACGGATCTGTTTTGTTTGACGATTACGGGAAGATGACAAGAGTCTGTGCCTAAGACACGAGCATAACATTTTTTATTTGTCAAAGACACCCACGTCTTAAAATCATACCGGGTGATAAAGGTAATTCTATTTCTTCGTTTTTTATTAATGGGCATATCTGGAATATAATTTCGGCTGTTGTTAAAAAATATTTGTCTTTGTCACTAAATAGTGTGGAGTTAGTAATTACTTCCTTGACTTGTCTTTGATATAACTCGCTAGCATCGTGTTTGATACATTGAAAAAGTTCTGGTTTAAGAAAATGGTAGGTTTTTGAATCATATTCTGGGAGATCGATAGCTATGACTGTCTTCCCTTTATCTGCACGTGTAGATATTATGTTATTTTCAGAAGCTTTGTTTTTGATAGTTATAACTAGTGACATTTGAGAAATTTCTTTATGTTTGTTGTTATCTACTAGTTGGGGGTTTATTATATTCGTATTAGCAACCTCAACGCTGTAATCAGCGAATCGGAGAAACTAAATCTTTGAGATGCCTTCTCAATCAGTAAGGTCAAACGCCAGTGTATATAACACCAACTTGACGTTGCTTGTTCAGCGAGTCACAGACCTACGAAGACAGGATTATTTAATAAATTGCACAAGATCGAAACAAGGAACTGGACGACAATCACCGTACGCCACTGGTGGCGACGCAATCGATTTTCATTAAATACCAGTCGATTTCGACGAGGTTATTATGACAATCGAAAGATAATTCTTATTAATAACACAGGGATGCTGTGCAAATAACAGAGCCCGAGGGCGAATTAGCCGAAATTATGCAGCCTCGTTCGTCTCGACTACAAATTTGTAATTTTCCAAACTCCGTGCCGTTAATAATAACCAGACTGCAACTGCCTGTAATAAAATATTAGACCGTTGTGCACACGTGCATCGGCGTTTTGTTGGTTGCTCGCCGCGAGGGGCGACATAAAGTTTGTGCCGGGGAAATTATTCAATTGTGTCGGACAGATTCAAATTATTCGTCAAAAGCTGGCGAGCTTCCGCTGGGAAACACAGAAAACAATGACTGCAGAGACACGATCTGTTATTGTCACACAAGGGGGCGATTTTTGGGCGTATTTTAAAAAGAAAACTCCAAATGAACGTATGTCTTTAACTTTCGATGTACAGGGCGGTAAAATTTTAATATCTGTAATAACACTTTAGATATTTATACTATCCATGTACAATCATTTCTAAAGAATTTTAATTTCTTGAGATTTTTTTTTTAAAACCTCTTCTCTCCATGCCCATAACAATATCTTTAATATAACAGTGCCACGGACTAGAAAAAAATGAAGAGATCAAATCTGAATGCATAAATGAATGCAAATGTCATTTTTTTTGTGTGAAAAATAATATATATAATATTATATATATAAAAGTGTAAGACACAATCTTGCTCCCACCTGCTCCATTTCATAAAAATAATTTTTAAAGAACTTACCGGGTGGGCAAAAAAAAACCGGAGAAAAATGTTTTTCGTTATAAGTTTTGACCTATTAATATATAAATTTGTTTTTTTTTTATAGAATGATATTCCAATGGCAAAATTCTTAGACCAGGAAACGTGAACAATCCAGGGTTACATCCTCTTTTTCCGGCATTTTTTCAACTACGTACAGGGTGCGTCGATTGTGGCCAAAAAATCAGACCCTGAAAATTGCCGTGTTCGTGGGTAATTTATCATCCGTTAATGAAAAACTATAAAACTTGGGAAAAAGAAATAGGTAAATCCGCCAAGATAAAAAGCTCGAATTTATTTTGATGTTCATAAAATTGCCGCTAGGGGACGTAACCTCTACTGTAAAATAGAAAAAACGGGGTTTCTCAAAAATATTCCAAATTCACCTGTATCAAAATTAGTTTTAGTGTAATCTACTCTAGATAAGGAAGCTTTTTTATTTCAACTATTTTCTTCCATCTCGTCAAATTAAGGGTGGGGAAAGAGCCAAATATTGGTTTAGAAAAAGTTGAATAACTTTTTTTTGCTTAATCCGATTTCGACGAACTTAGTTTAGTTTTAAAGAGGAGCTTCGACTGACACGTCAATATCGTGATATTAATTCTTTTACGAGTCGGTAGGATGCGCTTAAAGTCAAAAACAGCTATTTTTAAGATTGTCTCGAAAATTTTAGATATAATGGTGTAAATATTTTTAGGTAGGATAAAAGAGCGCAAAAAACACAGTTAGTAGAGGAAACAGCATGGCAATATCTTTTTTCCCCTTTGAGATATAAATAAAAATGTGTTTACTAAATATATTTCTCAACCGTGGGATGCTTATATTTTCTTCTAGAATTAAGTTTGATTGTGCCCTAATTATCGTCAATAATCAATAATAGTTAAAAAACTAATCGTCAATATAATTTATATTAATATATTACATGTATTGTTAATATTGGAGAAAAGGGGAAAATAACTAAGTAGCCTTAGCGGTTGCCATGGTAACGGCACGATGAAGAAAACAAAACAAAAGAATCAGCTTACTTTTTTTTTAATGCACGTTACATCGAAATCGCTTTACTTTAAATTATCATCCAGTCGTAATATGTCATCTCTTGGTCATCTCTAATACGGCTTCTATTATACCGACGTAAAAAAGTATTTTTAAATTATTTTTTTATATCTCATTTATTCCACCACTTGCTGTTTTTTTACGCATCCTAGCTAAAAATATTTATACCACTGAATTTCAAATTTTCGAGAAAAAATAATTAATACCGTCGATATCGCATTAGCCAAAAAAAAAGTTATTCAATTTCCTCTAAACCAATATTTGATGGAAAAAATAGTTGAAACGAAACAGTTTCCTTATCTAGAGTAGAATACGTGAGAACTAATTTTGATATAGGTTAATTTGGAATATTTTTGAGTAAACCCGTTTTTTCTATTTGTCAGCGGAGCTTACGCGCCCTAGAGGCCATTTTATGAACTTGAAAATAATTTCCAGCCTTTTCTCTTGGCCGACATACCTATAAATATGTTTTTTCTAAGTTGTAGGACTAACGGTTCCCGAGATATGGTCGACATACCTTATTAACGGGCCACTCGTTACAAATTTTAATATTTAAGTTTGCCGTAACTTTGGAGTTCGGCGGGACGTGAAAGACACTTTGTATAGGGCTGATGCACAATAAAATTACATAGATTACATAGATACAATGCGTCCCTCTAGGACAACAAAACGCTGAACAGCTTCTTTTGTTTTGGGCTCACGATTATCTTAATAGCGAAGAGATGGCGCTGTGGTCAATGCCGGTTAGAGACCCGGTTCGCTGTTTTAAATATTTTTTACCCTTGACGCTTGGCCAGTCGACTAGGGGCATTCGGCCACTGCCGTTGGCACTGACCGCAGGGTGCGTTGTTTTCCTTTGAAAACCCGGCTATCTCGTCGATAATCTCGACAAAGCCTACAAACAAACACACTTAAAAAGCTTTATCTCGACGAACCGTGAAGTGTTTACGGGTCCTCTATAAAAACAAAGCCCTCGGCTATCGTAACCGACTGCACCGCGAAACAACATGTTTGTCTCTGTCGTCGCCGTTCTAGTGCTGCTAAACGCCGTTAGGTCGGATCCATGCAACCCGAGGGAAGCGAGTTTCGGTACCGTTTGCGTTTGCGACTCGTCGTACTGCGACACAGTACCGGAAATCGAAAATTTGTCGTCCGCACAGTACCAAATATACACGACCAGCAAGGGACAGCTCGGATTCACTTCGAAAGTCGGGCCTACAGGCTCCAGAAGCTCCAATGCGTCGAATAAAGTCTCCGTGCCTGATTTGGGCAAGACTTATCAGTCGGTGCTGGGTTTCGGTGGTGCTTTCACCGATTCCACGGGATACAATATCCTGTCGCTGCCCGAGCAAGCGCAGGAGAAGCTATTACGAAGCTATTGGGGTGACGAGGGCATATCTTATAGTATTGGTAGAGTGCCAATCAGCGGTACGGATTTCTCGCTGAGGGGATACACCTATTGCGACGAAAAGGACGAAACGTTGGACTCGTGGGCGTTGCAACCGGAGGATTTCGATTACAAAGTAAGAGCGTAACATAATTCGGTCAAAAATAAGTTACAAAACTTAGTGTGTTATTAATAAGCTATTATCTTCATTCGGGTTTAAAGGCCGTCGTCGATTGGAATTACTTCCTAACGTTTCGCTAGCACGAGTGGCGAGCTTCTTCAGAGGTCCTTCCATCTCCGATGTTGGACGTCGACTGACGATTTCTCCTGCGCAGGTTGCATTTACGCCGATTGGTGGAGGGCGGGGCTTGTTCCGCTTCGGTTGGTCTCGGGATATCGATCGGTACTGCTCGGGCGTTCCTAAGGCATAAATACAACCTGCGCAGGAGAAATCGTCAGTCTACGTCCAACATCGGAGATGGAAGGACCTCTGAAGAAGCTCGCCACTCGTGCTAGCGAAACGTTAGGAAGTAATTCCAATCGACGACGGCCTTTAAACCCGAATGAAGATAAAAGCTTATCAACGGGCCGCGAAAGCCTTAACCAATTTATGTGTTATTAATGTTTATAAGAAAGTTAAATGTTAAATATGGAATTTCACATGTCTATTTTGAGACATTGATGGTACGCCACTGATTTCTATTAAAACAAAAAGTATTATTACAATCTCCAATCGTTCCTAAAGAAATTTTGTTTCTTGCCGATGTGCGGTTTTCGAATAAAAAAATAAAAATCTCTTCTCTGCATGTTTAAACACCACCCCGGACGATTCTCAACTTTGACATCGTCCTATCAAAAAACGAAAAATCAAATTGATTATATCTTAATAAGCGGTAGATGGCGGTCCTCTATTACCAATGTTAAAACAAGACCTGGCATGGAATGTGGATCAGAACATAAATTCTTAGTGGCAAGCTTCCATCGCAAACTAAGGGCAGTGAAATTAAACAAGACGACAAGGTGTCCAATACCCCCTTCTGAGAAAATAATGACAGCACTGAGCTCTGTTGAAATGCCTAGACAAAAAGCCAGGATATGAGAAAGCTGGAGAGTTCGTATCACCATCTTTCTGAAAACTAGTAGAACATAGAAACTAGATAAGTTGTTTAAAGTGTCCTCCACCTGGAAGGACACACGACATGACTCTATTATGTACTTCGTATTTATACTTTGATTTCTTCAAGCATTTTAATAAAACGTATAGACGATTGCTTAACGACAGCATTTAATTTTTTTTAAGAGAAAACCGTACATCGAAATAAACAAAACCAAGTAATTAAAGTTCTTTAGAGATTATAAGAATAATTTCAATTTTAAGAGAAATCAGTTGCGTATCATCAATGTCTGCCAAAATAGACATGTGTATTATATATGAATATAATTGTTAATAGCGTTCTCGAAAGTATGGGCGACGATCATTTATTTTGTTGGTCTGTGACGACAATCAAACGCCACGATTTAACGTATTAACGTATAAAATAAAAAAAAGAAAAATGCTACTTGGGCAGGGAGGGACCTCTACCGTGTACCAGGGGAATCAACGTTGATTTTAGATTTTAGACAGAGTTTCGTTATCGGCTCCTTAATTAAATAATTTACCAGATTTAATTAAAGAAACATCACAACTCTCTTTTCTCTTTAGGCGAAACTGATCGCTGTTTTCATTTTCATTTCAGATAGCGTTCGTGAAGAAGGCAGGGGAGCTCAGGGGCAGACCTCTTACTCTTTTTGCCACTTCTTGGTCAGCCCCGATATGGATGAAATCCAACAACAAGTGAGACCTCTCCCGTAGCCATAAGTGATAGATAGATAAGAGAATTTTTAGTAAATGTCGAATTTTGAAATATCCCAATATCCGTTAGAGTATATAGTATAATGCGACCAAAAATATAATGCATTTATCGCTTTGACCGCAGGACCGTGGTAAAACCCATCCTAACAAATGCTTATTCTGCGTTAAGTAGGTCTTCCTTGAGACCGTAACGAATATTTGTAGAAACCTGAAATTTTTATTTGAAACGCAAATGGACCGTCTTAAATTTTAAAAAGCATTGATGCGGCGGGAAATTTTTGAATAAGTAGAAGCACTTATTTTAACATCGGGTGATATGTATCCTTCTTAAGTGTTTAATCTAAATTGCAATATGTTCGTATATATTACGTAGGTATTTGACTGTGATCCTTCCAGTAAGTAAGTATTTATGTACCTGATTCTCGAGCTTTGACCTTGCGATGCTGTTTTCACTGGATAGTTCAAAGGGTGAGGGTAAGTACCTGTAGTCTATTTATCTGACAGGTAAGTTTGCAAATAATCATTTTTGTCTTGTGTGCCTGTCGATTAACAACATTTTTCTTCTATTTATTAGAATCTTACAATTAAACATGTTGAAGGTTCCTGTTTTTTAACACTTTAAAATGTGGAGACTGTGGAATGAAACAGATTTGACTTCGGATGCTAAACAAATTGTTTTGAATGTGTACATTTTTTAATTTACATAATTTTAATTTTATCAGAAATTCAGAAGCAGCAATAAAAACAACTGACGCGACCACAGTTCCGAAGTCAACTGTAAGAAAAATTGCTGCAAAGTTGGTCTTATTCTCAAAAATGAGTAATAAAAGAAAATATTCATTGAGAACGATTAGTGGTGGAGGTGTTCATTGGACTAGGTGACTACAGTAGAGATAGTGACGATTTTTTATGTGACTGATACTTTATTATTATTATTATATTTAATATTTTGTATGTTAATAATGATACTATATAGAAATGTAATGAAATATAACGTAATCAACTGTTATTTTTTACTAATTTTTATGCACATGTTTCAAGAATCGCCCTGCCAAAAAGATAGGCAAAGTTAATCGCGGAGTCGGTTGTAAAAGCACTATATTTCTGGTCGAAGTAAATCTGTGACGGTGGAGGCAGAAATAACGTACATCTACTACTAGAAAACGCTTGCGTTACATAACTTCGATGCAATTTTCTTGTATTTGAACTCAAATCATTTTAAAAGCAACGGATGAAATCAATATCCGTCAAAATGTTTAGACCAAGTCAGCAAGAGGGCCGTGAAATTACCATATACATATCACGTTCGCAGTCTAATCGGAGGGGGACACCTCAAAGACGAATACTACCATCTGTGGGGAGAGTACTATTTGAAATTCTTCCGCGCCTACCAGCAACAGGACGTCACCTTTTGGGGGATGAGCACCCAGAATGAACCAGTGTACGGACTGACCAACGAGACGATTAACAGCATGGGATTCACCCAAGACGAGATGGTAAATATTGCGCTAGTGGTTAGCTAGGTGCTGCACAAATTGCTTTTACTAGTGAGAAATTATTATTTTTCTACTAGAAAACATTTGCTGACGTTTTCTTTTTATGGAATTTAACTAGCTGTAGCTTAATTTTTTTTATTTTTATAATAATAGAGAACTTGAAAGATAAAATACTGTTAGTTATTAAGAAGATCGAAAAAAAAAAATTAAGTTTTGTTCAACAGAGGAAGAGGAAGTAATTGAGAATGCGAATTTACCAAACTGCACCTTCAAAGAAAGTTTCAGAGAATACAAAAGTGGTACTTATATTCAGAAAATTCGTAAAATTAAACGGAAGTTTTTCAAAATGAAGATTGCCAATGCCGAAAAGACTGCTTGAAAAATTTTAATGAAATAGAGAGAAAACGTATTTTCGAAATGTTTCGGAACATAGGAGAGAGTAATAAGCAAAATCTATTGCTATACGAAACTACCGAACGCAGTGTTGTAAAACGAAGACGTCAGAGAAACGGAAAAGGTTGATGAAGAAATGAGAGTTTTATGTATTGGTTAAATTCTAACAGGAAAAGTTGCTGCTTGTAAAAAACTCTTTTTAGATCCTTTTCACATAAGCGAAGGACGATTGAAACGTCTATTACAATCTAGAAAACGTTGGCAACGATTTACGTGGGCGTTCGCCTGGATCGTCTAGAAAAATATGTGACGAAGTGAATATGATTGTTCACAACCATATTAACACTTTCCCCAAAATTTGAATCCCATTATACTAGGGACCATAATCACGACAGAAAATATCTTCATCCTGAACTGACTATAAATTTTTTTTTAATTTTTATGAGCTTCACCGTGAAGAAAATAATTTAAAAGCAGTTAATGACTTATAGAAAAATATCCAAAAGGATTTTAATCTACTTTTCCACCAACTTACGCAACTTACGCAAGAATGATATTCATTTCAAGCAAGCAGAATCAGCTAGAAATGGATTAAAACAAGAGCAAGACCGAGTATCAAGTGGCTTTTCATTCGGTTTGCAGACAGCGTTATCATTCCCAAAGTTAACTACTTCTGTAGCTTATTATACATGTAACATGTATATTTTAAATTTAGGCATACACAATTTCTACAACGATAACAAAAGCTTCTACAGGGTCCCAAGAAGTAGCTTCATGTCTCTTAAGACACCTAAAAACCCTGAAAGGAGAAAAACACATCATTGCATATAGTGACATGTATGGAGGACAAAACAGAAATATCAAAATAGCTTTAATGCGGTTAAAAATCCTATCGATGGGAATGTCGTTAAAAAGAAATCAGTTATTATTCAGATCAGATCAGTTATTATTAAGATTATTATAATATAATTAAAAAATGTACAAAAAAAACTTTTATACTAAATGAAATGAAACAAGAGGATTTTATATCAATAAGACTCTTGGAAGAAGCAGTTTACAAAATTTTCACGAACTTATATATTTTTAAATGACAATTGTTTCGACAACACCGTGTCTTCATCAAATGTAATATTTACAAACTACCTGCTACTATATATACCGAAAAATGACAATAACACCTTAATTAATGTTGTTGTGAGAATTTAAGTTCAATAAAGGAGAGGTATTTAAATCTAATTGATCGTTAAGCAATTGTTGAGTTCAAAATTATGTAAATTTCTTTTTAATTTTGTGTATCTTAAACATGCCGGACATTTCAGTCAATGTGACAACAGGGCGTTGTACGCCAAACCGGCAAGGTCTACGTTTCTGCTAGACTAGTAACAATTTTGTAGCAATGGGTCGCGACGTCGCCGCAATGTGAGATACAGTCCATTTATAGAAAAGAAAAATTCGATAAACATTAAGTGATTGAGGAAACGTTTGTATTATTGAAGAAACAGCAATACATTTCAATGTCTCATTTTGTTAATTTGCATGGCTTCCAATAAATGTTTTTTTTTTCTGTGTTTAAGTGTGTACCTCTGGACACCTGATTTTTGAGATTTTGGACATTTCGTTTTATTGTTGTTTAAAAATTTTCCTATTGAAAATGAACCTAATGAAAAACATTTTAACAAATGTTTTTCATTAGGTTCTCCTATGTATGTAATTGTTTTTGTCGAATTTATGCAGTTCTACCAATTCAGTAAAATCGTTAAATTTAGGAAACAAAGAGCGAATATTAAAATGACATAATTTTAAATATTATGAAAGTAATATGAGCAGGTTGGACTGTTTGCGCTGTGGTCTGTATTTAAGTTCGTTAGGGCAGACAAAACCAGAACTGCGGCTATCCTTTTTGTAGTGACCAATCTTGAGACATTTAAAACACCTTATGACGCCAGAATGCTCATTAACATTACAATCAGCCTATCCGATGGAGCCATGACATGACGGAAGACCGATGGACGTTAAAAATGATTACTAGTCTTAGAGTCTAATTGTTCCAGAACAAATGGGTGTCTGAATATTTGGGTCCGATGCTGAGGACTTCGGAGTTCTCCGACATCAAAATCATGCTTCACGAGGACAATAGAGGGGAGCTGGTCTATCTGATCAATGTGAGCGTTCCCGCGCGAAACGAATCGTCTACTGTAGAGTGTCAATTTTCAGTCCACCCTCAACAACAGTGACGTCGTCAAGTATGCGGACGGAATCGCGGTCCACTGGTACCAAGACTCTTCCAGTCCCGAGAGTCTGCTGGATGAGGCGAGGAGCGACGAGAAGGACCTGTTCTTGCTGAACACCGAGTCATGCATACGTAACGACGAACCCTGCTAGCGACACCGCGTCACTTTCAGTAACCGTTTTTTTTTGTTTCAGTGAGGCCGAGCGAGCTAGGCAGCTGGGAAAACGGCGAAAGATACGTCAACAGTATAATCACGGTAAGCTACATCGACATAAACAAGATTGCTTTCGAAAAATCGTCGGTGAGCGGTGCAAGTTCGTCGCAAATGGCGCGAATCAGCTTTTTATTTTAAAAAGGAGGCGCTTCGCGGATTCTTGCAGGGACGCAATGTTTTGCTATCGTGCTCCTGCGGACCACTATGGAACTTTCCCAAAATCGATGTAATTTATACACCCTGTATATAGTGTCCTTCACATCTCGTCGAAATAGAGGATATAGCTGTGGATCTCCTTAGTTTCCTGGTATCCGAATTTTTGCAATGGAGTAAATGGTTTTCAAAAAACTACTTGTATTCTGAAAAGATGCAGTACATGGTAGTTGTAAATGACGTCATCGCGTTTAGACTGGGGGCGAGAAATGGTGATTTTTATTTGGATTTTTTCAAATGTCTCGAACAGCGTATGTGACAGACGAAAACCGTAAATACAAAAATAGTAGCCATTGATACGGCCTATAAGACTGTTTAACGGATGTACGAATTTTGATTTACGGTTAATAAGTTACTCCCTAAAAGAACAATTTTCAGGGTCTTTTAGATTCTTGTCCATAACTAAAACACCTTGTAAATAATCGAAAAAATGCGTGAAACAAAAGTTATAGCGCCGGGTCTTCCACGTATTATGGATGAAAAAATTTTCCTATCGGATGAATGGCTTTGGAGGAAAAGACGTTTTTCTGGATGCCAAAATAAGCAAAAAAAAATATAAATAAAAACAAAATACTTCGCGTCATTTTATTGCTCCAAATTTAAAGAGTCTAAATGCGGGTCCAGACTTCTACTTCTCTCCCAAGCCTGAGGTCGGTAGCTGCACATTTGGAGTACTTATTATGTTTTTTAATATTGCACAGAGTATCGCGAACACCCTGTACAATACTTAAAAACCGTAAATACAAAAGCTTAAGCTGTCTATATGGTCTATATCGTCATGTAAAAGAAACTGATATCTAAAACACAGATTTGAAATTATTGCCAATTTTCAATAACAGGGGGACCCATTTTTCAGTTTTTTTTTTAAATTTGCGGTGCATCCGGTGCATTTTTGAAAAATTATCAAGAATAAAAGTTTATGCAGCCAAATCTTCTACGTGTATGCTTTCGAAACAATCGATTTCATCGATTTTTCGCAAGTAACGGGGTGACCTAAATGGAAAAACCATTATTTTTAATTTTCTGTTCATAATCGCGACACCCTATATATTTTGGTTGGGTTATTGTCCCAAATGTCGTGCGTCCTTTGGTTCAAGAGTTTGTTCGATAGTACATGCCGAATTGCAATTCGATAGTTCCAAATTTGGGACACTTACTGTGCCTCATAGTGATTTTAGGAGCAAAAATACTAATAGCTGACAACATGCGCATCTCCTAGTACTAGTATGGAGGAAAATTTGAACTCCGTAACTCCAACCGTTCGAATGTTATCTAGCTTCAAACACGATGGTCCGTTAGGAACAACAGATAACTGAGAATAGACAAAAATTGACAACTTGTAGTAATTCTTGATTCTTGATACAATAGAGCAATTAAGAAAAACAAGATCTACATTAACTAAGGGAAGACATACAAAATCAAAAGATAAAGTGTTTAGTTGCTACAAAGAAGAAAACAAAACAATTGGTTCAAGCCAAGCCAAAATTAAACTGGGATAATTATGAAGGTTGATGAGTGAAAGCTCCCATAAAGGCTGGAAGAAGCCCACCAACCTTACACTTGAAGCTACTTTAAGAGTCACGTACGGACAATTAATTTTCCGAGTTGGAAGTTTTTTGTAAGTTCGAGATCTCTCGGTCTTTTTTACAATTTTTTACAATTACATATTAGTTTGTCAATTTTGAATGTTCAGTTTCATCCAGCTAGTGTTTCATATATTTATAGTTTTGTATACTTGGTTTGGTTTTGGTTCCCCCGAATAGTTTTTTCTTGATGGCGTATTACACACTGAGATCCATGTCATTGCATGCAGTGATTTGGTAATGTCACATTTCTCGACCGATTAGATTTATGAATTGGGTTAAAAAAATTACAAATATGGCTACTGCAAAGGTAAAATATTGTAGTATAAGACCCGCTGATCTATAGTGAATTTCAAAATTTCGTGGTGAGGGCTCTCCAGCTCTTTTGGAATTTCTAAAGGAGTATTAAAAAATCTTAAATCTACGTTGGTTTAACTGACTGCATAACTATCGCCTTTGAGCCGAGTGTCCTTTTCCCACGGGCCCTGGGCTGTAAAAAGTAAAGAAGAAGAAGATATTCTGTATTCTTTGCCTGTTCTTTCGTATATGCAGGATTTGTACCACAACTCGCTGGGTTTCGTGGACTGGAACATGGTGCTGGATCTGGACAGCGGCCCGAGCTGGGCAGGCAGCCATTTTGACTCGCCCGTTATCGTCAACGCGACCGCAGGCGAATTCTACAAGCAGCCGATGTTCTACGCGATTGGACATTTTTCCAAATTCATAGTGCCCGGATCTCTAAGGTTGGAGACCGACGTCAGCGTCGAGGCAGACGTCAGATCTATAGCGTTCCTGAGACCTGACGGCAAAGTGGCCGTTGTTCTCTTCAATAGGTATAGTATAGTTTGTCTCGAAGTATGTCGTTTTGGTTTTTGACGGAAATTGTCGAAATACCCTGCCGACGACAGTAAAACACATGGTCAGTCGATATTGTAGGTGAGATATTTTAAAAATATAGATAAGTACCAGAATTTTTGAATAATCATTGCCCGTTCTTGTTTAATGAATTTTCTACTTATTGAACATTTATACACAATTTCTACAATTTGTTTATCGTCTGTATTGTCCTTTACCTATTCATAAATTATTTGTTGAAAAGTACATCCAGTAGAAATAGGTATGGATCACTTTTCGAGGAAGGTTCCATCAAAAATCAACACGATATACTTCGGGACACACTTTACAGGAGAGACCCGTGAGATTTGAGTTTGTTTTTGTAGCGAAACCGATAATTGTTTTTAGTCTACTGTTTTTTTGAATGAAATACGATTTGTTTGGGTCTCCCTTGTCTCTGGTGGCTTTGGTGGTTCTTTAATCGGCGGTTTTAGGGGTGAGGAGCCGGTGACCTTGGATTTAGAGATCTCGGATAAGCAAGTGTCGGTCGACGTCGAGGCACGCTCCTTGAACACCGTTCTGTATTCCGTTTAGGACAATAAATTTGAGAATGTGCCAAAAATATTGTTTTTTTTTCCATCAAATTACAAAAATCCGGATGAATGTACATCTGCGAAACTGTGAGGCCAAATTTTCAGCAAACTGATTATTTTCTTAAATTTGTATGTCCTGTAGCTTATGTGCTGTTATATATCTTTTTTGTTTAATAATACAGTTTTGGTTAGGAAAAGGAAAAATTTAAAAAATAGCACTATTGATAATATCACTGTTTTTAGACAGTACCTATTTTTTACCTTCTTGGGACATCCGGTATATGAAACATGCTGGCGTGAAATTTACCAAAAAAACTAAAAATGTTAGCAGTTGATCTCTACAAAGTACTAAAAATGTCCACACTCCATTATAAAATAAAAACCTAAATATTTTCATTTAAATCTTCTATTAAAATCATCTATGAATATTTTTGTCAAATATTAGAACGTATGAAACATTCTAGTGCAAGTACAATTTACCGAAACAACTAAAAATGTCAGGCATTAGCAGCTAAATTTTGCTACTCTGAATCATCGATTAACATTTGGACATTTTCTTAAAATACTACAACATATGAAATATTTTAGAAAGTCAACTAAAGGATAATTGTAAAAATGTAAAAAGTCTCAGAATTACCAGATAAATTTAGTAACTATCCGCAGTGCAATTTACCTTAAACAACTAAAAATGTCAAGGATTGAGCTTTGAATTTGCAACTGCTCACTGTCCATTATAAAACAGAAACCTAAATGTATACTCCGTTTAAATCAATTATAAAAATGTGAATGTTTTTGTAAAATATTTGAACGTCTGAGACATTCTAGAGTGTAATTTACCTTAAAAAACGAAAAATACCAAGAATTGAGAGTTGAATTTGCAACTGCTCACTGTCCATTATAAAACAGAAACCTAATTGTATACTCCGTTTAAATCAATTATAAAAATGTGAATGTTTTTGTAAAATATTTGAACGTCTGAGACATTCTAGAGTGCAATTTACCTTAAAAAACGAAAAATACCAAGAATTGAGAGTTGAATTTGCAACTGTTCACTGTCCATTATGAAACGAAAATCTAAATACATGCTTTGTTTGCGTCGTCGACAAAAATATTAATATTTTCGTAAATCATTACAACATATGAGACAATTTACCGAAAAAAAAAATAAAAATGTCGAGAATTGAGCGTTGAATCTGCAACTGTCCACTGTCCATTAAAAAACCTAAACCTAAATGTATACTCTGATTAAATTATTTTTAAAAATATGATTTTTTTGTAAAATATCTGAACATATGGGACATTCTAGAGTGCAATTTACTGAAACAACTGAAAACATCCAGAATTAACAGTTAAATTTCATAACTATCCACTGTCCATTATAAAACGAAAACCTAAATACATGCTTTGTTTGCATCATCGATAAAAATATGAAGATTTTCGTAAAATATTAATACGTATGAGACATTCTAGAGTGCAATTTACCGAAAAAACTAAAAATATCTAGAATTGAGCTTTTAATTTGCAACTGTTCGAGCGACTGATGAAAATATGAATATTTTTGTAAAATATTACAAGCTGCGGGTGTTCTCACATAACCGTCCCTCCAGTGCCTCGACCCAAGATCAAATTAAATCGCCTTGTTGTGTGCGCGCGTGTGTGTCTGCGTGTGCGTTTGATGAACAATTTCTGTAGCCAAACGCGACCGAGAATCGATACAGAGTCTCGACCTCCCCCAAAACCGATGAAGCTTAATAAAAACACTCCCTTCCGCATGTCCGTGGATAATAACCCGCCTTGAAAATTGAAACTCGTTCGACTTGAGAATCGAATTCTCGGCAGAACTTTATCTACGTCTCTACGCGTGCTGAACTATTTACGACGCTTCTTATAGTCTCTTTTTATATCCAAACTAGGCAGAAATAGTGACACGAATTCCATTGTAATCCTTAAGGATTACAATGGATTATAACTAGTCGGTGTCTTCCACGCAGATTCAAATTGTGTATTGATATGTTAAGAGTAATTTTTCTGTAAGAATAAAAAGGTAATTTTGTTTTAAGGATGTTGAAATAAAGGGAACTCATTCGTAATTTGCATCGAAGGTGCATATTAAGCCACCCTGACGCAGCAAAGTACGGGGAGATATGATCTCTCCTCCTTACCCCATAAATTAGCCTTAGACAAGAGTTTTGAATATCTGGAAACTTCCTTGAATTAATCAACAAAATTAAAGATATCAAAATCCCTTCTAACGCAACACTATTGTCTACTATTGATAGATTTAGTAGATTTCACCCCAACTCGGGAACAGGTTAACCCATTGGCGAAACAAGATTTATTGGATTGCTTAATAGTATCTTTAGATCAAAATTATTTTTAATTTATTGGACAGATTTACATCTGTAAGTAAGGTTTGATTATGGGAAACCCACTTAGTCCTTTGTTAGCCGAGATTTTTGTGCCAAAAAAATCGAGTTCTATGCACACTTTAACCAATTTTTTTTAAATTAAACTTTTAAAGTTAATTTTGGACCACCCTGTATTTTTTGCAAGCAGAAATCCACCGACATATTTAGACTTGGAGACGCAGCTTTTCCATAACATACAAAATAGAAACGGGAAGGCTTAGTTATGGGATATTATAAATGAAATATGCCTAGTCAGTTAAGGACATAACCTTTATTCGAAAATTATGAAAAAAATTGATATTTGGAAAAACTATTAACTATTAACAATTTTTTGAAAAACATGGACTGATAAAAGTTCGTTCACCACAAGAATGGGTTGTAATAGACAAAATACGCGATATTGACATTTAAATAATTCTATACAAATGTACGAAATGGTGTCACAGATGGGCATGTTTTGGGTCCGATATTTATAGGTCAAAAGTTAACTGGAGATCATTATTTACAACTCAGTGTTTTGTTTTATACTTGTAAAAAAAACTTGGCTACTAGCCCTACATTTTGTTTTTTCTTTACCTTCATATCAAGATAAACTGAACGTACTGTAGCTGTGAAATTAATTGTTGGATTAATAAAATATTTGCGAGGAATCGTTTTATAGGAGCATAAAATTTGTGGTTCCAAATTTGCGATCGGCTAAAACCGACCGGATATTTGAAACCCCAAGACCAACAAGTATTTGGGGCAATCAAGCTGCCCCGTTTTAATTTATCGTCGACCTGTTTCTTGGTCGCTCCTGCCGAGATAGTTTTCGAGATTTATCGTCACGTCACGTCACATTTCCATTCGCCTCCCGGCGACAGTTTCTCGCGCGCAGTTGAACAATGGGGCAGAGAATAAGTCTCGAGTTGCAGTGGGATGCGGTTCTGTTTAAGTTAAGGTGGAGCGAAACAACACCCCCCGCCGCTCCAATGGTTTATTTATTAATTCGGCCGAACCAACCGGTCTATACAAATGTCGATTTTCAACAGTCACAACTTTTATGACTTATGACAACCCGAATAACCACCGCAGACTGTAAAAGTATACGAGGTGTGCTCAGAAAGTAAGACAAGTTTTGTAATGTCATAATTCCAGCCAGTTTGCGTATTTATTTTTTTTTGTGAGACAGGAGCGCTAGACGTGTTTTGTGTGCTTGGAGATTTTCTGCTGTCAAAAAAAAAATGGAACAAAGAATTTGCAGAAAATTTTGTGTAAAAAATGGAATAGACTGCTGCAAAACACTTGAAATGTTGACAACGGCATGTGGTGAATCCACTTTGAGCCAAAAAGATATTTATAAGTGGTACAAGCAGTTCCAAGATGGCCGAGAGGACCCCAATGACGAACCGCGCTCTGGACGCCTCAGAACGTCAATAACTGATGAAAGTCTTGCAGAAGTGAAACAAATGGTGTTGAAAAATCGTCGAATCACTATTAAATGTGGCACAACTACCTTATGGTAGTGCATTCAATTCAATTCGCACACAACTCAACAAACGCTCTATTACACACGAAATAAGAACGATTACTAATAAACTTAAACTAAGTAGTATACCAAACCAAACAATATTAATCGCATAAAATTATTTTCTATTACGGACCACAATTTTACCTGAATTTAAATTCCGAAACTTTCGGTAATAATCTTGTTGCATTGTATGTTAATGACCACCCTTCAAAAGCAATTGGTCACTTCCTTATATTTATGAACAGACCATACTTTTATTGGGTTGTTCGGAAAGTCATTTCGTTTTTTTTGGGGAACATGAGAGACAGTTTTCGTATAAAGAATAAATATTTTATTAAATTATATACTGGCCATTCTGGTCCAACACCTTTTGCCATCTTTCTGGCAGTAACATAATTCCCCTCTCATAAAAGTTTTGGTCCTTGCTGGCAAAAAACTGGTTCAGGTGGTTTTTGATATCTTCATTTGAGGTAAAGGTTTTGCCATCCAAAAAATTTTGCAGGGACCGGAACAAATAGTAGCCGGAAGGCGCCAGATCTGGAGAATATGGTGAATGTTGCAATACGTCCCATTCAAGCTGTAAAAGTTTTTGGCGAGTGACCAAACTTGTGTGAGGTCTCGCATTATCTTGGTGGAACACTACACCCTTCCTGTTGATTAATTCGGGCTTCTTCTCTTTAAGTGAATCATTCAATTTGTCCAGTTGATGACAATAGACTTCTGAATTAATCGTTGTATTGTCCGGCAAAAGCTCAAAAAAAGCGATTCCTTTGACATCCCACCAAACGGAGAGCATCACCTTTTTTTGGTGAATGTTGGCTTTTGACACGCTTTGAGCCGGTTCATCTTTTCTGCTTCATGACCTCTTGCGTTTAACATTGTTGTATACAACCCATTTTTCGTCTCCAGTAATAATCCGCTTCAAAAATGGATCATTTTCTTGACCTTTGAGGAGCGAATCACACACGTCAACGCGACGACACAAATTTCGCTCCGTAAGGACATGGGGCACCCACACATCGAGCTTCGAGGTTAAGCCCATGCCTTTCAAATGGCCATAAACAGTCGAATTCGACAAATTTAATCTCTCACCGATCTCTCAT